TATTTTGAATAACAAGAGTAATAGAAACGTTAATTATAGTGCTATCGATAACAGCGACATAATATTGGTAATAATATAAGTTATATTTTGAGTAACAAGAGTAATAGAAACATTAATTGTAGTGCTATCGATAACAGCAACATAATATTGGTGTTATATACGCGATTGGGGAAGTAGTCCCACGAGCGGACTGCGCGATGCGGTCACGAAGATCGCCGGAGACAACCGAACGGTACCGAGCGAAAACCGCGCGATAATTCGATCGGCAATTGTTTTTACACTGCGTCTTCCCGCTCGGCCATGCGTTGGCGTCATTCTACGTTTTGCCTACGTCTCGTTCACACCGTATTAAATAAAGTTAATTGTTATTTAAAAGTATTACAAAAGTGTTCATTGGTCTCCCCGCCCAAACACAATAATATATTTTATAAAACATTATATCGTGTAAAATTAATCTTGTCAAAAAATACATTTATCGTTCAGTTTTTGTGAATTAAGATATATACAATGTTGCGCAAATACGACAATGGAAGTAAAAGGGTTAATACATTAAACGATAAGGTGTTCATGTTCCTACTTTACCAAACAATAACGTACAACTATAAAAATCTTATAAACGATATACAATAGAATAGTCCCATATCTAAAGTATTATTCCCATTATCAATCCCACAACATTAGAAATGTTAGCAACAAATTATAGAAATCGATCTAAACGCTTACTATCGTTGGAATGGAAATTAAAATAAAGTTAAGTATAGAAACGATGTACTCTTATTCAATGTTGCTGTTGTGCATCATATTATAATACATACGATAGGCTTTATATTAATTATTAAATTACTGTGATGGATTTTTGTTATTTCTTAAATGTTGTTCGATTGCTTTACATTTTTATATGAAGTTCTTCCGAACATTTATTTAATATTTATAATATAATGTATGTCTGAGGAGCGCACAGGCCACTGCAATATGAATATTTTCTTGGCTAAAGGAAGGTATAATAAAATATACAATAATTTCTGCACGATAATTATTTTTTATAGTATATTATTTTATTAAAAAATGTAGGTGGACAAATTTCGCCGAGTGAACGATTGAATAGGAAAACTTCAGCATAATATAACATCTTAGAGTTTTATAAAATCGGAAATTTTTTTTTTGTTGCATTTATAATTATACGTAACTTTCCAAAGTTCAATCATTTGCCAATTTTTTCGGTATTCTTTTCATTCTCCTTGAAAAACTTGTTTATTTTAACAGAAAGAATTAACGTTTCTCAAGGCGCCGCTTGACCGCATCATAAGAGGTCTATATTTATAGGAGTTACATCATTATGTGACACAGGAATGTCTTGTTTTAATAATCTACTAGTGACATAATCGCCGGTATAAATTATTAATAAGCTAAAATAATTAAAATTGATACATTGTATACTTCTATTTTTATTCTATTTCTTACAAAAGGATTTATGATCAGTCACTAGAAAGATTGAAAAGGTATAATTTTTAGGAAGCATATATGAAATATAACTTCAAAATTCAACCTAATCTCGGATTCTTTTGTACGATCGATATTGCAGTACCTGTAACATGAAGTCCCATAATATGAGTAGTCTCTTTTGCTTCGACTATACTGGCTTATTGTAAAGGAAATACAAGATGTCCTCGTTACGATGTATGATGAAACCGTGCAGTGATTTATAGAATGAAACCATACAGTGGTCCGCACCATCGCTGTAACAAATAACGAACTTCATTATAAAGTAATTAATTTAAAAAGTTGAAAATATTTTTGAAATCTTGCATTTACATATTTTAAAAAATTTATATTTATGTTCACTACCTCTAAAATCAGTAGCGCCGCCTAGTAAACACATGCGGAACTATAGAAATAATTAATTGCGTTACTTCGTAAAATAAGGCATTTTTACGATATTCCGATGTAATATACAATAACATGTTTCAAAGAGCAACATAAAATAGCTTCAGAATGTTTTACACAGCTTGTTCCAAATGGTGGAAATATTTTCCCCTAAGCGGCTCTTCTTTCCTAGGGAAATCAGATTCACATTTGAGTGTATTAACTTGCTAAAGTTCCATAATTCGTGCCTTAATGTCGTTCCGAAATTGTCCAAAAAACGTAAAGAATGTACGAATTGTACAAATTATGTGCAGTAAAAGAACGCGGTGGTGCTGAAGCATTGTTTTTTAAATAAAACATTCATAAAAGTGGAAATTTCGTGATAGGTATTATTGTACGTATATTTTTCATTTTTTGAAATTAACTATTCTAAATAGCGTGCATCGTTTATCCTCTCGCAAAACTGTATTCTTTGGTAACTTAACCTATTTACTGTACTTTGCAGAGAATTCCACGAAATCATAAAAAGAATGGCAGTTGGTTCGACAAAAGTTGTACAGGTGACGAATATCGCACCTCAGGCAACTAAAGATCAAATGCAAACTTTGTTTGGGTACCTTGGTAAAATAGAGGATATCAGATTGTATCCTACTATACGCGATGTAGCGGTACCTGTCCAGTCTCGTATTTGCTATATTAAATTTCATGACCAAGGATGCGTTGCTGTTGCTCAACATATGACAAATACTGTTTTTATTGATCGTGCATTAATTGTAATTCCATATCAAAATGGAGACATTCCAGACGAACAAAGAGCCCTCGAGTTAACAAACAATGGCACAGTTGTTCCAGGTAATTGATAAATAACTCATTATTTATTCTATATGTTTATGTAAAAGCAGAAGTACTAAAACAAATTTGTTTCTTTTCAGGTCTTTATCCTTCTGAACCTAAACTTCCACCAAATGTTGTAAATGCTATAGAAGGTATTCCTCCAAATCATGTTATCACCACTATGGATCCAAAATTAGAGGCAAATGGTTTGCCACCTTATCCACATTTACCTGGCCATTTGGATAGTAGAAGAATTGAAGAGATCAGAAGAACTCTTGTTCTTGCTAATTTAGATCCTTCAGTAACTACGGATCATCTGTTAGACTTCTTTGGTACTAACAATGTTGAAGTTAAATATCTACGTATGTGTAGCAGAGATTCAGATACAGAGCATTATGCACTGGTGGAACTTTCTGAACAAGCAGCTGTAGTATCGGCGCTGTTATTAAATGGAAAAGTGCTTGTTGATAGACCTATTAAAATTTATCATTCGACGCAAGCAATAGCAAAACCAGAAGCTAAAAGTAATGAGGCAGCACAAAAAGAAATAGAAGAAGCCATGTCCCGAGTGAAAGAAGCTCACAATTTAATTTCAGCAGCAATAGATCCAATGATTGGAATGTTGTCAAAGGATAAACGAAGCCGTAGCGGTTCTCGTAGCCGAAAATCTCGGTCCAGATCAAGAGGACGGAGTAGACGATCTAGATCACGCAAAAGGTCACGTTCTCGACACAGACGTTCACGGTCACGTCATCGACGCAGATCGAGATCTCGTTCAAAACGTTCACGTTCCAAAGAACGCAGACGAAAATCCCCATCGCGTAGAAGAAGTAGTTCTCGTGGACGACATCGTTCTCGTTCACGATCTCGACGTTCCCGATCTCGAAGATCCAGGTCTAGATCGAAAGATCGTAAGAAAAGATCTCCCCGACGAAGGAGTCGTTCGCGTTCTCGAAGTAAACGTTCAAAATCAAAATCTAGACGATCCAGATCTAAATCCAAGTCCAGATCCTCGAAATCAAAATATTCGGAAAAATCTAGAGACAAAGATAAAGATAAAGAAAGAAGAAGCAAAGATAAATCTGATAATGGTAAAAAGAACGACAATGATAAGGCTGACAAGGAAAAAAGTGAAAAGAAGTCCAGTAAAGATAAGAAATCAGAAAAGGAATCGAAATCCGATGAGAAAAATAGAAACACGTCTGATAATAGCGAAACGAAAGAAAAAACAGAGTCTGAAACTTAAACCTTGACAAATTACGGTCTATGAAGGTTCATTTACATCGCTCCATTATTTTGTTAATTTAATGTTACAATATACCATAATGTATTGATCAATAAAAAATAGGAAATATAAAATATTTGAAGATTCTTTTAACTTAATTATGTATAAATAATATTGCTTTAAAATATATTGATACGATTACAATAATATAAATATTACGGTATATGTGATTAACCCGGTAATTATATGTAATTACCAGATTAGACACATTTATCCTGACATAAATACTTCTGTCACTTTTTATTAGAAAGACTGACATCTGTGCAGGATAATTGTATATTTTTATCATAGTATAATAGTTGTTGCTATTCTATGCTTTATCGCCTCGTGTTGTATAGCCACTATTATAGCAGTATGCGTTACATAACTACGCATTCTATCAACACCCGTTATATGTCTACTTGCATTGTCACCCGTTGTATAGCCAATCGTACCACCACGCATTATATTACCAACTGATATTGAGATTTCATCCCATTTTTTAAATTAATCTACTTTATACGTGCTATTTATTATTCCTGTTCAAACTTCTCTTTACTATTTCTTTTGCTTTCAACAATAAATAATAATCCACTTCATTACACGTATCTTAGTTATACGATTTTTAAATATGCGTCATTTATATGATGGCAGCACTAACTAGCAGTCGTGTGACTAATAATTGTAATGTCCTTTCAATAGACTTTCATATTCTTTGATTGAAAGTTATAGCAGATCATGGTATGCTCATTGACGGAACCTTAAGTGACAGATGAATGAATTTGCATACTTTGTTTAATCGTAAGTTGACAAAACGTTAACATCTACATAATTATTTTTATGTGGAACTGAATTATAAAATTTGAAGTTCTCACATACTATAATAAATAATACGGCAAATATAATTACTTTGTATTGTGTTTATAAGAAATTTTAACGTAATCAGTGTCTGATATAAGAATATTTCCGTTTAGGAAAGAAACGTCATTTTATTTGTTAAAGTAAATGGTGAAGATGACACCTCCTAATGAAGCAAAGATAAGACAAAGTTTATCAAAGGCATGTATTATATCTTTCTAAATAATGTTAATTCTTTATAAATTAATATTATTTTTACTAATATATAAAGTATAAAATGTAATATATTTTATAGTATCAAAATCCAGATATCACTAAAAAACATGTCATGAGTGTTTTAAATCTTTACAAAGGTTTACAGTACAAAGTAGAGCCATTTGGTAAGTGTTATTAACATTTGTTTTATTTCAAAAACCGGTATTTAACAAAAATCAAACATCTAATTAATACCTATGATATCATTGAATTTTGTTTCATGCTAGTATTTAACGATGGATCACGTAAGGAGTTATTTAATTTACAAGGAACAATACCTGTTGCTTATGAAGGTAATATATTTTGTTATTTTAATGAAAACTAAATGATTAAAATATAAAAGTATAATTAAATTCATATAATATCTTTAGGTAATTCTTATAACATTCCCATATGTATTTGGTTGATGGATACACATCCAAATAATGCACCTATGTGTTATGTTAAACCTACTGCCGACATGTATATTAAAGTCAGCATATTTGTTGACCATAATGGAAAAATCTATTTACCTTATCTTCATGATTGGTTGCCAGTGAGTTACTTGTTATTAATACATACTTATAATTTATGTTTAGTATGTAACTATGCTTTTATATTAGCAATATATATGTTTTATTTAGCATTCATCAGATTTACTAAGTCTAATTCAAATAATGATAGTAACCTTTGGAGAACAACCACCTGTTTATGCTAAAGCTCGAAAAAATACCAGATCAAGTCCTTTTGCTATACAGGGTAAGATTAAATTACAAACAAGCATCATTATAACAAATTTTGGTACTAAAAGATTAAAAGTTATATAGGTTTTGAACCTACTACTGGAAGTGGAACACACATACCAGGTGCTAATATCCCTCCATATCCACAAAATCCACCATATCCAGATGGGAGTAATGTATACCCTCCATACATACCTCCAGGGTCTTCTGGATTTCCATATCCAGGTTCGTATGGTTCTTATGGAGGAACTGCTTCAAATTATCCTTCACAAGGATATACTGGTTCCTTTCCTTATCCTCCGTCGACACAGCCGGTAAGTTATCACTTTTAGTACATTAAATGTTATTGGATTATTAATTTAAGTATTGATTTCGTATCACAATTAATAAGTCTCCAACTGTACCTGGCTCCACTGGTGGATCGGGTACCATTACGGAAGAACATATCCGAGCATCTTTATTATCAGCCGTAGAGGACAAATTACGACGAAGACTTAAAGAACAATTTTCACAATTACTAGCTGAATTAGAAACATTACGACGGACGCAACAAGAGCTAACAAGCGGATCTTCCCACCTCACCGATTTATTCGATAGACTTAAAAAAGAGAAACTTGAACTCGAAAAGAATATAACTATACTCCAAGATAAAGAGAGTGAATTAGAAAAAGAAATTGCAAAGCTTTCGGACAATCAGTCAATAGATGTTGATGAAGCTGTTACAACTATTGCTCCACTTTACAAACAGTAAATGATCAGAAAATATTTTACTTTTTAAATTTGATATATAAAGTTCTTAACCATTGTTTTTTTTTTCACAGAATGTTAAACGCTTTTGCAGAAGAAGCTGCTACAGAAGATGCGATCTATTATCTCGGCGAAGGTTTACGATGCGGTATTATAGATTTAGATGCATTTTTAAAACAAGTGCGTCAACTTTCACGCAGACAATTTATGCTCAGAGCACTGATGCAACGTTGTCGTCAGAAAGCGGGTTTGGCTGGTTAAATGCTCTATTTGAATTTTATAAAGTTGCATTATTCAATATTTTATTTTATTATACATAGTGTATTAAAAACAAAGTATATATATCCCATGGTAAATAGAGGGATAATAATATGTTATAAAAGCAATGGATCATTTTCGCAAATTCAGAGAATATTTCTTAGTGGGTCAAATACTATATATACAATATAATTTCTGTTTCATGTTGTACACATTTTATTCATAGGAAAAAATTTGAATGTGAAACTTTTATATACAAAATGAAACAATTAATTATATATATAAACACGCGCGCAATTAAGAATAAATATCTTTGTTTTACAAAACTATATTTCTAAGCATATTTAATAATCTGTAAAAAAAGAAACGTAATTTTTAATTAATTCTTTTTATATTATAAAACATTTGTGTTACAATCCTAGATATTACAAAATTTGAATGCTTACTATGTAATAAGTGTATAAATTAATAATTATATTGCATGATTTAGTAAAAATACATTGATTTTATTCTTATGACTTATAATTATTTAAATGCTATTACATATGTAGTCTTAAAATCTTTTTTTTTCATTAACAAGATTAAACTGAAACAAAGAAAAAAAAGATTTACCTATATACTTCCAGAAAAATGTAACTTAATAGATTTAAATTTTTATTTGATGAAATACCTATACATAAATTCCAACCCAAAGGAGTAGAAACAGTACACCAAAACCAGAAAATATTGCTGCTACTAAGGAAATTAGTAATTCTTTAAACATATCCCTTGTGAATTTTGTACTAGTGACTTCATATACAAAGAACCATGCTGTGAAAAATATTCCAATTCCTAGTAATACCACTGCTAATAATGGAAAAATTGCAGGGTTTATAGGAGAGACATATCTTGTCATTGACTCAATCTCCACCTAAATAAGAGAAAAAAAGAATCGATTTAAAAAGAAGGGAAATTACAATAAATATATTAGGCAAAATTTGTTTTTTACGATATAACGAAATATATAAACTTACATAAAACATTTCATAAAAGTTCTAATACTATTCAAGCGTTATATACGTATATGTACAAGTAATATGCAATATATGCATATGTTATTTTGACAGATTTATCCAGCATGCAAATTTTGGTTAAGGTACACCGGAACAGAATTGAACTAAATTATGCTTTTAGTACAACATAAAATACCTCATCAAATGTAGTAAAACAATTACTGATAACATTACTACAGTTAATATCTTATTAAATTGAAAATCGCACTCACCATTTTATTAAATAAAATATTTTGACGTGGCTTGCTCGATAAATACCTACAAGTTCACGCTGTTACACGCGATTAGAATGTGCTCACTATAGTTGTGCGCTACAAACTTCAGTACAATTGTGACGATGGTAAAAGCGTGTTTAGGTCAGGTTTACATTGATTCAGTAGTTAAGCGAGTAACTTGATCACATACTCAGTTTATATTATGACACAATCTAAACCTAACAAGCGTTCGCGAAAGAGCAGAAGAAAAGTATACATGCATATAATGTTGCTAATTTGCTAGAAGAACACTAATGTATATTTTCCTTGTCGCGTTCTCCAACGTTTGCCCACTCAGTACGTATATATGCACCCTTAAGGTATAATTCACTGACGAACAAATAATAGTTGCCAATAATTAAAATGTAAATCACTCAAATTTTTTAAATAAAACATTCATTAGCCACTTATAATAAATCAAATGAACAAATATTTATATTATTTTCTGTTATTAATTTAAAATTTAGAAATGTTATACAAAATAGTAATTATTTAAATATTTTGCGTGAACAAGTTTCAAATAGTTTTTTTTATAAATATACAATTATGAAATATAGAATACCAATTTTTCATAATAACATTTTCATATTATATATACTTATATACATATATGTGTATATACATATATGAGACAGTAAGATATATATATGTATATATATTTAATATAACCTTAAGAATGTAATTTTAATAAAATATTTCGTTAAAAGTATCTTATCAATCAAAGGTAAGTCCATTATCTATAAAAATGATTTTTTTTTCAATACGTTTCTCGAGAATATTTAGTCAAAATTGTACATCCTATAATACAACATTCATTTTAAAAATATTGAAAGTATAATATTTATAATATATAACACAGAATATATATAGATTAAAAAAATAAAAACTTAGGTATGATTTTTTCAAAATCGATAGTCGTTTGTCACTATGGTATGATTCATAACGCATAACATAGTATAATCCTACCACACTTTTTATTCTTAAACATAACTAACTTTTGTATGTACTATAGTTCATTCTTGTTGTATTGTATGTATGTATTTACATACGTAAATAAATACAATAATATATAATTTTTTCGATTTCTAATAAGTTCAAATTTGTTATCAATTATATAAATAGAATTTCATTTTGCTATAATTATATAATTTTTATTGCATATTTTTTTTAAATTCGTTAAAATTTATTGTTATTAGGTGTCATTTGTTTACAGGTAAATATGGCCAATAATTTGCTGTCAGATCATTACTCTTTGAAATGGAATAAATTTTGTAACACTTTAATATCTGGCTTCCTAAATCATCTCACTGAGAATGATTTAGTTGATGTCACACTTGCTGTTGAGGGTCAACTGTTACAAGCTCATAAATTGGTTCTTTCAGTTTGTAGTCCGTATTTTAAAAACATTTTTAAGGTATAAAAATTATTACACAAACTATATGTATTTATAAGTTGTCAATGCTTAGAGAAGAATGTCTTAGAATTATTTTATAGGAAAATCCTTGTCAGCATCCAGTAATCATTTTGAAAGACATGAAATATACTGAAATTGAAGCACTACTGAAGTTTATGTACCAAGGTGAAATAAATGTTAAACAAGAAGATTTATCTACCTTGTTAAAAGTGGCGCAAACATTACAAATAAGAGGTCTCACACCGGAAGGTACAAGTAATACAAAATCGTTTTCTGATTATGATGGCCAATTGAACATTGATTCCAATATCCAAAATATTGTTCAATCACAATTGGATATAGTAAATACAAGTTCCAAAAATGTGGAAGATGTACATAAGAGGAAAAGATCTCATGATGTAACAAAAATAGGGGCCAAGAAAAAAAAACAGGATATATTGTTAATATCAGAAGATACAGATGATTTATCTGATGAAAACGTGAATAATGATAATGAAGAATGCTTAATGAAAAATGAAGTAACTGAGTTTCCAAATGAAGATGATGATAGTAATGTTCCTACTGTACAAAATGATGCTAATAATGAGAAAGATGATTCAACAAAGCCAATCAATGCTCAAAGTTCAAGGGGAAATACAACACAGCAAGGTAAAACATTTGCATTATAAAATCTTATATTGTATATAATATATAAAACTATTTAAATTAAGAATTGAAATTGCATTGTATATTTTTGTGCTACAATAATATTGTAACATTACAGATGTTGAACCAGTAATTTATAGACTTTCTGCAAGAGGTCGACCACAATTAGTGCATGAAGGCTATGTTTATAATTTAACATCCCGCTCTGAAGGGTTAAATAGATCTCATTACAGATGTGCAGAGCAACATAGAGGATGTAAAGGTAAATGTGCAGTTATTGCTGAAAGATTTATGCCTACAGGTGTACATGATCATAATCATCCACCTGGTTATCATTCAGAACACGAGTACAGAAAGAAAAAGATTTAGACACCAGACACTTTTCTGATTGTAAATTATGGACAATATTCGATTATATTATAATTTCATCGCAAAAGTTTTAGTAATGCTCTAATAGATGTTAATGAACAGTGCATAGTATTCTTGAAGTAAAACAAACTTTAAGTTACTATGTAGCTCTTTGATAAATATAAAAATTGACTATAGTATAATAACCAATAGATAAAAGCAGATGATTTACACTATAAGAGATCTATAGCTGTAATGATAAATAATATTCATATTATATGGCAGCTACAATATATGACCATTATATTATAATTAACTGTGATGAGCTTTGAAATTGGTGAAACAAATATTTCAGAAGTGATGAGCACATTCCATTTAGTATTATCTTTAAAGTCAAAGCCAAATAAAAGTATTTAATTTCTGTTATTTCTTTACTTGTAAGATAATGTAAGTATAATGAACATAATTTCTTCTTATAAATGCACATAGGTGTACAGATGTAAACGTATGTACATATGTACATATAAATATCTACATATATTTAAGTTTTGTAAAAATAATTTTAATGTAAATTATAAAAATATATATTTTATTCATAACTTATAAAATTAAAAACTAAATAAAAAGAAAGCAGTTTAAATAATGTTAAAAATTATAAAATTTATTTTCGTATTTATCTTTTCGTCAACATTCTCCTTTGAATAGTGACAGACGGTTTTTGAAATTAATGTAACAGATTATAAATATCATCCAACTTCTAAGAGGTTGCTTGTATAATTTATATAAAAATTCATATGAAAGACATAAAAAATTGCATTTTTATAAATATAAGAGAGTCTATGAAACAATGCAAGTTAAAACAAGTATCAAATAATAGGCAGTTTTGTTTCATAATCTTTCTTGAATTTATCCCACACCCATGAAATTTTCAAATAATTATTCAGCATATACTTTTATTCCTAAGTAAAATATTAATGCCGTCTAGCCATTTTCTTCTCCAACTTTCGTTGTTTCTTTTCACTAATCTCAGGTTGATCTAAAGCAGGTGCAAAAAACCATGGACCTAATATCTGTTTCCATAGCATCCATCCTCCCCTCAATGGTACCTACCATAAAAACGAAATATAAATATTGTATAATATAAAATAGAATATGATACTGTTTTATATTTAATTGCTTTGTTTCATTAAATACACTTACAAGGAGCCATAACAACCAAACATAATTTGATAGAAGAGAAAGTACTTGTACTCCTGAAGTTAATATAATTAAATCTTTTACGTGTCTGAAATAAACAAATTGTTATTATATCTAAAAAATCTGTTATAATAAAATATTATATTATTTAAAAAAAATGACTAAAAATAATTAATGATATTTACTCTGCTATACCTCCTTCCATGTTAAGATCAATTCCAGAATCTGATAGTTGACCCGATTCTGAATATGTTGCTTGTGCTATATATTTCATAAATTGATAACTTCCTATATATACAATTCCAGAGAATATAGTTAATATCTGTAATGGTAATATACAATACAACAAATGCAGTTATTAATAATTCAAACAATATTTTGAATTTTAGTTTTAATGGGATATAACTTTTGCATAAGAGAATATTAATGTTACAACTAAAAAAACTTACTATTGATAATGTTGTAAAATTAAAAAATAACATTGTAACAGTAAAATATATTCCTATTGCTCCAATAATCATGTTCTGATAAAAACTTAACGTTGTTTTATTCTCTTCTACTATCTGTTTTCCTCCTTTTGTTGCAGTTTTAGTCTTCTTAATCTAATAAGTTATTATAAAATGAATACTTTAATAAGAGAGTACTTAAAAATAATTACAAACGCATGCATGATTGGTGAATAATTAAGAAAAGGTAAAAAATATTATATGTTGTGAAAAAAGTAACTTACCGACATTTTGTTGGCAGATTGTTATATGAAAACTACTTAATATGTTAAAATAATCAATATTCACGCAACATTCAATACATGACAGACTTAACCTTATAGGTATTCAAAAATAGTTGCAGGTCTCTCGAAGCCACGTGAAAGATGTATTAAAGTTCTTAGGTTATATTTCATAATTATTCATACGAGTACAAATATGTACATACATGGATATAAACGATATTTTTATTATTTGTTATATTTCATTGTTTCTTTAAATTACAAGTTTCATTAAGTAAATAAAATAATGTTAAGTTATAATAAAATATTTATAAGTAGCATTAAAAGTCTGGTAGTTCTACCGATAAGGCTCTCAATATATTTCATATCGATACTTACGAATATATGTAACTATCGATATGTTTTAACCTTTTTATACTTCGTTATCAAGTATAAGTCACAGTATATTTTAAAAATATTTTTATTGTTTACAAAGATTGCAATTGTTTTTATTCATATGTGTGTATACATGTACGGGAGAAATAAGAACATTGTCTTAAAAAATATGCTTATCAAGTACTTTCTATATAAGTAAAAAAATATACATTTACAGTACATGAAGTGCCTTTAAATAAATACTTCAGATAAAATATAATCATTTCATATATTAAAATATATGTTCATATAAATCACATTCACATAATATTGCTATTTATACAATTTTAATTCTTGATCAATTTCTTTGAAAATTGATTTTAAGTTTTAGTCAAAATAAACTAATCTAACTATATTTAAAAGTTATTTCACATTTTCTGTTGTTAATCTACAAATCAATACATTTTCTAATCATTTTTAACTGTATCTTAAAGAAATATATATCAAAATGAATAAAACAATTTATAACATATAAGTTAAATTTATTGTACTACTACTTCCAATAGTTACCATTTAATTTGATATTAAAATAGGTTATGCTATAATACGTACGCAAAACTCGATACAATAATCATTGTATTAATTTCTGCGATCTTAATCTTAAAAATATAGTCTTCTACGTCACGGTGAGAATGAAAAAATCAAGTGACGCCTTGACAGTAAAATGAACCTAAACGAATCCAATCGAAACGATCAACTAAAACATTCGATCTTGGATACATAATTCCGAGTAAGGGAATTATTCTTCCTAAGCCGAACGTTTATTAAGAAGAGAAGTTATTAAATCTATTTAATAAAATTAAATTTATAGAAATAAGTAATCCCACGAAATAGTAAAGAAATGTTGTTGACGATAGGAAAGAAGAATTCTATTTTCTGCTAAACAAAACCACCGGTTTAAAATGCATACCTTATAATCGATAATGACATTCGTCAAATCTAACACTACTACAAGTCTTCTTTTGTCATTGTTCGAAACAATTCAACATTGTGTGATCTTTCATGGTAAGTTCTTTCAATTGTTTCAAAAATGAAACATTTAAACTTCTGGCATGTTTTCTTTTATATCTTTTTCATTAATATTTGTATAATTTTACTTCAATATTCATTTGAATAAATTACATTTATTATATTTATAAAAGTTTTAGTTCAGTTTCATTTATTATTTATTATTTATCACTGTAAAATGACAATCGATATTTAAGTTCAATTTTTGTTATTATTTCCAACTTTTTTTATCAATGCATATTGTTGAATGTCTATAAGTTATTATTGCATTATTATTTTTTATTATTATTGTTATGCTTGTTATTATTATTTATTCTATTTTTATGTTTCCTAACTTATGCATTATTTATTGAGCTTTGAATTATTTAGTCTGCTCATATGCTATCATTATCTATGTGCATTTGTAACTGTCAAAATTACAATATGCAGTATTAGTCAAAGTTATATCTGAAGTTACATGATATAAGTACTGTAAGTGTTAAATAAGAACTATGTATTATTAAGTTTATATTGCAAATTGCTAGACTTTATAAATTCAATACGACATTTAGTTTTAATGAACATAAAATAAAGTAAAGAAATATATATTAATATGTTTTAGGTTTCTTATGCCGTGATCTTATAATGTGATAACATTGAAAATTTATTTTCATTCTTCAAGATCATGAGTACAATCATGTAGAGTTTAGTATAAAGAAGATGATGCCTCATTTTGTAGCTCTGACACCCATAAGAAGACGATGTCTGATCATTCTTTCAATAGTATTAGTACCATGCGCTATTTTAAATCTTTTGTCACCATCAGAGTTACGTGAAGAAACAGTTTTACAAAACAATATTGCAGAATTACAGGCAAAATTGGAACATCTACATGCTAAATATGTAACAAGCCAGGAAGAAATAAACCTATTGTCTCATCAGTTGTTACAGTTAATAGAAAATAATCACATTTTACCAGATCTTCAGTTCCTTCTAAATAATGTTACATCAAATGTAACCAGCATAAAGTTGCCATCTATTTACAACTTTCTTCCTCATTTTTTGAATGATCCTAGTAGCCTGCGACCAGCATTTGTTCAAAGTAAAGGACGTACTGGAGTCAGTATGGTACTAGGTGTACCAACAGTTAAAAGAGAAGTACAGAGCTATTTAATGGCCACACTTAAAAATTTATTGGATCGCATGAATCCTGTGGAAACAGCAGATACTTTAATCATTGTTTTAATTGCAGAAGTAAGTTGCTGCAGAAATATGATAGAATAACTAAATATTTTATTGTAATTATTATTATTGTTATTTTTACAGACAGACCTGGAATATGTGACATATGTTGCAAAACAGATTGAAGTACAGTAAGTTCTGTAACTGAGCTTGTTAATAATTGTTTGGTATATTCTATATTTTCACATTTATTCCAGATTTCCAACTGAAGTTGAGGCTGGTGTAATCGATGTCATATCTCCATCTGCATCTTACTATCCAGATTTGTCTAAATTACGGGATACTTTAGGTGATGATCATCAAAGAGTAGTTTGGAGATCGAAACAAAACTTAGATTTTGCATTTCTTATGTCATATGCTCAGACAAAAGGGACATTTTATGTACAATTAGAGGATGATATTTTAGCTAAAAAAAATTTTATAACAACAATGAAATCTTTTGCATTGCAAAAGATTGTGACAAAAGAAAATTGGTTTGTTTTGGATTTCTGTCAATTAGGATTTATTGGTATGTCATTATTGAATTTGTTAATAAGAATGTCTAAAATTTTTGTTATGTTATATTTAATTTATTTTATATTCACTTTTTAATACAGGAAAATTATTTAAATGTGCAGAACTGCCATGGCTGATCCAATTTTTTTTAATGTTTCACAATGATAAACCAGTTGACTGGTTACTAGATCATTTAGTGTCGACGAAAGTTTGTAGTCTCGACAAAGATAGCGTATGTATACTTTAAAAAAGAAGGGGCGAAAAATATATATCATTAAGAATATTTTGTATGTTTCAGAAACATTGTAAAATGGCTAAAGCAGAGTTATGGGTTCATTATAAGCCTTCTCTTTTCCAACATATAGGAACACATTCTTCATTGAAGGGAAAAGTACAGAAATTAAAGGTATATTTCAAGTATTGAGTAAAAGATCAATTATCCATTTTATTTCTGTTTATATATTATAACTAGTATACATATTAAATTTAGGACAAACAGTTTGGAAAAATAACATTATATTATGCTCATGAAAATCCAGAAGCAACTGTAGAAACACAAATTAAACCTTATAAACAATATACATTACAAAAAGCATATAAAGGCGAATCATTTTTCTGGGGTTTATTGCCACAACCAGGAGATCATTTGAAATTTAAATTTTCGCATCCAATTTTTATAAAAAGGTATTTGATATGTAATAAACAATAGTAACAACATATAATCGTAATGTTATATATAATCTTTCGATATAGGTACTTATTTAGAAGTGGAAATCCCGAACATCCATCGGATAGATTTTATAACACAACAGTAGAAGTTTTTACAGATTTATCTGCATCGTTAAATCGAAATGGCAATGACATTACCGAAGATGGTTATGTCGTTATAGGTATTGTATAATATTATATCAATATTTTTATAATTATAAAAATGTATTTAAAATTGTATACCATAACTAGGAAAATTTGATGCACTTGGGATTGCTCAAGGAACAGTAGATCGAAAATTAGGGAGAATATTAATACTCCGTTTGACTGTACACAGTGAAAGTGAAAATTGGGCAATCTTGTCTGAGGTAATGTTAATCGATAAAACAAAGTTTTCTAAGCAACTATTATAGATACAAACAGGATACAGACTGATTTTAATATGTGTACTTTACTTTATCTATTTAACAGATTCATATAGTTGAAGATCACCCTAGTTGACCCTCGGAAAAGATATTTCGAAAGTTTTTTCGACACCATTTACAGGGATAATACATTAAACAATAAATTATTAAATTATTTTTCAATTTTATTTGTTATATAGTTACGGTTTGATACATCATAAATTAAATATTATTTGTTTAATACCGTCCAGCGTGAGAAACTTAATGTTTTTCGAACTTCAATTTCTCGAAAAAAAATCAATATTATCATATATATTAAGACATGATAATAGATTCGTATTTTTATTACAGAAACTTTATTCTTCTTTCAAGAGAATCTCAGAACAATTTTTGAAATTTTAGATCTGTTTTATCGGTCATCTAATCAAAACAGTACCTGCATAGTGAATACGTTATTTCATTTAATAAGAATCAAAATACGGTTTATAATTTTATGAATCTGTTGTAAACTAGCAAAAAGTTTTTCTGTGGCTTCTTATTCTCTCAAGCACAAGATTATTGATAAGAATGCCGTATACTTAACATTGCGATAAAAATAAGTGCCAGAATATTTTAAAAGATACAAGGCCAATAAATAAAACAAATGGGTGATTTATCTTTTCATAAGAAAAAAACAAAAAAAAAGAAACAAAAAAAATCGTTGAAAAATATATATGTTTGTAATATGTGTAATTATGTGCAATTTATAAATTTTCTGTAATATATAATTAAAAGTATACTATTGACGATTTAGATTTGGATATTTGTTACGCTGTAAAAAGCAAATGGTGATATGAAATTTATATTGTTCTCATATATGTATTATTTATTTCATATAGCTCCTTATATATACATATATACATATATGTATAAATATATTCACATACATGTATTTTCATATCAAATAAAATATATTTTTCTGAACATCAAGATATAACTTATTGCTCTAAATTACATAGTACTATACACTGCTTGCATACTTCAAACAATTCCTTAGAAAAAATATTCTAATCATGGATTCTTAAAAATATACTTAAATTTACTTCATTTTTGATGCAATGAAACAATCGAAATGAAAATCTATATGATTTAGTCAGTAGTAACGAAACATTTCAGTTATTAGTTTTTGATTAAAATTTGGTTACACTTGTTTCGAGTGTAACAGTATTCGGTTACGTTCTTAACGAAACCAATGCATTAAATGGTTTAGGACCACCTGTTACACCATCGATGAAATCTGTTGAGGATGGTTTCTCTTCTCCTGGCACTATAGAAAACGTGAACGCTTGCAACAGTGCAGTGGTTATAATAAATATGTTGCTCCTAGCCAAGTTCTCTCCCATACAACGATGTCTTCCGATGCTGAACGGAAAATACATCGGTGGTGTGACAATATTACCGCTTTCATCGATAAATCTTTCTGGTCGAAAGTTCTCTGGGTCACCCCATGATTCTCCCATCAATATTCTATCGAAGTTCACGATAAGCATCGTGTCCTATAATATCAACACAGTTACTCAAATTTTTTTTTAACTCAAATAAGTACTTGCCTTCGTATCGAATACTCACTTTTGGTATTCTATAGCCCAATATTGAGGTGTCTCTTAATGCTCTATGAGGCACATTTAACGTTCGTCCCATGAACATTCTTAACGATTCTAACACGATTGCGTTCATATATGGCATTCTGAAATGAAATGATTTCGGGCATTAAAAGACATCGGTCCGTTTTAATAGTTAGATGTCTTATAAGTATTGTGTTACTTTGATCTATCCTCCGGAGTCGGTAGTCTGTTCCGTCCGATTACTTTATCGATTTCTTCGTGAGCCTTCTTCTGGACATGCGGATTCAAGATCAAGAATAAAAAGCAGAAACCAAGACATTTGGAGGTTGTTTCAGACCCTGCTATGAACAGATCCACGCAAATAGCAAGTAATTGAGCCTCTGAAATATAAAATGCGCCAGAATTATAATTCATATAAGTAAATTACTTCTGAGGCTTGTTAGTTTTCAGTACCTGAAAATGTATTGCTATAATTCTTGGAATGTAGAACATCTAGGTATACATCCATCAGGTCTCTTGGAGAGCCTGATACGAAAGTATTTTTGTGCCCATTCAGTTCATTCTGCAATTATATTATTTAATTTCAATAATGTTTCATATTTGTTATAATTTTACGTATTTATACTAAGATGTTGTATATCAAACGACTGGTTTTGAAACATATAAGAAGTCGATCTGCACATCAATTTGAAACGTAAAGTGTGAGGAGAACGATCACATTGGCATTTCGTTAATATTTTAATATAAAATAATTAGTTACCAGATTTTAAAATAAACCATTTGTTACGTAATAACCCAATAAGAATAATTTGAATAATTTGTTTACCCTTAAAAATTTCCAGACTTTCTGATGAATTGTCAGAAACGATTTGTAGCCGGACATTTCTGGAGCGATGAACCTTAATAGCGGAAAGTGACCGAATGGTGCCCCAATCATATCGATCTCGTTCATAAGTTTTCCCAGGAGTCGTTGTAAATAAGTCAAATCTTTATCGTCAAGATTGAACCTAAGTCAAATTTTTAATACATAAACAATTTGCCTATTGTAATATAAATAATTATATTTATAGTATAAACTGGTTATTTCGCTTTTCTTCTATCAGCTAAACTTTCTTCTCGAAATGAATTGGTTTCATTTTAAAGCAAAATATATTAAATTAGTATAAAAATTTCAAAGATGCTTATCACCTCGACAGATTCAAAATGCAATGAACTTCGTTAAGAATAGAGAATGGACAACCTTTTACCAGCCATCATTCTCCATAGGGTGTTGAGAACCGTAACACCAAATGCATCGTGCATCGGGACAACTATTCCAGGACAAAATTCGTTCATCTGTTTTATTTCCACGTAATCGTCCATGTTTACGTACAGATCCGAAGCTTTTAATTGTTTTTTACTCGTTGTGTATTTATCGTTGGACGTAGATATATCCTCGCAGTCCTTCTTTATCAGTTTGTATATCTGACCATCAGTACTCTCGTTATTGTTACAGAGTATTTTAGACTTGTTGATTCGATCATTGTTATCGTTTTTGATTAATTTTTTGAAATGTTCGACTAGCCACGTTGCTTCTTCTTCTATTATCATGGCCATACTTTTACGACCAAACCCGAAATCACGAAGATGTTTCATAACGAATTTCCTTTGCTCGATCCACAAATTTCCATCTACTACTATTAGTCCTTAAATTAAAAAGAAGAATATGATTATTTCGGAGGCCATACGATGCTCGGAAATACGAAAGTAGTACCTCTTCTCATGCCAAAAGTTCTTGTTTCGTATACTGGACCGCTTGGTCTTCCATCAAAATCTTCGTCGGTTAGCATTGCTCGGACACTTTCATAATCGTTTAATACTACAATACGATCGGTACCAAGTTTCAAACCAACCACTGGTCCATACATTTTGCATAAAGCCGTACATGTTTTAATCAAATAGCCCGTTTCTTTGCGAAGACGAGCAACTTCTACAACGCAGCCCAAAATTGGCCACCACTTTGGCCCTGAAACATTTAGGCGCGATATTTTCTAATCGGTTATTTCTTTATTAAAATTCTATTGAAATCATTTAACGCAAATTGTCACGAAGATAATGTCGTAATATTTGTCTGTTTGATTTTTTAATAAGAGAATGAATAAGTGTAATAAATTAAGAAACTGTACCTGGAGGATATCCCTTTGGTTTTCTTGACGATCGATACAGCAATAGCAATAACAATACTAATACCAGTATTATAGTGGAGAACATACTGCAAGAATAATGAATATTAACATAAATATATGAAAACAAAAAGGAAAAATTATTCTGTGCTATAATAATCTAAGGATGTAATGCGTGTTAACGATAATAATTAGGCACCGTGTTAACTTGTGTCAAAAGAATTGCGCATGTTACTATCAACGCTAGAACTAATGTGTGTCGTTTAGACACCGATCTTTTCATGACTTTCGCTGGAACGATTTATAAAGTTTACATAACGAGATTTGGAATGTTTTCGACGAACGAAAGTTAGCTCTCAGAACACGTTTTTTAAAAGTCATTATAGTACACATTCAGCTCCATGTCCTGTTTTGAATATTTCGGGACGAGACGCGTGCTTGAGCCGGCTACTTGAAAAAAGAAAGTGAAACATGCACGATCATGAGAGAAAGTTGCATACGGAAGGATCATGACATGCACTCACTTCCATTATTTCGTAACTTCTTGCGTAACTGATGCACGTTTTAATTCATCCATTCTTATTTTTTATTTTCTTTCTACGTGCACTATGCTTTCGAACTTCCAAACGTAAATCAATAATAGTTTCCCACTACCGCAAACCAGTTCTACTTTCCTTTTTTACAAAATCATTTCTTTAATTAGAAATATATTAAACATATCTTTTTTCATACACCATTTCTTCTTCGTATTTGAATTCTTAAATAATTGATTTTTTATCGAGGCAAAGTTCTATATTTACAATATTTTATTTAATAAATAAACTAATAGAATGCGCTGTTTTCATTTAATAGCATATCTTAATACTAGTACGTAGAGCATTGATGTTTTTACCGATAAAAAGAAATTGAAAATAAGAATGAATCGTTAACTTTACGCGAGTCTTCAAATCACTTCCGGTATCGTTACTTGAGCCATTGAACTGATCTTACCTTGTACCTGGAGAAATGCGCTCTTCTGTTGGATAAGTAAAACTGGTCGTGGACCAGCCCGCGAACCGCTTTTAAATACCCCCCTTCGTCTCCGTCGATCTTTTATTTTGTAAGCAAAAGTTGTTGAATAACAGTCCTCAGATGTAACCCAATTTAGAAGCAATGGCAGTTTAAGCATTATGTACATTCTATTGTTTATGCTGTTGTTTATTATTGAATAAAAAAATGTAAAATTATATATTTTTTTATTATATTACAATTTATATGTACAGTCTTTTATTTGGCTTTTTCTAATTCTCCCGATTCATCTAATTCTTCTGATTTTTTTAATTCTCCCGATTCTTCTAATTCTTCCGATTCTTCTAATTCTTCTGATTCTTCTGATTCTTCTAATTCTTCTGGTTCTCTGTTTTCGTTCATCTCTTCCCACTTGAAAGGTAAACGATCGCCCCAGTGGCTAGACCTTGCACAACGATATGTGTTTCTGAAAATATTAGAGTAATTTGATTTTTTACAACGTGATAATACAAACATTAAAACTAAAATATTACGCACCTTCCATTTTTCCATTTCGTAAAAATCTGTTCCTCAAACTTGCCGGAAGCCGTGCACATACGACATATAACATGTTTGGAACGTTTCAGTATTGGTCTAATTATCCGTGGCCATTGATTATCATTTTCTGAACGCTTATCTGTAATCATTACATTTTTCCAAATAAATAAAACCAACAAGTTCTTTTGTATTTTATCAAACAATACTTTTATAATGCACCTTTTTTAAGTATTATATATGAATACATCTCGCGTTTATATGAAGACTTTTGACCTAAAGGCAATGATAAATACTTAATTTCAAAACTGCAGGGAATACAGTCACCTGACATATGAATGGGACATTGTAAGTCATGGGGGCACTGCAATAAGTAAATTATACAGCAATTTAATATTTTCAAGAAAGTAATGATTCAAAAAGCCACTTGCAAAATTAATGAATACTCACAGGAGAAAATGCATGTGCTTTATTTTTTCTTCCATATTTAAGTATGAATTCTCGAGCTTCATTAATTATCTATATCAAATAAACTGATTAAAGATCTTACTCATGTTGATTAAATATGTAATGCTTACCCTAAATCCATATATTGTTCCCTGTTCTATAATGACTAAATAATGATCTGTTTTATTCCATAATTTTGAAATGACTTCAAGACGAGATTTTTGATTTGGTAATTCTGATAAGGAATATGCACTTACTACAATATCATAAGTTGGCTATAACAAAAAATATATTTAAGGTTTATGTTAGAAGTCTTTGTACAAAATAATTTTTATTCTTACAATGGGAGATGCAGGGAGAAATTGCCGATAAAAAACGTGATTTGTATTAATTTTTGGTATGGCCTTTTTTATAAGGTATTCAGAGCACTTGTTCATATCAGGTGAAATGTCTACACAGTAATACTCTTTAATAGATTTGTTCCAAAATTCAGATGCTGCCCTGAATAATATTAACTTTATGCATTTTGACATTATCATTGTAGCATTATAAATAAGTTTACAATTCAACTTTCTTACCACATAACTGTTCCAATTCCGGAACCAAAGTCAAATAGTGTTTTAGGGCTAAAACTCTGATCATGAGTATTTATTTCGTTAAAAATTTTATATAAAACACTATAGTCAGGTAGACTTCTGCCAACTAAATATACTATACTTGTAAACATATCGTAATTAACTGGTTTCCAACTATTAATAAAACTTTTAAATTGTTTTAAAGCTTCACGATTTTTGAACAAATCAACATTGACTTCTTTAGTATCTACCATATCCTTCACATCATCCATGCTACTAGATTGTATATTTGATTTAATATCTTGTAACTTTAATTGAATTTCATCTGCTTCTTTTGGAAGTTGTCTTTCATGTAAATATGATGTTAATCTCTTTGCACTCAATTGAAGTTGCTTTGGTGAAAGCTTTTGGTCTAAAAAAAAAATAATTGTTTATATAACAATCATATAAAGCTTCTGGATGATAATAAAGTTTATATGAATTTTATTTTATTTTATTACCTTGTACAAGTTCTTTAATCGAATCTAAAAGCCAACTAGGTTTTTCTACTACCTTCGGATTAGATACTCCAGGATGTTGTCTATGTTTAAGTTCATTATTTAAAATTAACTCATCCACATCTTCTGCAACTATCATCTTTTGTTTTGTTGAATACTAATAAAAAAATAAATGACAATAATGCATACAGTTTTTATCAAAATAATCGTTGCTTAATATTGGATAGCATTTAACAAGTGTACAAATCAATAGTTTATTTAAATCATTAATAAAAATAGTTTATTCATAAATGAACATCGTTTACAATAGAATATTAACATTAATATAAATTTTATTAGTTACCAATCTTATGTGTTTGCATTTTAGAAAAGTCAATCTTGATGACATGGTAACCTTAATATCCTTTGCACTTGTTTTTCTATATTTAGATAAATCAAATAATGCTATTTAGAATTTTAATATTTACAAGTGGTTAAATAAATATATAAACGTGTCAATTTAAAACTGCAATAAGGATTATTATGGTATAATAAACAATTAACAAATACTATCATGCCACTGAAATGCAAAGCGGTATATGTCATGTAACCTTAAAGAAATTTTGTATATACAGATATCTGTCGTACGTTCAATTTGTTCTCCTAAAATAACTAATGATGATGCTTTTCAATAAACCGTTAATCTTAATGCTTATATTTCGGTGTATTCGTTAAAATATAGACATTATAATAGTCAAAACATTTAATTTATAAACATAATGAAATTTACAGAGCACTTAAGTGCTCATATCACTCCAGAATGGAGAAAACAATACATAAATTACGAGGTAAAATAAAAATTTATGTTACAGTTTGAAATAAATAAATGTTATGTTCTGATAGGGGTAAATGTAATTAAACATATCTGTAGCATTTTAGTATTTTATGGGTATAATAGTTAGACTCATTGATATTTATAACTTTTGTATAACTTTTTACAATTTACAAATATTAATCATGTTATAAAGTTTAAGAACTGTATATTTATAAAATAATACTGGTATACAGGAAATGAAAGCATTACTTTATGCAGCAGTAGAGCAAGCACCAGCAGCGGATATAACAGAATCTCACATATTGGAACGTTATTTTAATAAGTTTGATGAACAGTTTTTTCATTATTGTGATAAGGAACTGGCAAAGATAAATACATTTTATTCAGGTAAATTAAATTTTTTATAATAATGATTATATATGTTTCTAATATTACATTTGGTAATTTGTTAATTTATCATCCATTAATTTAGAAAAATTGGCAGAAGCTACACGTAGATTTGCAACTCTCAACAATGAATTAAGTGAAATTCTGTCAGTTTCTGAAGATAGACAAGGAAATCGCAAAATCCGTTATCGTAATAATATTTTGCATAAAAAACCAGTTTCTGCCCGTAAACTTCAAGAATTAAAGCTGGCTTTTTCTGAATTTTATCTTTTTCTTATTTTACTTCAGAACTATCAAAATCTTAACTTTACTGGGTTTAGAAAAATATTGAAAAAACATGATAAAGTAAGCAAAAACATGAATCACAGATATAAATTTACATTGATATTACTTAATAAGAAACTGTTGTATTATTCAGCTTTTAAATATAGATATTGGTGCTAAATGGAGAGCAGAACATGTAGATACTGCATTATTTCATACACATAAAGATATTGACAGGCTTATTGCAGAAACAGAAGCCTTGGTTACCAGAGATTTAGAACATGGGGATAGACAGCGTGCTATGAAACGTTTGAGAGTACCGCCTCTTGGAGAACAGCTATCCCCATGGATTACATTTAAAGTTGGACTATTTTCAGGAGCCTTTGTTGTTCTTCTCATAGCAGTAATTCTTTCAGGTTGATAGATATTTATTACTTATATTTGCTATGTTATAAGGTATTTTCAAAAACATATTATTTGGTAAATTTTATAGGTGCACAATATAGGAATAATAATAATTGGCGAGTTTTATGTAGATTATATCGTGGACCATTACTTATGATTCAATTTCTTTTCCTTATGGGTATAAACGTATATGGTTGGAGATCTTCCGGTGTAAATCATGTCTTAATATTTGAATTGGATCCTCGAAATCATTTATCAGAACAGGTTGTATATTTCATTTATTGATCTATAACATATATTTAATGACCATTATATTTTACAGCATATTATTGAAATGGCAAGTGTATTTGGCTTGGTTTGGTCTTTATCTATTTTGGGATTTTTGTACAGCGAAACGTTGGGTATACCACCATTTGTTCAACCTGTAAGTCATTATAATAGAACAAAATCATTATAAATTATATAATTCAACTAAAGTGTACCCCTTTTTCATAGATTTTACTTTATACACTATTGGCTGTGTTCTTATTTAATCCAACGAAGACGTTACGATACGAGGCTAGATTTTGGGCGCTTCGTGTACTAGGCAGAATATTTTGTGCCCCATTTTTCTATGTCGGATTTGCCGATTTTTGGCTTGCCGATCAGCTTAATTCTTTACATACAGTCTTTTTAGATTTTCAATATTTTGTTTGTTTTTACGTACAAAACTCATCGTGGACCGATGTCACTGGTTCGTACTTAAATATCTATATATTATTAAAAAATTTTATAAAATTTCGTGACGCACTTTTCTATAGATGCAGAAACTTGTATAATGCGAGAATTGTCCATGAGACCTTTTGTAGCTTGCTTACCAGCGTGGTTTCGATTTGCACAATGTCTGCGACGGTACAGAGATACAAAAGAGGCTTTTCCACACCTTGCCAATGCAGCAAAATATGCTACCAGTTTTTTTGTTGTAGTTTTCTCGTATTTACACTTAACTAATTCTAGTGAGTTTTTTAATATCCGTTAATTTCATATAGAAATTATGAAGATAGTCGCATACTTTTATTTTTTACAGAATACTATGTGATGTCCACAGAAAATCCATATTTTTACTTATGGATAACTGCGAGTATAATGAGCTCTTGTTTCGCGTATACTTGGGACGTGAAATTGGATTGGGGATTATTTGATAGTAATGCAGGAGAGAATAAATTTCTTAGAGAGGAAATCGTTTATTCTTCTCCGGTAAGTACTATTCCATGTATGCAAATTAAAATTGTTTATTTATGTTACAATCATGTTGCAGTATTATTACTACTTTGCAATAATCGAAGATTTTGTGCTCCGGTTTGGTTGGGCATTTTCTTTATCCCTTACGGAGATGGGATATGTTCATGCAGATTTAATGGTTTCTATAGTCGCACCACTGGAAGTGTTCAGGTGAGTTAAAAGTAAGTTAAATGCAGACAAATTTTTGCAAGTCATGATCATGATACATGAACAATTTGTACAAAATAGTTCATATCGCACGATCTATTATAACATATCATCTTTAGCGAAGCTTGACAGGTATCTTTGTTTGCATGTTATTTAAAACGATTCGATATTTCAGTTACAAAATATTTGTTAGACGATGATGTTTGTCGAGTGAGACTAATAAATTTTAATAAATAATATTATACAAAAGAAATTTTTATTATTTATATTCCTACTTTATACACTTCTTTATATTTTGTATTATCTTGTTTTTAAACTTATATTGCGTATTTTAATTTATCGTAAAACATATGATTTTGTATCACTTCGCCTTACTAATCAGTTAATAGAAGGTACATCTGGAATTATTTCCGTCTGGAAAACGAACATCTGTACAACGTAGGAAAATTTCGTGCGGTTCGAGATATCTTCATAGGGCCTTGCAGGCACACCGAGGACGATGAACGACAAACAACTGTGCGCCTCATGGATTGTGCCAACAACGACTGTAACGAGTTGATAGCATTTCGCAATCGTTTAAAATAAGAGCTTGTAATTGCAATTTCTCATTCTCATAAATTTTTTTTCTCGTATTTTTGAGTTATAATTTAATTTGCACGATTGGCGCATTAAATTTTCAATTAACGATCTAATTTTTGAGTGTTAGCTCATTTTTTGTGAAGTTTATAATCGTCATACATGTACAAGAGGCTCGATCTATATTATAGAATAATTGCCCGTTCCTTTTCGACAGGAGATTCATATGGAATTTTTTCCGTTTGGAAAACGAGCATCTCAACAACTGCGGTAAATTTAGAGCAGTCAGAGACATATCCGTTGCGCCGGTCGATTGTTCCGATCAGACGCAAATATTAAGGATGATGGACGCTTCGGACGGGGTAGTTAATCGAAAGAGGAAACAGAAAATGATGGATAAAAATAAATCATTACGTGCGTCTTCCAAATGCGAATCTCTGGTTTGTGATCTAGGCGCTTAAACGAAACGACGTACGTTTGTTTCGCTAGAAGTGAATGTTAATCATTATGTTATGTATAAATGTAAAGAAATCGATGCTAGTCGTTAAAGTACAAAGTATATCAGAGTGATTCTTTAAACCGTGTTAAATATGAAAAATGAATAATGTTTTAATCTGTAATATTCTATCTTGTTGTAAGATTATACGTGTTATACTTCTTGGCATCATGTGAATTCAAATTTCCCGCGTTGTGCGGCACAGAGTAACAAGAATCGACATTTTCGAGATCTTCATCGATATACTCACGCACAGTAGATTTGAATTTAAAAAAGCTGCGATCGAAACTTCGTATAAACGAATACGAATTTCTTTTTTAATTGTATTATCAAATTATAAAAAAAATAAAGTATTTTAATGTTTTTAATAAATGTCTAATATTCTTTCATCTTGTACGTCTACTATTCTCAAATATGTATCAAGATATTATCTTGAAATTTTTGTTTAAAAAACAGGACTGAACTTTTCTAACCATTTAATAGGTTAAAAAGATATGATAAATGTAAACAAATAACATGGAAATATGTTCAAGCGGTTGAACTCAATTTAGATTTAGTACAGAAGATCAGTTCGCCAGCTGTGGCAAAGAAAATGTTAATAGCGTGTGTATCGAGTACAATGCAAATACTTATTCTCCGATAATACCATTCGAACAGTCGTCGTGATTGACGGTGTACGATCGTTATAGACCATTGTTTTATATCGCGTTATATCACGTTTAAGGTCTTATAAATTTGATCATTCGGCATCATAGTTTGTTCGAATGCCTCTTGCGTACTTTCGAACATAAGCGGATAAACGTACTAAGTAGTCTTATTTTTACCTTGGAAGATTGCTTTACACGCAAGATAAAGTTCGTACGTAAAAATTACTAGATGAGTTCGAAGAAAACAAGCTATTATCTGCCCCATATATTTTATGCGTCGATAACCACGGCAAATTGAGTTTAACGAAATTTTCGAGCTGTTTGAAGGTACCGTATTCGCAAGCCTCTACTTTGCCATCGAATCTATTTGAATCTAATTATAACTTGAGAATTGGTAATTTTCCAGTACATGCTATATTAATTTCCGGATATCAGACTTCCGTTAGATGCATAAAGAATCATAAATATTATGAAATAACCGACCGTCATTATAGCACTTAGTTGGCATCGTGAATTTTATTTAAATTAAGAGTGTCGCGTGGAGGTGTACAATTTGTTCATTGCGTGAGGGTGACAATCAAAGGGGCGTCATTTCGATCGATTATGCGTATAATAAAAATTAGTTGTACATCACTTTTTGTTTTCTATCTTTGCACGTTATACAGAACGTAGTCAAGAAAATTCGCAGCCGACATGAGTTCGCGTGGTCTGCAGCAACCACGATAAAGCGGTTGTTCCACGATCGTAGAAGTCGAAGGAACGGAATTGACTCCGAACGACGAACGCGGAAACAAGAGTTCCAAGAGAAGGGCAAGAAGCGTTGGTTTTCGTCGACGACGATATCGCGGTGGAAAGGGTAATGGTGGTATTGATTGCAACGGAACTTGACCGCGCAAGCTCTCTGTCTGCCCTCAATGAAATGACGTGCTTACATATGGAACCACGACGGACGGGACGACGACGACGATAAAAACCTGTGGATAGCACACCTGGCCAACACCTGCCAGTTGGAACGGTGATGATGACACCGACCCTCTGCACCTGTACATGGCTCTTGCTACCCTGCTGCGTACTCATCAGCCTATCCACCGGCGAATTGGATTTCTATCGAGGTGAGCATTTCGCTGCTTTGTTCGAAAACACAGCTTTTGTAGGGGGTAATGACACTATCCGCAAAAAGGTTGTGTATCGGCCTCTCCCTCTTCTCGATAATATACGCTCATGACCTTCTTACGCTTCGTTCTTTGTTCGCTTTTACCATTGTCTACCTTCCGGTTTTCATCGAGTTCGTTCGCGTCTGCGATGCAAAACCGACTTAAAACATTGAAGCCCTTTGTCCGATATTACGACTGTCATCGCCACCGTGTAATCGATCGTTTTCTTCTGCTTTCATTTTGAATTTTCCATCCCATTCCATTCCATCGCAGGCATCTATTCGTTGCGAAATTTTTATCCCCTGTTCGTATACAAAACGACGGAATCGAGTTTCGATGTTTATCAGCATTGTTTCGCGTTTCGAATTTTGCATATGCTTTCTTTATACACGTCACGAAACGTTCAAGCGATGTTCTTGTTTTTAATCAGTTCAAGAGCTAATTTTCTGGACAATGATGCTGGTTAACGAACGTGCAAAATTGTGAATTGCAATGAATGTTTACCTTGACGCGATACCGCAGGAATGATTTATCTCTGAATTATATAGGAACGTATCAAATTGTTGTACACGTATAACGTGTATTGAGAAGGTCTGTTAACCGCAGTTTATCGTTCTACTGTATCAGCAGGAAGTAGGATGATAACACGTAACTGCTGTATAATTAGCTTTCTTTAGTTTAATATAGTTTGTTGTCTTAGTTGCAAGTGTGTGAAACGTTTGAACAGATTCTAGGCGTTCACAGGTAATTGCATAAATAAACGTGACACTGCAAATTTCGAGTATTGTCGAGATAGTTATTTCCAATCGCTATAACAACAATTATAACTATTAATACCATTGTTATCAGTACTACTGCTATCAATACTGTCACCATTATTCTTATCGACACAATTATTGCTAACATTTTTATAACAACTGTTATAATTACTATTATTGGTATCGTCTCTAATTATTATTAGAACTATCAATATTATCACTGAAAAGCACTTAAGTAACCACTTGAATAACAATTCAATTATAATGATTTGCAGATGAAGTTCCTGAAAGTCCAGAAAATATCGCGTTGATGGAATATCGCGCTCGCCAATTGGTTGACTTACTCGAGGCACAGAATCATCGTCAACAGCATCCTCGCAGAGCATTCTTTTCCCCGTTAGTAGGAAACCAAGCTCACAAGAGGTATCACTTGGACGCGCACCGTCAAAAGGAAAGGGATCTTCTAAACGTTTTAACCGATAAAGCGCTCCTAGCCGAAATTCTCAGGCAAAAGAAGGCAAAAGAATGGAATTACAGACAAACGCGATACAACGAGCCCATCAACGAACTTCCGCAAGAAAGGGAACATTATCTACCGATCGATGAATCGAGTCAGTTCGAGAATCAATTGGAATTTCTCAATTTTAAGTTGCCTTATTTTTCACGGCACACCAACGACCAGGATGCTAATTACGAGGATGAGAGCTATAGATACGATCAAAATGGACCAATGAAACAAATACCTTACGATGAAAGGCAGTTTGATAGGGGAATGAAGGAAGAACCGTTGTCGAGCTTTCATGGAAGTTACGGTGCGTCGTTCGATGAACAGATTGCGAATGATAGGAAAATTCAGAAACCGCAGACGACTCTTCCAGAATTTACTTATCACTTCGATGATACGGGTCTAAACGAGAAACATCCGTTCGCGGTGAAACCTAACAACCCCAAATTTTATCAAGACGGCCCTTTTTTTTTAGGTAAAAGTCGTGTCTTTTTTACTTAGTGTGACGCGTTGACTGTCCTCGGAGTTGACAATGAATTAGTCGTATTCCCAATACGTTATTACGTGTGAAGATACAACACTCGGAAGATATCATTAGGACGAATACAACGATATGTAACGTGTAGCGATCAAGCGTGTGAAAGGAATTTGATCAATCAGTAATATTTATTTTAATTTTTAGTGTTTCTCTTACGAGCTATTAATTAATGATGACTCCTGTTGCAGTCGACGCGTCGCTATTTACAAATGTAGAAAACTAGTGTAATTTATTTGTGTTAACAGGCGATAACGATAAGTTGAACATAGAAAAAACCTTCGGAAACAGAACGAAGTGGGAGGAAGAAAGTAATGGAGCAGAAAAATCGCAAGCAATACACGAAGAACATACGAGGAACAGAAATTCGAAATTCAAGGATACATCGATGATCACGTTATCGGAGATAGAGCAGCGGACAGGCTACAGTCCTTTGGTTGTACCCGTGAATCGCGATTTGAATAACGATATATATTTTATTGGTAAGCAAACGTGTCCGCCTAAATTAATGGGAATTTTAATTTTGTAAAATGCAACGAAAGGATTAATTGAAATTCTATCGGTGTGACAAGTTTGTTTTTATTTACAGCTATCGTTGCTGGTTGCAGTGCAGCGGCGATGTTTGCTCTCGTATTAATTGCTTTAACATGGTGCAGGTGAAAAGAAATGGATTATAAAAAAGAAATTAATAATATAAATACATAACGTCGTGTTAATGTTCATAGGTTGAAGCGGGGTGCTAAGGCAGCTGCTGATATAGAATATCCAGCTTATGGAATAACAGGTCCAAACAAAGAGATATCGCCTTCAGGAGACCAAAGACTTGCTCAGTCTGCTCAGATGTACCACTTCCAACATCAAAAGCAACAAATCATTGCTATGGAAAAGTAAGATCATCGTGCATTTTGAATATTAATTTACATTTTCGTTTTATTTATCTATACACGCGTTAAAAAATAGTGATTTCCAATTTCTGACAAATTTTTCTAGATATCATTGAAAGCTAAGAAGTTAGGTCAATGAGTATTACCATTAATCTGTGCAGAAATTTCATTGAATTTGGAAATTTTTTATTTTTAATTGGAGTGTTTTGTTTCAATAATGATTTGTGTAGTCGTGTTTCTGCAACCAGAGATCCGGGCTCTATTTCTGAAGCCGAGAGCGAAGAAGAAAACGAAGAAGGGGACTACACCGTTTACGAATGTCCAGGATTGGCTTCTGTAAGTCTTTTCTGTTGTTTCTTTGTATTCCATAAATGTAGTGGATAGTAAACCCTCGTATTTTATATATTAATTATTTGTTCTTTAAAGACTGGGGAAATGGAAGTGAAGAATCCATTATTCCATGACGATCCAACACCAGCAACACCAGCACAAACGAACAAAGAAGAGGACCACATGTAGTTTCAGTAAATTCTGAATACATTTCATTTGAATATCTCTTTTTTTGGTGCTTAGCTCACTGTTAATGTACCATATCGGAAACATTTATCTATATATACACACATATATATATATATATATATATACATGTATATACATATATATTAAATGTATACAATTTTAATACCTATGAATATGACGCAGGAAGTCAAGATACAAAAGATCAAATCAAGGGTCTGATATTTAGGGCTACATTTGCGTTTTGTGCAAGGGATTTATCACGTGAGACGATGAACATCTTGTATCGTTTCGAACTATTGTGTTTGTTTGAGAACACATATTTCTTACCTCCATGATGTACTATAGTTTGTACTTTCATAGCAAGTGCGGTTTAAACCATATGATTGACATTTATTTTTCTACATGCCGTTACACTTGCAAAGATAAGAGTACAGATTGGAGATCATATATTATACTATTAATATTCGATATCACATTCTACTTGATTTTAATTCTTTAAATTTATACACTTGACGTTGGTTCATCAAATTTTAACGATTGATTTCCTGCTTTAAATCGTATCGGAGTCGCATTGTTCATTTATAAAAGATACTTCTTTCTTTATTATTAATGCTACTGACTCTTGTAACATTGTCATAGAGAGAGCTTTAGCAGCGACAATATCTTGGGATTGGTGGACTAAAATGTTTTCTTACGCGTTACACCACAACATGATATATCTTCGTGCGTTACGATGGCGGAAGCGCTACTAGGGCGCGTGAGAATCGTGCGAAAGTGACAATATAACGAGAGTCTACTTTTACCGTATTTAAAAAAAAATACTTAATTCTATATAAATTTACATAATAGAGAAGCAAGCAGAAGAAAGTAAGCGATTAAGATACTTTAAGAATTTGAATTAAGGTGAAATTTTATTCTATACAAAATGTTATTGCGTTTAACTTATTTTAACACACGTTACGAAGCAATGTGAAATAATTCCAGTTTTGCGTATATCTGCCGTTATTTCTGACATCATTGCTGTGATTTATATTATTTCCGGAAGGAAGAGCAAGAGAGAAACTCTGTACATATATGTATACGTTACAAAGAAACTGTTCCTTTTACTATTGGCTATTACACAGGTGATATATAACACGTATACATACATATATAATTTATTCGCTTGAAACAATAATACGTATGTATTTTATTTTTCTATAACAGTCCTAACGCTGTTGATCGATAGAAACGATTGTAAGATAAACAGAGCCTATCATAGAAATGATTATTTATTTTGTCAAACTTGAAAGCACTTATACGTAATTTAGCGTCGACTGTCTAATTCACTCCGAATAAGAGTTACTATTTACATTGTAAATCCTCGAATATATGTGGAATGCTATATAGACATGCTAATAATATAACAAAGACGAAAAACAGTAATTTTCCTGAAGAATTTCGTCAATGTTTAATAATCGGTCATAGATCGAGAGTTAAAAAAAGAAAAAAAGAACACGTGAACAGCATGAACTTATCGTTAGCCTTTCAATGCCTTTACAGCACCGCATCGTCTACCACAAAATAAATTCGTTAAAATTTTATAGAGTGAGAACACTATGAAGGGACAATCTGTGTACAAATAGACGATTGTATAGAAAATTTGTAGCATGATCGTATGTGTTGTGGGCTGTAGCATAGCCGCAATGGAAATCATTGCTATAAATGTCCGAGATATGTTTCGTAAATAACACACACACATATATATATACATATATAATATATGCATATGTATTTACACCTATATGCATATATATTATATATGAAGTTAAAACTATTATTTTCGTTCTTCCATTAATTGAAAACTGGTATAAAATATAAATAATAAATGATGTACTATTATTTTATTAAATAAATTGTTTATTTTATAATGAATCATTGTAATGCTTTGTACTTATTCATTTTCTTTCTCTAAATTTCTTTCTAAATTTTATTTAATTTCAGATGCAATTGTGTACGTAGGAAAATATATTTTTTTTTGCTTATACAAGTTAAAATTTACATTATTTGCATGAATGCGAGTAACTTTTGTATTCGTTTTAACTATCGAACTCTACCCGATATTTTTTATAAATAAAATGAAAATGTGAGCGACACAAAAGCGAAGTCGAATTTCAGGTATTACAAAACGCCAAAGTTATTTGTGAATTGTAATCTTATTTTTACAATAACCAGATCACTTTTCGTCGTCTTTATAAGACATATTAATGTTTCCACACTTCAAGTCTATCTCTTCGGTGACAGGTTCTTCTTCGGGCGGATCAACGTATTTATAGAATGTTGCCATTATGGCGAAGATGATCATAGAGACGAACATGAGTCCAGCGAATAAAAGGAATTCGTAAAACTGAAAAATAAAAGATAGCAATATTAGAAGAAAGTAGGTTGTCGATGGCACAGAAGAGAACTTTTCGAGTAATCTCTCCTTACAAAGAATTAAAGAGTATATTTACCATTCGACTAAAGACTGATGAACTTCCAGCAAGAACTATAATAACTACAATTAGATTCCCGAACGCGGTTGTAAGTAACCAGGTAGCTTGCAACAAAGCTTTCATACTGATAGGCGCTTGAGTGAAGGCAAATTCTAATCCTGTCACCGAGAACATAATTTCGCCCATTGTGATGATTACATATTGAGGTATCATCCATAACATGTGCATCGAATTCGGTGTTGTCACGGTTACAACATTAGCAGCTGCACTACCTCCCATAACAGATCCGACCAATGTGTAGACTCCACCAATTTTAAACTCTACTTTGGAAACAACTTTAGAATCTATACGAATATCATAGGTTTCTGGATCAACCTCTACAGGTAGCGGCACAGGAGACAAAGCATCAGATATGTTTAACGTGTATGTCTTCTTCACAGATTCCAGCGTAACGACAGAATTGCTTTTGTAGATCAGACCGCGTACTAACGATCTACCGCTCTTTGATTTTTCAACGTTGTCATCATAGTTCACAGTTAAACCATTGGGTGTAATTACCCAAGAATTTGCCACTGCTTCCTTTACCGTGATTGTTCCTAAAAGATACGTTCGGTTGTGTTAATAGTAATATAAAATAAGAAATAAGATTGATGAACTCTCAGACAAACAACGCACCTTCTGTATTGGGGATATCGAAACAGTTTGCAAAATTTGTTTTGTAACTTAATTCCATAACACCATTTGCTGCGATTTCTCTGTTTTCATACATATCCAAATTTTTAATAATGAAATTGTCTGTAGAATTTAATTGTAAGTCCACAGGACAATTTAACGTATTGAAAATTCGTAGCTGAGCTAAGCCATTCGAGGGCAGAATTGGATCTGTTTTCTGAGAAAAGAAATTTGAAATGTACTCTAAAAACAAGGTGAAATATCTTTCTTCTAAAGGTGTTTAACATAGTATACCTCAAGTTCAAACTCAACGAGAGCCGATGCAACGAACGACAACGCAGCCAACACACCACCGACAGTGAGCTTTCTGAGCGGAGTGTGAATACCAATTTTATTCAGAACCGGGTAAATAAAGGCTTCGAATAGAGGAATGAAAGCGAGCACCAGCAATGGATTAACCACTTGCATTTGATCCGGTTGGATCGTGAAACTTCCGATTTGTCCGGTCATCCTGGTAGCTTGAATAGTCCATCGAGTACCTTGCTGATCAAACAGTGCCCAAAATATTGGTATCGGTAGGAACAATTTCATAACTTGAATTGCTCCCTTGATATCCCTTATCAACCTTTTGTCGTACTCGTCATCCGCGTAATCGAGCCAATGCTCTCTTTTCGCTCCCCTTGGATTTATCTTTCTACTAATGGCATGCTGAAATTTTGAATAAACACTTTAGTTAAAGATGACCGATGAACGTCTCTCGATACTTTCCAGTTGAGCATAACACTTACGGCAACACATTTGGAAACGTCTACCACCACGTTGCCCTTTGGTTGTAATATTCTGTACATAGGTTTGCCGAAAACAAATATCACTGGAAAGAGAAGCAAAGAAGTAATCGAATTGTACCGCGGAATCTCTTTAAAAGAATTCTTGTTGAACTTACGAATCGATATAATCATGAGAACCGCTGGAACAAGAAACGCCAAGGAATAACAGTCGCCTCCGAAACAGGAGACTTCGCTACGAAGCAATGGCGTTAGGAAGCTTGAAATCAAGGAACCAGCATTTATAGAAAAGTAAAAGATGGAGAAGAATGTGGACAGGTATCGTTCTTGTTGTGGCAAGACGAATTGGTCACCACCAAATGCAGCCACGCAAGTTTTTATACCGCCTGTTCCAATGGTTATAAGGAATAGACCAATCAATGAAAATTCTCTGCAAAGTTACATGTTTAATAAACACAATTGAAATGTTAACTACACGCTTTAAAAATGATTCTGCTTCTCGCCATATACAGGGTGTCCGACCAAAATTACTCAATGTATAACTTTACAAATACTTTTAATGTCATCTCTGTAGCGAATAGAATACACTATTAAACCTGTGTCCTTATTTCTTAAACATCCTGTATAGTGCTTTTAACTGTTTAAAGATTAGTTACCGAACTGTGTTAATAAGGGTTAGAGAAAGATCTTACCGTGGCGGTAGCCCTATAATGGGTGCAGCGCTTAGAGTTAAAAGAATTTGTCCTATAGCATAAACTATGCTCAAGTAGAAGATCGTGTTAAATTTCCCTAACCACGAATCTGCCAATATCGCTCCAAACACGGGGAAGAAGTAGGCCAACATGACGAAAACGTGGAATATCGTGGTCGTTATAGAATCTTCATAATTCAGGTAGTTTCGGAGGTATATAGTTAAGGCGGCTGAATAAACAAATTGTATATAATCTCATATCGTATCCATAATTTGACAATGAGTGTATAGTATTAAGAAACTAGTAATCAAAATTCAAGCGGGTAACAGAACTCGTAGAAACACTAAAAACCTTCGTGTCATAAACGCTCCATAGGTAATTATTTTTTAAACACATCATAAACCTATATCATTGCTTTCGAATGATATGATCTCGATCCATTACTTTGTTGCATTTTGTTTTGTGTTATCTCCATCCGAGCGTGTACATTATATAAACCAGAAATGCACAATCAGATAAGATTGGATTAAAATTTTTGGAGGCCTCGAACACTCGAAAGATTTCGATACCCTTACATACACGTATAGTAAATCTAAGGCATATTCTTGTTAGATGATTTTTCAATGAATCAACTAGTAGACCTCGAACAACACAGTCGTCTATTTCCTTTCTTCCGTCCTTACATTCTTTTTTAGCATAATCGCTGTGAAACGTGCGTTTAACTCGTGTAAATCAATGGTTCTGATAAAAACGACTCGTTGAAGATGTCCAAATAAAACTCCCATAGCAGTTGACTTGATAACTATCTTTGTAAGTTACGATACAGAATCTCAACATACAAAACAAGTAATTAATTATCACGAAAATCTTTTCGTTTGCTTTCGTGAGTTTTGTCAGCCACTTGTATGTTCTGAAATCACTTGTGTTTCATGAAAGATTGATTATTAAAATGTCTAGAAGAGTCAAGAAATTGCAAATGTTGTTTATACAATTGTGAGAAGTGAAAGTTGATTGAATAAACTTTATCAAAAGATATGAAACATTACTTGAAAAAATATTACAAGGTTGATATACAGAAATATACGTACTTCGAATTCCATAGAAAGAGAATCTCTCGCAGAATTCATTGCTAACGATGAAGGCTACCGCCTTTGGATACTCGAGTTTCTGTAAAGATCAAAATAAAATAACAATCGTGTAATATTACGCATCTTTCGTACAATAACATAATTGCAGAAGGAATGTCGGTTGACATAATTAACCTCGTTGTCGTTATAAGAAACTAAGAGGAATTATATTTTCTCTTGCAAAATATTGAAGGCCACAAGATTCGCGCAATTATTCGAGCTACCAATATTGCTATACCTGCTCGACCTGTCTCAAATGTTGAACTTTAATTTATTTCTCTATCTACTATTTAATTTATTTCTCTATCGACTATCTTGCAATAAATTAAAAAAAATATAAAAATGACACAGTGCGAACCGAAACGTTAACAAAAATTGATTGTTATTAATCTCGGCAAATGACTTGACTCGTTTACAGTTTTACAATTTCCGTTTTATTTGCGTTTTTAACAAGAACTAGCAAAGCTATAAAGTTATAACAAACATAGGAACATTGCTGCGGATAAAGTAGGTGCCTTGAAATGCCTTTAAAATCGTCCTCGTATCTCATTGAATAATGTTTAAAACATTACTGTCTGGACAGCTTAAAAATTGTCATACATTTTTCACGAGAAACAAAACAAGCTCAGTTAAACGACACGTTATAAAATATTACTGAAATAATAATCTGTTACTTGAAAATTCAAATGTTAACTAGCTAATATCATTGAAGTTTTATCGCATCGAAACATTTTACGATCGAAGAGTCATCGATCGATATCGAATCGAAGTGATGTCAATGCAACTAGGATTCTTACCTCCGACACATTTGCACCTTCCTCGGCCATTGCGTTTTTTAATTTTACACAATCCGCGATCACAGTAAAATGGAATTAAACACTAACAATATATATTTGTTAACAGTATGTTTTACGTTGTTGATATACATGATAGTTGAAAAGATTGTGAAGTGTAATACATAATGGGAACACGGTTTTAGGTAAAAAAAACAATACAATTAGATTCCATCACATTTACATCACCTATCGAACAAGGTAACTAAATTGATATCTCGCCTTATGAGTTGTGAGAGCGAAACGTCGATCTCGATTGACAGACAGAATCGCACTGTTAAGTTTTGCGTTGTGTTCTTACAACGTGTAAGCATTACGATAAAGACCGCGACGGTGGCACTGAGAATTGTTACGTATAATGTACAGTGCCGAGCATGGTAAGCTTCTGAATGGAAAGTGGTCATGCAGAAGAGAAAGACCCCACCACTCGTTGCTGTTAAATTAGTCAATCTTTCGGATATTTACAAATTTGTAAATCTTCGGATTATAGAATTTAAAAATTCGGGAACTTGAATACTTTCAGAATTTGAAAATTTAGAGGTTCAGAAATGTGAACAATTTCAAACTTACATATTTGATCGCCTAAAATCGAAAGTAGTGGGAGGTTTCTTCTACGCTACTGTTATTCAAAGGGAACTTACGTTGCATTCGAGTGTACGTACACGCGTATTTGGAACAATGTGAAAGTATTCAACTACGCTTAAACCACAATCGAATGACGGTCATGACGAAATATCAATGGTACGGTAGTTTCCATAAAACTGTTAGAAATATAAGTGATGTCAATGCTATTCTAACGCGCATCACACTGTCTATCTGAAAATATATTTTGTCGTAACCTTCAACGATTTCCTTTCATTCGATGATTACAAAATGATAGTCTGTTGATTCAATTTTTCCGTGAGGTATAGTTTAGTATAAATAATATTTGTCGATTAAATATAATAAATCATAATAACATATTATCTTTCGGAAATCATAATCTAAAAAGTATTTTATAATATTTTAAAAAACTAATTAAGATATAAGAAGATAACGCAGATAATAATGTGCAAATGGATTAAGATAGTTTGAACATATCTAACGGATTCAAAGTTCAATTTGTCATGAAGTGTATCATCTTGTTCTCATTGAAATGCATTCGCGCGCAATTTTATACCTGAGGAAGAAAAGAGGTTAACGAGATTGCTTCCGAACGCAAGTTTCCGTTTTATGATGTTACGTAAAATGTCATTACCGGTGTTTGACACTTGTGAAAGTTGAACAGTCATAATCATTCAGAACGATAAAATCAACATAATTGAATGAAACAATGACATTGCTTTTATTTTGATAATTTTATAATTAAATTTTTTCAAGTGAAATCAAAAAATTATTTATCGCACAAGAAACATCATTCGTACGAAAATAATGAAATACAACTTTTTGTGATAGCGTGCTTATAAATATTAGTTTCGGATGCCAAATTATCACGATAGTATAACACCTTTATGTTGAAGCAGATAATTTCTTGATAACGATAAGTGAATGTTTAATGTTTACCTTTTGATTCTCCTCTACGCTACTTTCATTGTCCGGATGATCTGAAAAATAGTAGAAGATGGATTGATAACACATGTCTGTTACGATTGTACATTCATTCTATTATTCTGCCTACTTTTAATCCACAATGAGTACAATCAGTGTGCTGTGTTATTACAATGGTTTATTACCTCCATCTAAAGCAATTCTTCTGTTTGTATCTTTTACTAGTCTTTCATGCTTAATTTTAATAATTTGATCACGTGTGCGTTTGTAGGCTATAGGAATGACGTAATTATAGAGTCGCAACAAGTTTCACTTTCAAGTGTATAAAACAAGTTTTCATCGATACAGACAACGAATCTAAACAATCGACGTTTGTTAATCAAGCAGTAACGAGCTAACGAGTAAATGGCACTCGTACCTTGATACGTGCATACCGAATTCAATTAATCTCTACACACCGTTCGATTGTTACGTTGATGTTCCAGTTGATTGGAATAAATGTATGTTGATCCATTGGATTATAACAAAATTATTATTAGAAAATTATTAAGCATTGAAATCTTCCTTGACAATAATCAGCTATGCACGTATAATCTCTGGTATTATAATAACCACGATACAACAGGGTTAAAGCACTAGCCATCATTGCCATCGGACGAGGGACACCAGTAGAAAATAATCTGTTATGTCATTAGTATTTAAAAGTCACTATGGTAATTTGTTGCTTTCGATTTAGGTCACGGTCCAGTTGACCCGAGATGCTCTGCCAAATATCGTGTTAAGATTCATCAATGAATTTTGTTGTTTGACACGTTAACTGCCACGACAGATACCAATTACCCCTGTTACTGATTTAGCCCATTAATAAGTTGGCGACAAATGTCTACCGAACGTGGCTATTTTTAATATGTCAAACTGAATAATTTTTCTGAATAATTTGAAAAAACAAATATGTCTTTTTAGCGATCATTCGTATGTTTCATAAAGTCAAGGAAGTAATTTGTATTGCGGAGTTGATTTGAAATAATCCAGTTCTCGATAAAGAAAATTTTATCTCAATATCTTTGAGAATTGCCACTTACACGCTATATCAAAAACATGGAAAGGTTCGATTTGAATGGAAATTAGATAATACGTTCGAGTTATCAAATGTTAATTATAAATAGAATGTTGCATTTTTTGAGTTCGTCTGTTGTCTTATCTAACTGCATGTATGAAGTTTATATAAGTTTTCTCAAGTGCAAGTACTTATTTTCTAAAAAAAAAGAAAAGATTCAAGTACGCGTTTAAAAAGAAACGATATAATCGTAAAATGAAATATAATATCATGAACGATTAAATGGAACGAATAACTCGATAAGTGTAAGGAAATTTTCGTTAAATGTACATTGAGCAACTACCTTGTATCTCGCTGTCAGAAGGTTTCTTTCCACACATATTCGTCTCCTGAATGCTAAACCGAACCTGTTACTATAATGTTTCTTTTGATACTGAATCACATTTTCAATTGTATTATCTTCTTATGATTATCTACTGTTATCAGTCGAAACGTTCAAGCTAGCAATTATTTCTGGGAGGCGTTCATCAGGTTTGATAACGATTGAAACGTCGATGATGCACAAGAAATGGATGTTTATATTTTTCGCAAAGGACTTTGAAAATGAATTTATGACAACACCGGGGAAATCGGGCAAAAGGATCATTCTACAAGATTGACGCGAAGAAGTGGAATTGGAAAATTCATAAAGCGGAAGCGAGCTTGCGGACTGCGGATTCATGAATTCTCAACGGAAGAGTGCACAAACATCTGGGTCCTTCGTCGGGTCAGAGGATGACTAAATTAACCACCGATCGTCTATCAAAGAGAAGAGTAGAACTTTTTCCTGGTTACCCCTAGAATGGGGAAAACAACTGGATCAAGCATCGATTGCCTTTCAGGGAAGGGACAGAGGAGTTCACCAGACGCTTCTTTTTATTTTTGTTCATAGGTTTATTCCGTCATTTCTGTATTCTGCTTATTAAATTTATCGAGTGCAATAAAAACGATACTGCGCGTTATCAAAAGAAAAGATTCCAGTTGATCCATTTTGTGCGTAATCAAGGCTTTTAATGTATATTTATTGGTAAGAAAAATATAAGTGAAGTACATTTAAAATATTTTAAAAGAAAGTTGATAATGTTTACAGAAGATGCAAAATGAAAATATTTTTTTGTAATGTACTCTGTACGCGTGTAACTCATTAATCATTAATATCCGGTATTGGGATCCCCGAATTAATGAATTTTATCAATTCTTACTCGAAGATAAACACATTTTGTTTATCGGCAGATAAGTTTTAAATGAAAAAAACGTAAGCGAATCATGATTCTGAAATTTGAAAAACATTATGAACTTTTGGAAGTTACAGTTTACTTTATTACAGTAATTAATTCTAATATTTTATTGAAGCAAACAGCGTGCAGAACCTGACTTATTTTTGTATTACATCCACTATACTATTCCTATATCACCTATGCGTTATATTGCCATACATTATAATAGATAGATATTTGTTTAAATTTGACTTATATATTTTAATAGAGTGGTTAAATTATATAAATGTTTCTTTATTCTTTTCTTAATTAATATTAAATGGATTTTTTATAAGTCGGCCGGCATTCAAGATTTGACGCATGGAAACAATGAAAGTTTGATCATGTGACTACGTATAGGAAACCAAATTGGAAAAGGGTTACAATGGTTTACAATAATGGATGATTGTAAGTTATAAAATCATTAAATTTAGTCTTAATAGAACTCCGATATGCTGATTCATTTACATCGGAGTAACTATCGACAGGTTATATGTTACTTGAGAAAAGTAACGGTATATTCGAGCTTTCACGTCGAACGCCATCGAATTTGTGAGTCTGGTTTCACGTTTTACGGGAGAGGCACGTCGTTGGATATAGGGACGAGCATTATTTCGAGCTCACATTATGGGGTTCGATGTGAACCGATTCCAGGGCGAAGTTGACGAAGAACTTGTTTGTCCAATATGTTCTGGAGTTCTGGAAGATCCAGTCCAGGTACTATTCTGATTTACTCGTTAACGATTGAATGTCCCCAATGAACCAGTGCTATACGTTTATGAAAAACTAACCTCACTTTTCTTCTATGCATTTTTCTTCATAATATTGTTACCCCTTTTATTTATCCTTTTAAAATAATTACAGAATGATATCAACCATTGTATTCGTTCGTGACCTTAAGTATTATGATTTATGTTACAGACAATAATTGTTATTATTTTATTTCACAATGTCAAATAAATGTTTAAATTTTTTGCAACTTTTTCATTGTTAGAGTGTTATTTACATTATATTTACACTGTAAATAATATAAGCGTACTTTTTAAGTTATAGAAGATATCGATATTGTATTCTTATTATGTATGTTTAAATACACTAATAAAAGTTTTATAAAATGTTTAGTTTGGCTTAAAGACTGGTAGGTGAGCAATATGTTACAGGCACCTGTATGCGAACATGCCTTTTGTCGTACGTGCATTAACGAATGGATAAACAGACAACCTACATGCCCCTTGGATCGTACACCAATTACATCCGCTCAACTGAGAGCAGTTCCAAGAATCCTTCGAAATTTATTGGCTCGTCTGTGCATTAGTTGTGATAATATTATGTATGGATGTCAAGTAGTCGTCAAGCTTGACAGTTTAGTATCACATCTGGAGCAATGTGAATATAACCCTAAGAGACCAATGCTTTGTGAACAAGGATGTAGTCTTATTATTCCCAAAAATGAGCTGAAAGATCATAATTGTGTAAGAGAACTTAGGAATATCATACATTCGCAGCAACAAAAACTTGCTGACATGAAGCGTGAGCTGGGTGAACAGCAACTTCAAATAAACGAACATAAAAGAGAGATACATCTTCTAAAAGATTTTATGAGAGCTTTAAGAGTTTCAAATCCTGCCATGCGAGCTATCGCCGATCAAATGGAAAGAGACGAAGTTGTAAGATGGTCTGCTACTCTTCCACGAGCGAGAGTGACCAGGTGGGGAGGAATGATTTCCACGCCTGATGAATTATTACAGGTACCGTAATTTATTGCTTGTTGTTGCTTACTATCGATAAGTTTTAATTATTATTAATGAAACATAATGTTATAGACAATGATAAAGAGAACTTTGTCAGAATATAATTGTCCACCTCATGTAATCGACGAATTAATGGAAAATTGTCACGAAAGAAAATGGCCTCCTGGTTTAAATTCGCTTGAAACAAGACAGAATTCTAGACGTCAGTATGACAATTATGTTTGCAAAAGAGTTCCTGGAAAGCAAGCAGTGTTAGTCCTTTATTGCGATAATACACACATGCCAGAAGACATGATGGTTGAACCTGGATTAGTGATGATTTTTGCACATGGCATAGAATAAAATTTAATACCAATGTTCTGTGCATGCCAAGATATTTTAAAATTCATTTATTTTGTTGTTTGTTATATTCACCATGATTAATATTCAAGGTGTATGAAATATCTTTGTACTTATGCGCAGATACTGGAATATTTGCATAATGTATCTTGCAGTTGTTAATGCAGGATATTTTTTCAAAAGTATTGAAAGGAACAAATGACATGCCTTTTGTGATAAACAATTGTACAGACACAATTGCCACAAACAAAAAATCTAATTGAATGTCTGGATCTTTACACTGTGATATACTATTTCATTGAGAAAGTTCCTGAAATGCATGATAAATAGTGAGCAAGTTTTAGTTGACTTAAATAATTCTTTATATCTTCCTATGAATTTGAGTTTTTCTTCATGATAATTAACAAACCAACTATTTGTCAACTATTTCAGGAAAGTTTTTACATATATAGAAGTCTGTAAGTGTTTTATTATAGTGCTTTAGACAAGTAAGAAACAAAAAATATGGAAATTATCAATATGGTAATTGCTGCTACTAAGATTTAAATGTGTTCTGGAAGAGGAGCATCGAATGTTAGAAAGAGGAATAATTTCTTTCTGTCTCAACGTTATTTATATGATTTTAATAAAAACATTTAAAAATGCATCCAATGGAATAATCATGCTATACAACGATCATTTTATACAAATCTATATCTTTTGAGTAACCATAGTTGTAAATATCGTTCATAATTTACAAGATTCGCTAGATTGTTACATGCACATTTCTTCTTCGAATGTATAATTTAAAAATAAGGACTCCAATTTTTTTAAATATAGTAATTTATAATGGCTAAATTAATAATATCGAATTTCTTTAGTATCATTGTTAAAACTGACTTCGCGAGAAGTATAATTTAAGAAAAGTACCAATGATTAGTGTACGAAAAGTACTTGACCAGTGAAGTATCTTTAAACATACAATAAGGTACTAATTTTTGTCTTTGCACAAATACGAAATATGTTAGCTTCATGAAACATGTATCGTTGCTTGTAAAATCTTTTACAATTAAGCTTTTTATTTCAATGTATTGGTACATCTGGAAATTGTGCATATTTTTCTTTGGATCTTTAACATATTAATCATGAGTTATCGATCTACGCGTTCCCATAATTTTACAATATTCTTTCGTTCTACATTGATTCATATCATACATTTTTCAATAATTTAAAATATAAACATTCAATGTTAATAAATTGGGTACTAAGAAATTAGTGCGTTTTCAAATAATTCTTATGGTAAAAGCTTTTATATTATTCTGAATTCGAATTTTATTTTTGTTAATACTTTCTGTAGTAAAATAATTATTCATTGATGAAATGAAAAGTTAGTATATTTCTTCTACTATATATATATATATATATATATATATATATAGTGTCCTTCTTATTTGTTATTGCTGTTAATTGTGTTATGATGTAGATTTTAATCGTGAAAAAAGAATAACAGAAAGGTAATCATTTTTACTACATATTAATAGTATGTATTTTCAGTACTCAATGTATTAAACGTTGAAAATTATACTTTTAACTCAAGATTAATACGTGTATTCAAAAATAACAGATAATTTTGTATGCAAGGTGATAGTTGTTATGATTACAATAAATCTGATTTTATGTATTATATATACACTCCTTAACATAGTTCATTTTATTTTATTTGCACATGGTGTTTCTCACTGATATATGCAATAAAATTAAATATAACATGTTTCCATTATTTTGTATGTAATTTAATCATCATAATTCTTGTCTGCTGATAATAAAATTAGTGTAATTTGAATTTAAAGAAGGAAATTCATTCTATGAATTTTGTTAATTATATTACTTTATTCTTTTTTATTTTAATTTTTCTAGATGTTTGTTTACAAAAAAAGTCTTCCAGCAATATTACATAACTTATAACATTTATTATAGCATATTATGTTCTTTGGTTGTGTATTACAATACCTTCTCAAAAAATTCTTAATAATATTTATTTCAATTTTATATCAACATTTTGCAATTTACCTAATACGAAATGTATTAACATATAGCTTACTCAAGAATTTAAATAATCACTGATGAATGTAGTGGAGATACTATTTTTCTCACCATGATAAGTGAAAGAAACGTAACGATGTTCAGTCTTATTATGTTTTCAAAACAAGATGTACAGTTTTTGAACATTTGTCTATTCTTACACTGTATTTTTAAAAATTTGTATTAAGGCACGCTAGGAATGTTAAATATTTTTTTCTTTTTTTGAAATCTTAATACTTGGTAAGACATTTTATAGGCCCTGAGATATGGCACACGACACTTGACAATTTTAATTGTCAATTAATTTGTTACTTTTATTAAATAAAGAAAGGAAAGAAAAAGTGTTAAGTCTCAGGGAACGTTGAAAACTCCATGAGTATCTATGAATTGAAATTTCTTTAGCAAAATGTACTCATCTAGATCATGATTTAAAGACGATCAGAAAAAAAACAGTGATGTTTATTTATTTTAAGTGCACTTTTAAGTCACGTTCTTAGAGATTCTTATATCGTTGGACAAACACCAGCGATAACTTCTCCGTAAGCACGTTCAGGACCCAAAGTGATGGGTCTCATGTTGATATGAATATTGGTGATACATCCAACGTACTGTGCTTGCGATGTGCTTCCTCGTAATTTTCTTCCAATCATTGGATGACCCCCAATAAAGATCGGATGCTTAGACAGAACTCCTGCATAATTTTTACCACCGATTCCTGCTGGAGCTGCTTTGTGGTCCACCGATAAGAGTACGGCATTCTTCTGCTTCACGGCTGTATCAAGAAATGATAATTATAATAATAAATAACTTACTAAATTTTCTTCGTTAACATTACCTCGAATGTTATGCCAATTGCCATCGCATAAAGAATTCGGTTTTGTTGGTTCGAAAGAAGTCTCTATCGAACCTTTAGCTGTTTTCACAAGGAACTTCACCGTTCCATTTATCATTTCCAAAACTACGTAATCTCGTTTTCCATGAACAGATAACAAATGACCGGATGTCGAACGCGGTTTAATGTCCATTTGAATATCTACCGTTCTACCAACTGTAAATCTGTCCACTGAAATTTCAACATATTATTAAATAATTTGATTGCAGTGCTTAAATCCTATTATCCTTGTACAGAATACGCACCTGCTTTAAATAGATTGCTACCATTGCCAGGGAAGAAGAACAATCCTGGTTCGACTCGTTTCGAACATGGAATGACACCTACTTCATTCATAGGTTTGCCAATTGGCTGTCCATTCACCATAAAGTTTCCAAGACATCCATTGAAAGTTTTGTTCAAACCCTGAAATTAGTATAATAATTATTTTCCATTCAAAATGTATGCAATCTTATACTTTTAAAGTGTACAAAAATTATTTTTATTTACAATCATGTTTTGCGCTTTGTTGGATATGTTTGAAATTACTCCTCCTACATAGAACGGTGGGATAACGTTCATAGTTTCCATATTTCCTTGAGAATATCCTGTAACAGCTTCTTCCTCGTCAATTATAAGCTCTCCGTATCTACCTTGCCTTTTAAATGTCACAATGTGCCATTCGTTGTCAGTTACATTCTTGTCGCTGATTAACAAAGCTGGCCCACTTCCGCAGTCGAATTTGTAGTGAAGCTTGAATGTTACGCAAGACATAATTCGTAGTTATCATAAATATATTGATTATAGGAACAAGGGTTGATTATATCTAACCGAAACAAATCTTCATCGCTTTACCTTTCCTTCGCTAATGTACAAGGCAATCAAATTCTGGTTCTCATGATCTGAAGTATAGAATATTATTCCATCCTCGGCCATCGTTTTGATGTTGATTTGGAAATCATAGTCGTTCTTATACCTTCCATTTAGAGACCTATACTCCAATAAACTGTTTCTCGCAGTACCTGTAAATGTGATTTCATTCTTGCACTCCACTTCCTTTTTATTTTTACCACGTAAAAAAATTGTGAGGAAATTGTACCGAATCGCCAAACATTTTTCGAGTCTGGATCTATTGTTGGATAATAAGGAAGTCGACACTCATCAACGTGTATCGGTGCTGCGGTGGTGGGTCTCATGGTGGTTGTTATTTCCTCAGATTTTCCGCGTCCTTCTATAATAGGTCCCTCATCGTCTGTGCCTTTTTCCAAATCGATATCAATGATGTCTAACGAAATTGATAAATTGAAGATTAGATTACCTTACCGTATTTACAAACGATACTCGTACTATTATCGACTGAAATTATGCTTACTAATTTGAGTGGATAATTCAACGTTATCGTCCGGATTTTCCGTAGGTAATAAAGGAGGTATGCCATCCGGTTCGGGCTCAACTACAGGTGGTAGAGCTGAAAGATATTTTATTAAATTCGTGTAACATTTGGATCAGTATATCTATTGTAAAGAAATGACTACAATTACATGGGAAATGTAATTGTTAAAACCCTAAGATAGACCTAGAAAAGGTCTACGAACAACCTACAAAAAATGCGACCATTGCATTAACACTTACACGATGGATCTCCACCCTTACACTTTCCTAAGAAAGCATGAGGTCTTTCTGTCGTGTTCGCGAAATTGATGATCACACCGTTCAACGTTGCATCTCCGATGCAACCGACGAAAGGAGTCATTGCTCCCAACGGGGTAATGCCAAACACAGCTGGTAGGCCACCGATGTACAAACTGCCAGAAGGTATCAATAAGGGAGGTGGTGCCTCGGTAGTGGTGTAATTTTTCGTATCATCGATATCTAGCTTCAACGAGTCTGCCGAGTGCGTAGCCGTTATCACGTGCCACTCGTTGTCGTTGAATTTCATACCAGAGGCACCTGTTTTCAACTCTAATCCCTGGCTATTGAACACCAGGACACCGTCTATGAGTGACAAGTAGCTGACTACACCTTTTTCGTGGTCAGTTACGTAGAAGATTAAACCATCATTTGCCAGAGTTTTGAATTTTAGGTTCACCTGAAGAGAATTTGGTACAGAGATGTTATGCCATCTCACGTAACCAGGTGTATTCTCCTCGAAGAACACCATACTGGCGTACTGAAAAAAATACAATTCCGTTGAAAAATGATTTCCACGTCTATACATATCAGAACAATTAACCATAATAATTTCATATGAAACATTACCCTGACTGGACAGCCAGGCGCGACTCCAAACGCTTGAACGTTGCGAGTTAAATCGACACTGTTCTCCATAATGGCAACATGGTCGATGCAACCTTCGAAGCCTTCGTGGGTCACAGGTTGGTAGGGATGTCTTGCATTAGGTGGGTATCCACCGAAGTAGATATTGTCAGAGGACACTAGAGTTTTGGTATTCCCTACGGCTTCGTTATTCACAACATCGACGCCATCTACTTTCAGTACACCCATCCTCTCGAATCTTAGTGCCTCCAAGTCGTGCCAGTTTCCGTCGTTATATGCTTTGGAGGATCTCAGGCTGGTTTCTCCCTCTCCAAGGTCATATTGGTAAAGCACGTGGCCGTCTCTCATCTCCACGGAGAGGAACTGCCTACCTTTGCCCATCAAGTAGATAAGTCCATCCGGTGCGAATGTTTTAAAGTTCAATTTGATACTGAACTTCCTGCTGTCGGATGGTATTCGAGAGTTTCTTTTGCTCACAATAGCGAAGCCGTGTTTGTCGAATCTGTAACCAGTGCTAGGCTCGAAGTTGATCAGTTTGTTTCTCTCAATAGCCGCCTTTTGATTGTTCTCGCCGTCTATGAAGTTCCAGAAAGAAACAGGGGTGTCCTCTCCTATCACCAGCTCCTCCATTTCACCCTCAAACGAGGAAGCCGTTACGGCGTCTTGCATGTTGAAAGATGACGGATAACCACCGACGAACAACTTCGAGTACTCAGGGTCTACGTTGAATATGTAATACGATCCAGACAACACGTAACCTTTCTCGTACACTCGGTCTTTGCCTTCACCTATATCCTCGCGAACGATCAACTTGACATTCTTGCCGGTTCGATCGACGATGATCTGTCGCCAGATATTGTCAGATACAAACTTGTTGTTGATAATCTTCTCAGGTCCAGAACCTAAGTCGATTATTAGCACCGGATACCCGCTTTCGATCAAGAGAGCCATAAAGTCGTGTGTCCTCGATCTTGGCTGCTTGCCATTTTCCTCGTTTCCAAGATACAGCAAGAAACCGTTGGTTTTGTTCGTTCTAAAATAAAGAGACACCTTTGTGGATGTGGCCAGCAGAGGCAAATTTTCAGGATTCTTCAGTTCTAGCGTAGTATTCCTATAGAAAGTTAGGCCAACCTTGTAACGATCAGCTAATTCTCTGGCGTTCGCGATCTTGGTCTTCAACGCCTCGATTTTACTTTGTAGATCATATCCATTCGTGTCTATCGTCTTCTGAGCCGTGTTCAAATTGTTCAACCATACCGTGATGTCTGGTATATATTTACCGATCATGTCCAGTTGTTTCTTCGCCTGCGATATATCGCGAACCGACTCGGATATATTTTTCGATAGCTGTTTAGCGTTTTTCAGGTCTTCTGGTATATTATCTACGATGCTGTACATGTCGTTCGCTGACAGTTTAATGTTTTTCTCTACACCCAAGACTTGATTCATGGCATCTTGGGCCACTGTGGAGGAAGGCGACGGAATGTTAGATAGAGCTTTATCGATACTATCCAACATCTCCCTATTGCGTTTGTTCTGATCGGAAATGTAAGAAGCTTCCATGCGAGCATTACTCAAATCATAGTCAGGTTTGCTTCGCGTTTTGTTCAACATGTTTCTGGCCGATTCTAACAAACTGAAGGACGCATCTTGCGAGTCTGACACTCTTTGTCCGATACCGTCCGACAGTGAAATAGCATTCTCAGCCGCATCCTTAGCACCGTCGGCTGCTTCGCGAGCAGCCTGGATCGCCGTCTCGATGTTCTTGTAAGCGGAAACTGCCTTTACAGCATCTGTGTTTCTGGTGTCTGTCAACGATCTATCCAAGTCCAAGGAACGACTGTACAATTGTTTGGCATGCTCTTGAGCATTCTGAACCGGAACAATCACATCCACCAATTGTTGATCGTTTTCTACGATGGTCGCGTTCAACATTCCCATAACATCGTTTATGGCGTTTGCTCTTAACATTTCCACGTTGTAGTTTGCCTCCTGGAGATACTGGCTAGCATTCCTGTTGAGCTCTTCCCCAGCCACCAAGTCATCTTGTGCTTCTGACGTGGCGTTCTTAACGACGTCGAAGTTGCCTGTCTCAGCCGCAATTCTGTTCTCCTGGTTCAACTTGTCGACCATGCCAGCTAACTCCTGCGCCTTCCAAGTGATCTCGAGAAGATCGTCCATCTTGGCTGTTACGTTTTTGATTTTGTTGCTTAAATCGTCCACTAGAGCCGAAAGATTGTTGACTGGGACATTGTAATCGAGCATCTCCGAGACCAGTATATTGGCTTGATCCGCCTGATCCGTAGCTCGATCTCGAAAACTAACAAAAGAAACTTCCTGTATCTTTTTTAAGATATCCGTAGCCTCTTTCAGCGAGCTGTCCAGTCTTGCACCTGTACCTAATTCAATGTTCAAGGCTAACGACTGTACTTCGGAAACGGTGTTTTTAACCAGATCTATTTCGCCAATCACGTCGTCTTCTAAGAAATTCATGTCATTCAAAGTGTTTTCTGCAGCCAGTTTCCACTTTTCAGTGTCTTCGGCGGTGTATTCAATCTCCCGTTTTTGGTTCTCCACCTCCAGCTGTAATCTTTTCACCTCCTCTTGAAGCGGCAAGAAGTTCACTTTGCTAGGATCCAAGAGCTTCACCTGAGGATCCAACTCGTTCACCGTGTCGTTAATGAATTTTAATCGCTGATTGGTAAAGTAGCTTTCGGCGACCGTGTTGTATTCTATAAAGACGGGGTCCAACAACTCGGACAGTTCGTCGGTAACGTCCAATAGATCTCCGGTGCAAGAATCGCATGCGAAACAACCTTGACCTGGGATCAGAACGTTTCTGTATGGACAGTGGTCGCATTTCTCTCCGACAACACCCGGCAAACACGTGCATTGACCGGTGGTAGTGTTGCAAGACACGCCGACAGAGTAGCCTGTGTTACAGCCGCAAGAGGTGCATCCTTCGGGTCCGTAGTTCCAATATCCTGCGATACACTGATCGCATCTACGACCTGTGACACCTGGTTTGCACTTGCATTGACCCGTCACTCCATCGCACTGACTGCTTTCGGAAGCTATTCCACATTCGCAGGGTTTGCATCCCTCGCATGAGTCGTAACCATAGTGGTCATCGGCGCAACGGTCGCATGTTTCTCCGACAACATTCTCGTGACAGAAACAGTGGCCCGAGTGGCTATCGCATTCCTTCATCCCGCATTTTTCACACAAGCAACTGCGACAATCTTTTCTCTCGATCGCATCACCGAAGTACCCTGGTTTGCAGAGGCTGCACGCTTCGCCATAAGAATTGTTCAAGCACTGCAGACATTGTCCCGTTACAGAATCGCAAGAACCGACTTGATTGGTGTCGATGTTTCCGGAACACTGGCAAGGTCTACAGAAATCCCCATAAACCTCAGGATTTCCATAGTAACCGGAAGCGCAGACCTCACAGCGAGCTCCGTAGTAACCTGGGATACAGTCGCAGCTTATCTTGTTGCCTTCTTCGTTCATCTCACAACCCGTCGCAAAGTTGTTAGAGGGTACTGGCAGAGGACAAGGACAGATGAGGCAGTCGGTCGGGGTTCCTCCAGTAGCATTTCCGTAATAACCTTCTTGGCAGAATTCGCAATGATCTCCCGTTGTACCATCTTTGCAATCCTGTGAAAATAAAAATTATTTTTTCACCTTACGTTGTATGACCAACAAATATAGTTAAAATACTTGCCAAACATATCCCAGTTTCAACGTCGCAAGTGTCCGCATGTCCATTACATTCGCAATGGACACAGTATCCTCCATGAGGTCCAGATTGTACTCTGTAATAGCCGGGTGCGCACTCCTCGCATGAATATCCTTGATAATTCGGTGGACATTGGCACTGTTCCACACTGCTGGCAGGAACATTGTACTGAGACGAATAAAATTCCGTTGCCACATCTAGAGTCACGTAGGACAAGGTGGCAGAAATGCTGGGATTCCAGTACGTGGCTCGAATATATATCCCCCGAAGATCTTCAAGAACTACCATCAGTTGCTCTCTGGTAGCGCTGAGGCGATTTTGAGTCAAAAAGTTTGTCTCTACCAATTCCATCGACGCTTGGAAGTTAAGGAACGACGGTGGTTGTTCCTCGGCGTAGTAAAACAGGGTCGTATTGGCACCTTGAAGAATCACATCCGCTGCGCTGACCGCGCTACCAAATGGTCCAGTGCTATAAAACACCGTGTAATTCAAAACTCCTCCGTAAGAAGTGAACTTTTTTCCCAAATACGTCTCTGACGCTGAAAAGTAGATAATTTTCCCAAAAGTGTCATTGCTGGTGAGTCCGATGCCTATGCTGGTCTCGTTAAACTCTTGAGGTATCGTGGACAAGAACGTCAGGTTTCCACCTTTTTCGCTCAACACGACTAATTCCCAACCGGTCATATCGGAAACTTCGGTCCAGTAGAGATTCGCTGATTCGCATCTGGTGGTCTTTCCGAAACAGAAACACTTGGTGCAGCCCTCTTCGTTACTTTCCTGAATGTTGAACGTGCCTTCTTTGCAAACATCGCAGGCTGAACCCTGAACATTCTCTTTGCAGAAGCACTCGGCCGTATACTGGTCGCAAATATCACCGGTGGTTCCTCTGGTATCGCAGTCGCACTTTTCGCAGTGAGGGAACTGCGAGTAACCAGCCTTACACTTGTCGCACTGTCTATCTACGACGTTTTCTTTGCACCTGCAGGTACCGTTGAAGAGATCACATTGTAAATCACCGTCGACTACACCGAGGAAAGAGCAGTTGCACTCCTCGCAACCGATGATCGGATCGAACCCGTAGGTTCTAGGTTCGCATTGATTACAACGTTCACCAGTAACTCTGGAAGGACAAATGCATGCACCAGTCTCTGGTTCGCACAGAGCTGTACTTGGACAGTTGCAAGGTCTACAATTCGGGAAACCGTAGAATCCAGTTTTGCAGATTTCGCATCGTCTCCCGATGATGTTGGGTTTGCATGGACACTGTCCACCGAATTTATCGCACTCGAAGCTTATAGTGCCGTCGATATCGCAGTTGCAGGGAAGAGCGCCATTGTTGTAGCTGGCGGTAATAGAGAAGATTGAGTCGCGACAAAAACCTTCATCGGTAATGTTGATATGGAAGTGATTGTAACCGCATTTCTTGATGAATTCCTTCGTCTGATCGACCTGGATCTTTTTAAGAATCTTTTCGTTATACTGCTCCGTTGGAACTACGAGCATGTAGTCCAGCCATATGCCGTTACCGGCACTTTCCTTGAAAGTGATCATGAAGTTCTCGATCAGCTGGAACCTAATATTACCGTCCACCTGTTTCACGACGCTACGGCATCCGCTGTTACTGGGGCAGTGAGGGACAGATATTTTGGCCTCGTAGAATTTACCGTTCTGTAACAATACGTCTAGCTCGTATTCTGGATAATCTGGTTGATAATATTGCACGACGAAGGTGTAGTCACCAGGTTGTACGACTTTCGCATGGATATCAACCGTGGTGTTTTTATCGTCCAAGTAGATGAGCTTACTAGCATTATCGTAAATACCATAGGGTTTATTTTCAGCCTCCGAAACTGTGCTACTGCTTTCGAATTCGATCTTCTTGGCCTCTGCAGCTCCAGGGAATTGACCTTTCACACAGGTGCCGTCCTTACGTACGCATATGGATTTTGGTTTCACGTAATCTAAAGACCACTCAGAAGAGGGAATAGCAACGACAGAATCGATGGCGACGTTTGAGCTGGGTTCTCCAGTTAGGATCAAGCTAATGTAGTTCGAAGTAAAGTTCATCGCGGCCACTCTACCGTAGGTATCAGTCACGACTTGTCGACAAATGCTGGTATACTTGCAAGGATACAGAGTGGCCTTTCCTTTGCCCACAGTATTGGCCTCTATAAGTAACGTAGACGTAGAGTTTTCGTCTTTTGGAGTAACGTACAGCACTAGCAACACGTGTAATCCTGGTTTCGAAATTCTTAAGTCGAAATGTATCTCTTCTTGCTTATCGTTAATCAAGGGAACCTCGTCTCTGTCAATTTCGCGTAGAATGTCTCTCTCAGTGAAGTATTCGGTCAAAGGTATTCTGACGTTGTTCTCGTTCAAGAATCCACCAGCTCCGTGAACAGAGTCGAACTTCGACAAAACAGGGTATCCATAATGACGACAGAGTCCTTTTGACCCAACCTCGCAAGGAATATTCACATCCTGAGTTAAAATAGTTGCCTCGTAATACTCGGATGGAAGCAACACGAAGTAGTCGAGGAAGAGACTTTTCTTCGTGGCAATGCTGATGGACCAATGACCAGGATTCATCACCATAGGCGAAGGCAGGTTACCTTGAGGTCCCGCCACAGTTACGTACGATGGTTTAATAGTAGGCTTGAAGTTCACTTTAAACTGTTGCTCCACTTCCCATGGATTTTCAGGAGTAATGGTAATTGTGCCAAGAATCGGTTCGTTATTCGGGTTTACATATTTTAAGACCATTCGGTACAGAGATGACTTCTGAATGTAAACGTCCAGGATGATTTCATCCTGAAGAGTAGAGAATACTGCGTATCCCTTCCAACTGTATCCAGGGAAATGATCTTCGGTGAAACCGTAACGAACTGGACTATTGCTAGGTGTTCTACCATCTTCTGCCTCGTACTGGAATTGATGGAGGGTGGGGAAATAGTGTGCTTTTAAGGGTTCTTTACAAGTAAGACCTGTGATGCGTGGTTGACACTGACATTGACCTGTTTGTTTGTCGCACACCGAGTTGACAGAACCACCGATGTCGCAAGCGCAATCTGGTCGAGAAAATTACAGAATTTGCATTCGTTACTTTAAAGACATATTTTATAGGTGAGTCACTTACCTGTACACCCGAAGAAATTACTCTCTTCAAGGTTGTATGTTCCATCCACACAGTGATCGCAACTTCTACCCATTACTCCTGGTTTACAGATACACTGACCGCTCTTCGTATCGCACTCCCCGATATTTCCAATAACGCCAGGTATGTTACAATGGCATTCTAGAGACAAAATACCGTATACCTCTAACTAATGTACGAATGTAAGTATTATATCTTTCGAATTCAGTTGTCAAATTTACCTTCGCAACCATAGGGATTAAACGGCTGCAAATTCCAGAACAACGGCTTACATTGATTGCATATCCTTCCTTCCACGCGATCCTTGCATTGACAAAGCTCACCGGCAGGCAAAGAACCACACCCTTGAAAGGTCTCTAAGACACCTGCTGGGTCACAGTTGCATCCCTCACAGGTTGGGAAGTTATAGTAACCTTCTTTACATTGGTTGCACCTGGCGCCGTCGAAATTCTCCCGACATTGACATTTACCCTCTGCGTCGCAAGAGGCACCGATAGACCCGTGACTGTCACAGTTACAAGCTGAAACGTTCAAGCGTGAATCTCTGATTTCAAAAGTATTGCGATGCATAAAAACGCCTTTATGTACCTATGCATTCCGGGTACATGTAATAACCGGGACTGCATTGGTCACAAGTCCTTCCAGCAAAATTGGTCAGACAAGAACATTTTCCTGTTGCATCACAGCTAACGGACGATGACCCAATCGTACTACAATTACACGGTCTGCAATTTGGATAACCATAATATCCACTGATGCATTGGTCGCATCTGGCACCGCCATATCCTTCTTTGCACAGACAGACTCCGTTCGACTTGTCACAAATGCCAGGCTCTGTTCCGCGTGTGTCGCAGTTGCAGTCTGAGATGATAATGTTAACAAATTAATTAAAGTAAATAAACTTCGTGCAGCAAGTGCAGATGGTACCACTACGATGGAATACTTACATGTACAGTAAGGATAATTATAGTAACCGTGTTCACACATGTCACAAGCTCTACCACCAAAGTTGCTTTTGCACGTACAATTGCCGGATACAACGTCGCAAATCTCGTCCAGAGAACCCGGTAGATTACATTCGCAAGCTGCGAATTATAACATAACATATCAATAAGTATGTTATCCGAGGAAGCAAAGTTCAGTGTATTATGAGAATAATCTTTCCGACATACTTTCAGAAAAGTTATTATACCACATAAGCATATTTATTACTTTCAAGAACAAATGATTCACTTTAATAGATAGTTATTGTTAATAATTAAAACTGTTACATATATTACTTACGTAAACATTCGGGGAAGTTAAAGTAGCCTTCCGCGCAGTAATCGCAATAAAATCCGGCGTAATTCGATTTGCAAGGGCAAGAACCCTCGATCGCCTCGCAATAATTTCCATCCGTTCCTCTTAAATGGCACTGACAAGGTACACAATTCGGAAAACCGTAGTACCCAAAGCTGCAGCTATCGCAATCCGGTGAGGTGTATTCCTTACGACACTCGCATTTACCCGTAGCGTCCGCACAGTTTCCGGTCGAGTAGATAAAATCGCATTGACACGCTGCAAAGATACGAAAAATATACTTTGGAAAGTTTTATCAAGATTTCTCGTTTTGGTAAAAAGATTAGCGTACGTTGACAAACGTCAGTCGCGTTCAATGGTTTATCTCGAGGTCTGTAGAACTTGGGCTTGCATCGATTGCAATTAATTCCTTCCGTGTTGTCTCGGCAATTTTGACACACACCACCACCTTCGTAGTTACCATGAATATCCAGAGACAATTTCTTTTCGTCCACTTCCGCGTCGTACACGCATTCGTCCGAATGCCCGAAACAGTTACAAGCTGAACAAAACACGTCGATTAGAAAGATAATACGAAAATTAGATTTTGAGACCACAGGCTCCAGAATTTCGAAACTTTGGAACATTCTTACGTTCGCATGTGAATTTCTTGAATGCCGTGGATATCCTCCACTTCTTCTGTTCGAATCCTTTGCAGCAGGTAGCGCATTGAGGACCACAGGTGTTGTGCTGGCATCTGCAAACGAGTTTCTTCGGCATCTTTGGGTCCAGTATATCGCAGGTATCCGCGTGACCGTTGCACATGCATCTGCCACCGATGCTGATGTCTTTGATGGAATAGAAATACTGAAACGAGTTTAATCACGATAATGGAAAATATAAAAATCATTCGAGTTCTCCGGTATCGACATAAAAAATAAAATCTAAGAGTCACGTACTCTTCTAGTAACGGTAGGATCCTCTCGCACCAACGACATCAAATGTCCCAGCAAGTTTTTCGTCCTTAGGAAACGAAAACGAACGTTTGTAGCTCTAGTCCATTCTTGCAGCAGCGTCGAGTTGAAGTAGTGTTTGGCCGATGGACGGTTATTCAAAATCGAGATCGGTATTTCGCCACCTTCTAACGGCACTATCTGAGAATATTCCGTAGTACAGATTACGCTATCGTCTCTGGTGATTGGTTTATAACTGTCCACGCCAAAGTAAGTCAAACAGTCGTTAGCAGTGTCTGAAAAATATTGCCAGGGTGACCAAGTTTTTCCGTAGTCCTTAGACTTCTCGAGCACCCAAAGCCCAGGTCTTGGAGAATTCGCCATCTTCACGTACACGTAAGCTACGTGAAATTCCTGTAAAAATAATTTGTTTAATAAAACCTTAATTCAAATTTTGATAGACACGTGTAATTTTGATTAGCCCTTAACATTAATTCTGTGTATTTTATAAAAAATATTATAACATGGTATAGTAAAAAGGAAATGAGACTTTGAATTAATCTTGTTTTGAAAAGAATAGTTACTGAATTAGAAACTGTTTTTGAACCCGAGGGTACAATGCGCGAGGGTACAAAACAACAAGCAAGAACTGGGAACACATGTGGTTGGGTCATGGCGTTTCACGTTACGATCATGCCTTCCACCGAAATTCTTGAACATGTGGTCGAGAATGCATAAGAGCAAGAGAGAATACGCGATGGCGTAAATGAGTCCTTCTCAGAAACTGTTTAGCGAAAAGACAATAACCCCGTTGCAACGAGAATACTCGTCGGTAAATATAAATTCTATTAGAGACGCACAAAGTTTATTTCAGTTATAATTTTCGTTTCCCGAACATCGATTATCACGATCATGAATTGTTACTGAATCATTTTGGAAGAAAACGATCGTTTGACTATTGCATTATACCGTTCACCCTGCCCCCTAAAACTCATGTTTTCTATTGTCCTCCGGAAGTAACGCGAAGATAATTCTTTCCCGCTTCGCAGGAAAACGCCTACGACATGATAAAGCAATTGGTTACAGATAAAATACTTATTTCACAGGCTCATTGTTTCCTGCTGCTGTCAATTCATTACCTTCTTTTCTTTTCAAAAAATTACTACCGCTCGAAGTAATCTATACCACTCACCGTTGAACTAAAGTGAATATACTTTTAGCTGTTTAAAATTATGAATTTAAAAAATTTAAACCAGTGCCCAGAATAAGTTATGACGATGCAGCGCTGAAAATTCAACTTTGCAACATTGTAGAACTTACTTGTCCAAGATTAATCGTCAAATTAACTTCGTTATATTTCATTCCTCTGGAGAGTGGCGGCGATTGCCACCAGGTTTCCATTCCGTCGACCGCATATTCCGGTGGATGCCTCTTCTCCGGATTTTCCGCGTCACAATAATCGCATACCTGTGTACAAATATCCAGTAAAATATCTATAATATACAGTGAAAGAGTTAAACAGCATCGAAATATAAAAAGTAAAAGCTCTGAAATTTATACAGCATCGTGTTTAGAATACAGAAATTTCAATTGTCGAGACAACTATGTAACCCGCTATTAATCCGGTGTTTCTATATTTAGAATTTTCTTGAAACATGAATGTAGCAGTTTAAACGACTAAAACGCGAATTATGTTACACAATCGTTCACGTTCTAAGATAAAGATTATTCAAATATTAAACATTAGTATCTCGGACTATCAAGTAGATAAATCAATCGAGTTGAATGTCCTCGTCTATGACAAAACTTCGTATCCTATTTAATAATATCAATAAACTGTTCAGTAACACATAGCATTCGATTCTATGAAACTCTATAAAGAAATATTGTTTAAAAATCATTCGTATGCTCTTGTTTCGTCTACGAAAGCATCAGGTGGTTTATAGCAATTTTAATTAGCGCAATGATCAGACAATTAACATTTTATAAAGTTTTCGATAAAAGTTCGAGGAAAATCAGTCGAACAAATTAGGGTTATTTTTTGAAGAATCTTTATGGGACATTGGTGTCAGTCAGTCCGTACGGAATTCGAAAAGAGAAGATGGTCAAGTGTTATCGAGGGGTCACCCTTATCGTAACTTTCTTATCGGCCCTCTCAATTCTAGCCTACATGGCATTTTCTTTCGCCCGCGTAAAGAGATACACGTAACAGTGTAGATCCATTGACAATTCAGGGAATCCCCGATTCATGAATCGTCCAATAATGTTTATTAGTAATTACACTATTATCATCTTTTCCTATTTTGCGAAACGACATAATTCTTATCGCAAGTAAAACATCGCAATGTTACAGATACGAGTGAAAACAGTTCTCTTTCAATTATAATTGATTTCTAATTTACCCATATACAGAAAGAAGGAAAATATTAATTTCATTTAGTAACATACATTATTTAGTTGAAAGAGACAAATTACAATGAATGAAATATTGAAACAATCGTTTCATGTGTTCCTATTACCATGAAATCGGTCATCTAATTTATTATTTCCTGTTTGAATAACGAATTCAGCGATATGATATCGAGAAATGCGGGACAATCAGCAGTGATAGAGATAAACCGATTGAAGTCTACTGTTTTGCGGATTTCGTACCTTTTTCTTCAAAGAAAGTATTAAAAGCCGGTCATTCTTTATCGAGAAAGCAAAATCTTTTCCAACAGAACTTTTTTAGCCGTTAGAATAAATATGGGTACTGTCTTACTGTTCTCGCGCCAATATCAAGGGTAATTTTCGAAGAAGAGCTATGATTATTCTCTCGAGTTACTTCAAGATACATACTCCATCTAACGTTACGTACCAGCCAGCAGATTATACATTTAGTTATTAGTAATGATTTAATACGAATTATCCCTACTACAAATAATAAGTTCTTTCTTCCCATTATTTCAATTAAAATTCATTAAAAAATTGTTGTATAGATTCTCATTTATTTTGTAGGAAGAAAATTAGTTTGTCTGCTTTATTATCATCAAAGTTCTAGATAAAATACAATCTCGAAATTTAAAACTACAGTAATTAGTTTATTCGATTTGGGTCAAGATAATGCGTATCATTTTCTTTTAATAACCTTTGAAGTAAGTTCACGAGATGTAACTATTCCAAATTATTTTGGAGAATCTAAACAATTTAAGTTTAACAGATGGCTCCTACAAACTATTAATGAAAGACATACTTTTAAGAATGACTTCATTCACGCTTCAACGTATAAACGATTAGTGCGATCTCCCTTATCGCAATTCCAAGAGCGGAAGTACGCGTGTACTAAACTGTTAAAATATCGTTTTAAACGAAATAATTTTAACAAAATAACTTTAACTGGTTCTTACATTAAAAACAATTGTATAATCAAAACCTATAAAAACAAATTACACGCTTTTTCTATAAAGATACCAGAAAAAGGAAGGGAAATAGTTGAGCAAGCGATTGGTTGTCTAAAGATTGATAAACTCTTGGACTCAAAGGACCAAATATAGATAAAAATTTCACAGTTTCAAGACTGTGGTCAACTATTTCACACTGTCGACCGCATTCAGAGATAAATATTAAACAACTGTCTCAATGGAGAGGCAGTGAAATAAAATAGTTCATTATAGCATCAATGCTATTAAGAACAAAACAGAACAAAGAAGAAAATTCGACAAAACTTCAGAAGCATCACTGAAACTCTTATTGACGTAATTATGTAGCAATTAGGGTGGACCAACCCTCCCCTCCAAAAGAATATAAAATGACCTTCTCCACATAGCGCGAAGAATGTAAAATGTAGGACACCTCATATTAGTAACATCGAAAATTTCCAAATTCCTAAATATTTTCCAAAAACCACTTGATCAATTCTGGTGTATAGCGTTGACACTGTTAGTAAAGGAGATTTCTTATACCTCAAACGATTCTAATAAAATCAAAGTCTTTTCTAGCTACATTAATTCGTATTTAATTTAGCTGTATATCTACAATGTGTCATTGTCGAAATACATTCGTACTTTCGTGTAGATATACCGACCTGACCCTGTATCAGATTAATATCCTCATGTTGATCGGCATTCGCGCCAACAAGCCTGCAGTAGAGTTCTGGACCGGGGGTGTCGACGCCACACGTGGCCGACGCGATGATCTCTTTGCCCTCGGCCAGATTGAAGTACGGTGGCGTCAGGATCTCGTTTCTCGTCTGATGGACCAGCACGCTGGCCAACGAGACGATCAGCAACCACCTCGCCATCCTGACAGTGGACAGATTGTGCCTGCCACTGTCGGTCGGCACCTCCCTTGCTCTTCCTCTTACTTTCCTTTATAGCAACGTATCCTCACAAAATCTCTCTCGATTGGTGTATCCCTTTTTTCCTGTCCCTCTCTCGCTGTCTTTCTCTCCGCGGGAGAATGCGGCAAGAGAGAGACGCGAAGATGCTGTGATGGTGCCTGAACGGCTTCTCGGTGTAGACTGACAGGCCGGAGGTCATCGAAGACCGGCAGCAACTGTGGTAGAGGGGCGGTGGGGGTGGTGAGTCTCCGAAACAGAGATTCCCAAAGTGTGGGTCCCGACTGCTGGGTCGCAAACTAATTTTGAGTGGACCGTTAAATATTGAAATATCTAACATTTATAAGTAGTAAAACGGTATTTTTTTATTTAATGCTTAGCTCTCTTTAAAATGTATTTTATAAACGAATGAATTGTAGAACTTTGGAATTTTGAAAGTTTTCAATTTTCAGATTTTAGATGATTTTTCAATGTGAATCTTAGTCTATAAAAGTTTGGGAAGCCCTGCTGTAAAAGGATGGTCCATACACTTTGAAACCGTATGCCATGCCATTCTGTACCCCTACACAAAATTGCACCTACATTCGGTGCGACAGAATGGACTATTGTCTACTCACCATCCTTGGATGCGTCAACTTCGAGCACAAATCTGAGCGGAGATATTTACTTAAGATCTATTTATACAAAGAAATGGTTTTACGTGCTAAAAAGACTTCTGTTTCATCGTTGAGACAAGTACAAGTTTTCGAACATACTCAAGACTTTTAAGTCTATCAAACTTGTTTAGGGTTCGAATAAAATTCGATGTGACTCGAAACTTCCATTGTATGTTTATCTCTCACGTACAGCCTACTACTACTCAGCATCCCTAAGTCCATTTTACTTAGTATTCTATACTGTCCTGCCCGAGTATATGTATAGAATAGACACTTAAGATTTTATGATATCTGAATTTGTTTCGAATGAAAGGATTTCTGTTCCGCGTAGTCTTGTACAGTTATCTATTGGAAGGAAAGTGATAAGTGATTGAAGGGTTATTATAAACGTATCAACTACAGTCGGTTATAATATGCATTTCATTTTTCTACAACATTTTTATCTGATTTTGAACATGTACGCATGTATGTACAGTATCTCGTTGATTTGAAACGTTAAGATTAAGATTCGAAGATTAAGTATATAATACCAACAAAGTACAGTTTATCGTTAATTCGTAAATTTCTATTCCAAGAAATTGAATATAATATATGTATATTGACTAGGCCATTTTTGCAGTATAATTATATAATTTTAAAGAGTTACTTAAGAACTCTTAATCTCGTTTTACTTTATTCCATCTATAATAAATAGCGGAAAGCATGATGCTCGAACTTAAAATTACAGATATGATAAAATTTGCTAATAATATAATGTCCGCCGAGTCCATCCATATCGTAAATACTCTCGCTGCAAACCAAGACGAATTTCTTTATTTATTTTGGGATTCAATTAGATAAAAGAAATCGATGTTTTTTTATTAGTAACGTACTTAAGTTAGTAAATGCAGAGATGAACCAAGTGATTGGCGACACTGTATCCGCATTTTTGGCACGGAATATCGCAAGTAATTGAACAACTTTGCTAGAGACTGAAATAGGTGTACACATTGGCTACAAACAAAAAGTTATTTTAAAATTATAAACAATATTTTCAAAATTCATAAATTTCGTTATTAATTAACTAACCGCTAAAATAGTGAGTACAGTTTTTGGAATAAGTTGCAGTGCAAAAGAAATACTTATAGAAAAGTATAGTATTGAGATTAAAATTGAGAATTTATTTATTTTGTTTAAGTATTTCAAGACTAGAAAGATTAAAATATATTCTTGTAACAGAATAACTGGATATTCCAAGTAGGATAATACTGAATAGCCATTTGTATAATTATAACTAGTCATCACAGTATAGCTGCAAAATAAAACATTTGTTTACTATATTGTAATAAATATTAAAAATATTCTGAATCCGTATTAAAAGTAAAAAATTTTTAAATGACATTAAAATTACCTTGTTAATTCTAACAATAGGGCTAAGATCGAAATTTGATCTGCTGACTTGGCTAAAAGTAAATTTAAAATTTGTGGAATTTTTAATATAAAACACATCCCTATTGTTACAAGGCTTAAAAAGTCAGCCAACTGTTGAAGCAACATATTTATCAGCTATTTATTTCCGGATATCTGTAATTTGATATTACACGTTATATTTTAAACAATTTTTATTATGCAATTCATGTTAACTAATAAATAATAAACACGTATTGATAATTTTTAAATTAATCGTTTAATAAAATGTTAAAAGTAGAAAAGAATATACTAACTAAATTTAACTTAAATAATTTCACACTAATAAAATTTGGTACCTTTAGCAATTTGTTTTAAATTTATTACTTTAGAGATTTCAAATTACTACACAATTATAATAATAACATTTTTATAATACATACTTAATCGATACAGATTATTTAACTTATTTGTAATTATTCATTTCTGTTAACACTCGTGTCAGATACACGTTCATATTATACGTCAACTGATACTAACATATGCATGTCAACTGAGGTAGATGTTTTTTAAATCTACGTATGTAAACTTCCACGACACCTAGGACATTATCGAGACTGTTTCACACTTGCATAATCATAATTGCAGAAAATGCACATAAATAAATAATAAATTAGAACTGACAACTACCGGTCGAAGAAATGTCTACCATCGTCAACAGCGCCATCGATACCGCGTTTATCTGCATTTAGTAAATTTTTGCCTAGGGAATTTTTTAAAAACTTCTCGTATAACAACTTAAAATTGAGATTTCAGTGCGTACTGATATAATAAATCGTATAAAGTATGTGATACATCTCAATTAACATATTTAATATACTTCCATATTGTGCATATATATGTAAACTGAGAAGTTCTGTTCTTTTTTGTGTATATTAACAGTTCTATATTCTATACTTTCTATAATGCATGGCATTGCGCGAGCGCTGTTATGACAATCGCGATGTCAAAAATATCTACCTGGTGGATAAAAAGTTTTACGATTCCTAATTCTTGCTGGTTACATTATATCTTTCTTTGTTTATATTTAATATAAGTCAGAAATATAGTATTTAGGAATTTAATAATATAGGTCTCAATATAACATACAATTAATGTATCGTTAAATTTTATAAACATATTTTAAAAACTGTTTTATTTATTCTTTCTCACAGCATATGTGATCATGATGATAGAAGCAAGCTCTAGAGGTGCAACTTACTCGTGGGTAAGGAGCTCCCTGAACTGCGCGACTAACATTATTTTCTCGTGAACGAAGGTAGAATCTGGTTAATCATGAAAGACTAGAAGTTCTTTTTTAAATGATTTTATTCGTTAAGTTAAACAGAATAATTGTATATTATGCTATAAAATAAAATAATTTTATTTACATGCATTGACTTGTTCGAAATAAGTGACTAACTAAACACGTAAAATCATTTTGAATTATGCAATCACATTGGTGGCTACGATTCCTCCTTTTGTGAAATACTACCGTCGATCCCGGAAAGTACTCGAATAGAATTCTTCCTCGGCATGACAGACGGAATGTGGGAACGGAACTGACATGGAGTAAACTGTAACGTGAAGGACTCGCGTTTGTCTTTTAAATATTGATTTGTCTGTCGAACGGACATTATGTGACAACCATGAACGTTTTTTTTATACTTTGCTTCATTGACGAGACTTACGTGAATCCAATCGAATTGCGAGTAACCTAGCATAAGTACGTAAATCCATTTTTAACTTTCGAAACGTCAAACATAATCTGCTACTATCTACGACGCAAACATCAACCTTGCCGGGATATTAAAGTGCTCCCTGTACGGCATGTACTTTTGATCAAGATATTTCGAACATTTCGTACAATATACAACTAAAAGATGAATCATATCGAAGGATATTTCGATTCTTGTCTGTAGTTAGTCAACGTGGGTCTAAATTCTTCTTTAAATTGATATCGAGACATATTGTTTTTTCATGTCATACATCTTTTGACAGCATCAAATAATTTTTGTAATAATATCTTTCTTCTTTCTTTTCTCTCATGTATGTTCGTACAGTTCTACTACACGAAAGGAATGTTGTATGATTTATGATCGAATGTTGAGTAATAGAAATTTATGAAATGTAAGATATATTCTTTTAAAAAAAAATGTAATCTTGTATTGAATTGTATAGCAACTTAAAAAATTAGATAAAACGTTCACAGTGATTGTATTTCAATTATAAGAAAAATATCAACATTCTATTTCATTCTATAAATTGTGTAAAAATTATTTTGATGTATAGTTCTTTTCTTTTAATATACTTTCAGTTTCTTCATAATGGACCATTTGAAAAGTACAAGCACGCATGTAATCATGAAGATCATGAAACATTCATGTATTGCCCATAATTGCTATTTTCAGGTAAGAATATTTGTTTCATTTAAAAATCAAATAGAAAGCATTGAAGAAATAGTACTTAAAACAATAAAATTAATCATGAAATAAACAAATTTTATTATTAAATTATAGGGGACAATGTGGAGTTTCCAAAAATTTTGGCTATTATAAATCTTTTAGCAAACAAATAAATTACGAGTATTGAGATGGACTCTCCACCGTCATGTTCACTAAGCGCTACTGGACCTCTCAGTGATCTTGGTAGCAGTGGAATTGGAGGGTCCATTTCTAGTGATTCTGTTCGAGCACATCTTGCAATCGAGGTATAATTTATCATAATTTTATATTGATGTCATATTTTATAAGGCACATAACTAATACAGCTTGTTTTAGATGCAAGAAAGCGATGTAGAAAGTAAATCCTTATCGCAAGATTCTTTTGATTACTCGGATGGTATGTGCGGTGAAAATTTTAATACGCTGAAGAAAGGACCAGGTTGGACTGATGCTGATGGAAAGCTAGAAGTTGAAGTGGTCGATGTAGCTATTAAACCTCCACCAGAATTTCAAGATAGCCCTTCTCCTCCTAATTCTGAATCTTCGTCTGCACCAATTCTTAGCTATGCACAATTAATGAGACAAAAAGTTCCACGGTTAATAGATGATTATGCTGAGACCTTAGTACAGTCAATGATCGAAGAAGCATTAATAATATCTTGTAGAATATCATGGCCAGAAGGAAGAATAGCACCAGCAACAAACCATATACCGGTGGTAACTCGTAGTGTATACAATTCAAAACGTCTTTGGGCAACAGACTTGTTAACACCTTCGTCGTGTCAAGGGGCTACCACTTTGATTACTCCTTACAATACTTTGAATCGTCCAAATTCACGATGTTCTTTAGCTTCTTCTCGTTTGTCCAGTTCTCATAATTCGATAAATACCTCAGGACTGAGTCACAAAGCAGACGATAGCAGCTTTATTACTTCTGCTATGTCGCACGATGTTTTAACGACCAGTGAGATCAGTGATATGTACAATGTGCCCTTTGATTCCGACATTTATACTGTACCAATAGATGTAGTTAGACCTTTGCATTATCTTAGAACACCGCAAAGGCCGAAACGTCATAGACATCATCGTAAAAGAAGAAGAAATGTATCTGCTAGTTCTCAAAGTGAATTAGAAGCTCATATACAACAGGCAAGGCATTACTGTGGGAAACCTCGTGCTATTACCCATGTTATAAAATCCCAGAGACTGCTATCTGACGTATGTTGCAACGAAGCTGGAAATGGGAAACGTCATAGTGTTCCGGGTACATCTGGCCGACATGTATCCCGGACATCTAATGGTCATATGCATAATATCGGTGAACCGATTCATATGACTTTACATGAAGTGCGTCAATATTTACAAACGCTATATTCAAGCTCCAGTGACTCTAGTGAAAATAAAATTAAACGCGATAAAGTTCCAATAAGTCATACACCTGTACACCTTGCGATGCCAAAAGGTATTAGTGTAAATAATAACAATAGATATAGTAATCCGCATACAGATTCAGCGATGGATATTCCAATCTCAAACAAAAATAGCAATGGACTGATTCACAATAACAATAATAATAATAATAACAATAACAATAATAATAATGGTAATGTTAAGAAACATAAAAAGAATTCGTTTGTTAGTATTAAACATAAAAAGGTAAAAGAGGAACCACATAAGGAAAAGGTTGATTCTGAAAGAGACAAGATCAAGAAGGGTCAACGGAATTTCTCATTAAATTTGAAACAAACACTTTGCAATATCTTTAGATTCAGACGTTTGGGTTCTCCAGACCATTTCGTAGAAAAAAGAAATAGCATTGTACAGGGTGAAATCGTAGAAGAGGAAGAGGGTGTTGATTCTGACCAACATGCTAATAATAATAATACTACCTCAGAGGTAGATCCCACTGTACAAAAGCTACCTTTTTTTAAGCGTGCGTTACCGCCATTACCAAAAAGTAATGGACACGTAGGAGGCGTAGAGCAAGCAGAAGATGCGCTAACAACGATGGTATCCAAATGTGAGAGTCCAACTTCTGTACCGCCACAAATGCCTCCACCTGCACCAAAAGTCGAAGAAGAGCCAACAGAAGATACTAGTATGGATTTTGCTGCTAGCATCGAGAAAGTAAAAGATGTATGCTTTCATAATTTATGTCTTCACCGAATTTTATGTATTTGCCTAATACTAAATTGTTTCATAATTAATACAAATTTTTGTTAAAATAGTATGGATGGTATTGGGGCCCAATATCTGGCGAAGCTGCGGAGAAAATACTGTCCAATGAACCGGATGGATCATTCATTGTGCGAGATAGTAGCGATGATCATTATATTTTCTCTTTATCATTTAGACTTAACAGTTGCGTGCGACATGTAAGAATAGAGCATGATCAGGGTAAGTATTCTGCTATTGCTAAAAGGAACATATTTGGATATTCCCAAATTACTACTTTTAATATCTTCTTTTTCTTCTCTGTTATCTGTACAGGTAATTTCAGCTTTGGAAGTTGCACAAAATTTAAGTCTCATACAATTGTCGATTTTATTGAAAATGCAGTAGAGCATTCGCGTAGTGGACGATACCTGTTTTTTCTTCATCGACGGCCAGTGTTAGGTCCAATGCGTGTGCAACTTCTTCATCCAGTGTCGAGATTCAAACAGGTTCAGAGTTTACAACACATGTGCAGATTTGTTATTTTGAAAATTGTACGCAGGGATCTTATTCCAACTCTACCTCTGCCACGGCGGCTCATCGATTACCTGAGTATGCCTCATTACTACAGCGAACAATTAGCTGAACAAGATGACAGAGCTGAATCTCCTGTTAGTTCTTCAACTGGTGAATTAGAGAAGATTTGTTTCACACCGCAAGGCCTATCGTGAGGTACAAACATATAATTTTTTATTTCTCACGGTTTTTCTTTTCAAATACTTGCCAAATGTTTAGTATATATAGTTTAAGATTCAAAGTATTACACGATTCTGTTTCGTATGATTTCAATAAGCAATATAATAATGAAGTATAACGACATAGCTGATTTCTACATATGTTATGTACAAGTTTAAATTTCAGACGTAATATCTAATATCTTTTTGTAAAGAAGGGTAATCCGTTCCACGCAGCTCGTATATAGAATTATGAACAGTGTAGTTACAAAGCATAAAATTACTAAAAAAGATATGAAGCAAAAAATAATATTCGTTAAAATATAATTTTGAATTAGAATTCATATTTGCATAATTTTATTGAAAGTGCACAAATAAATTGACATTTGATCTTTTAATTTTATGAAAATGATTTCAGGAGCACACGTAGAATTATTTCAGCAAATTCTGTATATTACTTTGGATTCAGTTCCTCTTTGTTGTTTCAAAATAATAAATTACAATTTCACATCATACAATGAATGTATAATATTCATATATAATAATGTAAAGCAGTGATTAAATTACTCCTTCTTGTGTGCCATATATTTTATATTGCAATTTTTGGTCAAATATTAAAAGCATAAATACTTTTCATTTTCATTGGAAATTTAGTTAACAGATTTTGTTTTTACCAGAGATTATTCAATTATGCATTTCATTAATCGTTATAGAATTTTGAAATTCGTGTTTAATATAACTGAGAAGCATATGAATGTAGTTGATATTCCACTTTATCGGACGATCAAACATAGAGTTAACGAATCATTTTTTAATATGATGCACGTACAAGCAATTATAAAAAAAGCTGTAGACTAATGTTACATTAAGATATAATCTGGCATATATAAATATCAGTTATTGCGTCTGCCAACTATAGAAAATTTCAATATTAATCAGTTTAATGACGTTGTTGTATCATGTTTTAAGTTTAGAAGTAGCTGCTACAGACTGATTAACTTAGAACAAATATTCAACGAACTAATGGAATCATAATACTTTATAAATATCTTCATTTTTGAGCATCATATATATTTTTTCATAAATTATTATATAATTGTTTTTGAGAATAATCTTTGGATGAACACAGCTTTATTATTTTCTATTGCTTTATAATGTAAATATTTTTGTGTATATTGCTTCATTTTGTAAAATAATATTAAATCATCAAGGATTTTTTAATCCTTAGCATATTAGCTATATATGTATATATTTTTTGATTTTTTAAGTTTATAAAACAATAATTGATGTTACAATGTGCAATCTCTTTTAAAGTATCACAGTTTTTCGTTTTTCTTATAGTCAATTTTAAAATAAGATTTGATAATATTTACCTTAAAAGGTAAAAAATTCTTTATTAAAACTGATTAGCGACTGGTGCTATATAAAATTATAAATTATAGAATTCTGATTCCTTAAATTATGCAGTTGAATCGAGGTAATCGAAGTCACTGTTTATTCTTGTGCTCAGATAAATTTAACGAGATTACATCGTGCGAAGCACTTGATCGAAGTTAATTATATTATACTTAATTTTATATATTTTGTTTTATTTGGTAATTTAAGAAATTTTCGGACAAAGTTCTGAAAATGTACATTTTATTTGTAATCGTTATATAAAATTTAGATTATAACTAATATTAAGAATTAATATAAATCACATGAAAAGTTTTCAATTTGCAATTTCGAATAACCAAATGGAAAAGTAGGAAGGAGCTTCAGATAAAAATTTAGTAAATTGTAATAACATATATTTTTATTTTTATCCCTTTCCTGAAGAGGTGTACAATCTCATCTTCAGTAATGGAGATATTACTTTGATAAATTTTGTATTCTGTAATGTTATACAGAGCTCACTATAAAGCACTGATGTAAAAATAGATTTTTCAAGGAAGGGGAGAAAGTTTTTATACAAAATGTGTACTGACTGTTACTAGACGCATTAATTAATAGATGTTTACTTTATTTTCTCTTTGAATTGCTTCCCCTATGCAGCTTCATAAATCATGGAATAGCGAAGGCCACATATACATATTGCTCAGAATTTTTTGTTTGCACTTTCTTGAACTTTGCAGTACTACACAAACAAATTTTATACTCAATATTCACGTGGTAGATTTTGCAATATAAGTACTATTACCAGATGGAAAAGACTAAGTCTAAGGATGAATTTAAACATATGTGAAGCATGTGCGTATAATTAATGGTTAAAGGCACCATGATACCTCAGCCGAAGAGGGAGGTATGTAGAGCAGAATTAGTATCATTTTATAACAAATGTATTTTACATTAATATAAGTTGCACATACGTGTTCTTGTGAAAAATTAGCATTATTGAAGAATATCAATGCTTTATTTAATTATGTTTTATTCTTGTTAATATCAGTGTTAAGAAAAGTATATGAAAAGTTCTATGCCAAATGTCATTAAATGATATATTTCTAAACTTCTTTTATGTAATATACATAAATAAAAAGGCATCAAAATTTAAAAAAAAAAACTTTGAAATATGGTCATACAGTTTCATATAATTGCAATACTATTATAATTGATATTTTATTTAAAAAAAAAAATGCATTTGGCATAGAGTCATAATTTATTTGTTATATACCAAAGTTTATAATTGTATTCAAAGTACAACATTTATTCATCAGTTAAACAATCCTTTAAAAGTTGCTCATGTATACATGCTTTTTAAATATTTAAGTATACATTCAATCAACTATACATTATAGTTTAGTATTACGAAGTAATTTAAAAACTCATTTTGTATAAGTAATCTATTTTACTACATTTTTTAATACAATTATGTATATAACAAAATAAAATATTTAAAGATTACTGTAAGAAATATACTTTCGAAATATATGCAGTGTTGTACTTTGATTATAATATATTGGTACATCAATTATTATTGTTTGTTACACATAAATTACAAGTGCTAGTCATAAATATTGCATTTTAAGTTGGACTTCAGTATTGTTTACTAATAAATATCAATTTACTTACAACTACTTGCATTTATTTTTCATCTTTTTCAGAAATACAATCCAAACAATTTTAATAGAAGAACATAATAAAAAACTATAAACTGTTAATTGTTATTTTCACTTTAGTAAAATCTAATAATTATCCTTAATCTTCGATATTTTTATTAATAATTCTATAATTTATTTATTCTAGTCTATTATCATTTATCACCAAGTTCGATGATTATTAGAACAAGGAATGCATGATAATCAGAAACCTATTATAAATTTTTTAATTTTGTAAATATTTAAGGTAATACAAGAGATACTTTCAAAGATACACAAAAACAGGGGTGTGAATGACTCATTAAGGCTTTAATAAGATAAGGTGTATAACACTAAACAAAATGAAACCTGAGTAAGAAACACCTTTATGATATGTTTCTAAAGTAAAAAATCATTTTTTGGTTTAAAAAGCTATGAAGGTATATTATTTTTATAACATTTTTTATTTATAAATAAATTGATATAATTTATTATAATACAACTGATTTTATTACAGTGTTTAAATATACAAACTCTATCATAAATCATCCCCAAAAATTTCCATAATATATTCACCTAAAATATTACTCTAGTTTCATTTTCCAATTATTTACGAGTAATGTGATCCTTTGCAAACAATATTTTTTTGCATTATCCACTAATGGATACTTCGTGCTATTTTCATGAGTGTAATGCAGATGATTTAAATAATTGAACTTTAAGAGCACAAGAAAAGAGATTCTGTTTTTGATTAGTTCATTACAACGAGAGTACTCTAAGTGTAAACAAATGCATATGTATTTGATTACCCATGTTTGTACTGCAATGTTGAAAATAAAATACATTTTTGGAGACTAATAAACACCATTTTCTCTTTAGGTAATACTTTTCTACTTATCATCCGAAAGTGTGAGACGTGTTTGTAAGCATATTTATTAAATTTAAATAAAATTTTATTATTTTAAACACAACATATATTTCCCACTGAACCACATATTTGAATTATGTTTCCATTTTCAGTTAAATATTAGATTAATTTACGGAGGAATACCAAGAGTTTTCCTAACTAGCTTTTGAGCAATTCTTTCAAATTCTGGACGATTCTCTCTCCACATTTTAGCAGCATCAACATTTGCTCCACTTTCATCATTTGGCTCTGCCAACATACTTACGACACTTAATAATATTTTTTCCACACTTTGAACTGGACTCCATCTTTCTGCACTACTTTCATAGCCCATAGGATCATCACCGGGTGCATGTAATATGCTTATACATACTCTTCCATCTGCATAAACTAAGTAAAAATCAAATTGTTGCAAGTCCTTCATGACTCATTCCTATGAAATAACACTATTTTAAATTTAAACAAGTCTTACTATTTGGATGAAACATTTCACAAGTAAATTGCATCTTTGGCGGACTTAGAGGATAATCTGGTGGAAATATTAATGTTGCAGGAAATACACCACCTTCGAAGCATGTTCCTTCTGGTCCACTGCAAATAAATTCAAGATTTTTAACATGAACATGATCTATTAAAAGTCTCCTTTAGCATATGTTATAAATATAAAATATCTAAATTACGAAACATGAAATAGGAACTTTATGGTGAATGTATCCCAGATAGAATATAGGAGTTATAGTGTTTGCATCAAATGCAAGAATCAAGTTTGCAATTTAATACATACCTAATAAAAGCTTCCCATTCAAAAAAATTCTCTTCGTTCATTGGACCAGCAATAATTCCTTCGGGAGGATTTAAGGTTAGCTCTGCAAATTACCCATCATTTATTACAATATTGTCCGAAATTAAGTAAAAAGAATTGCAAGTAACAAATGTTCAGACAAGACTTCTAAAAAAGTGTACGGTGCACGATTAAATTTGATTCTCACGTTTATATTCTGCCATTAATCGTCTTAGCGCAGAACCCGCCATTGTTTTGATCATGGAAGGCTGATAATGACATTTCAGGAAAATGTCAGAAGATAAATGTTAGGTTAAGGTTGAAGTAATGAAAAGCATTGATTTATCTGTGTATAATTACTTTATTAAAAAGTCGACAACTTATTTTTACAAAATTTTACTACAAACGATGTAGATTCAGAAATTTAAATGGCGACACAGGAACATAAATATTTAGCAGATATTATAAAAACTACTCATGCCACGTTGCGAAAAGAAGCTCAGGCTTACGGTCCTGAGATTGCATGGAATCGTCACGTAACACGTAAAGATGTTTTACAGGTTTGATTCCTTTATAAACATATATGTTTGCATGACATTTTTTAAACAATGGTTTCCTATAATTTATTTAAAAATTTATATTAATAATTACCTATTGCATTTTTAGAAATATGCATGTTCTATGCAAAAATTGGCTACAACATATTGGATGGAAAATAATATGAATACGGAAAATTCAACTTATTGTAGAATAGAATGGGTTAAATCTCAATGCGAAGAATATTTTTTAAATGGTGGAAGTCAGAAATATGACAACAGAGAAGAAACTATTAAAGTAAAAATCAATAATCCAGAAACCACAGAAGTTCCTGTAATCTGTAATTCGAATATTAAAAATGAGGAAAGTTCAGTATCAAAATATTTTGATAATAATATGGCACAGTCTATTAAAAAAATACGATTATTAGATGTAGGAAGTTGTTATAACCCTTTTGGAACTTCAGACCTTTTTGAAGTGACAGCAATAGATCTACATGGTATACCAGATAAAGTTTTATGCTGTGACTTTTTAAATGTTCATATTGGAAAAGAAAAGATCCTTTCTAGCGATCAGCAACAAGTTTTACAATTACCAGAAGACTCTTTCCATGTAGTTGTATTTTCTTTATTTTTGGAATATTTACCATGTCCAAAACAGAGATATATTTGTTGTAAGAAAGCTTATAATTTGTTAGAAGCTGGTGGTATACTTATCATTATAAGTCCTGATTCAAAGCATGTTAATGCCAATGCTAAATTTATGAAATCATGGAGATATGTATTGAGTAAATTAGGATTTATGAGGATAAAATATGAAAAGCTACAGCACATGCATTGTGTTGTGTTTAGAAAATGTATATATAAAGATGTTGCAATAAGGTGGGCAAATTTACAAAATTTTCCGATGACCGATATGTTATATTACGATAGTACAACAATTTATATTCCACAAGATTTTCGAAATGCATCCAGTGAAATCAAACAACAGGAAGAATACGATTCGGAAGAAGTGACATCTATGTTTCAGGAACTACCTTTTAATAAAGATATCTTTTAGTTATAAAGGATTTTATGAAGTAACAGTTTTATAAAGAATTATAGACATAAAATAAACGTTTGGCTTTTTTATAATTTTCTTCTATATTTTCTAAATCCTTTTATAACTATACAATGTATAGGGACATTTGTTAATTTTAGTCAAATTGGCACCCATTTTGCACACCATCTTGAGAAGTTCTTTCTTGCTTCTGTTCGTTGGTCGTACACGTGGTAAGTACGTTTTTACTGTTTATTGTAATCACAAGTAATATTTTGCTATTTATCAGAGTTTCTAATAAGATTGTTTAAGAAGTTATTTCGTTTGCACTGATAAAATATGTGTATTTTCTCAAAATGTGTTGTACTTTTAGCAATTAATAATTTAGGTTAGGTTTGCAGCTGCCAAATTTTATAGTTATAATTCATATAAGTTAAATATGTATTAAAACTTAAATGCTAGAGTTCAATATTTTTTCAGACCATCCAAGATGTCATCTCATTTAAATTGGATGATAATTCGTAATAACAATGCCTTCCTTCTCAAGAAGCGCAATATCAGTAAACCATTTTCTACGGTGTGTACTAGTCTCATATCTTTAGTTAATATTTAAATATGTAAGTTTCAAAATGATTATTTAAAAAATTTTAGGAACCCAACAATTTGACAAATTTGAGTAGCTATCGTTATTCGGGTTTAATTCATAGGAAGAGTGTTGGTGTTATTGATACTCCTGATAAAAAAGGATTTACAGTTGTTTATAAGAAACCAAGATCAATTAAAAAGCCTGCTAAATCCACTGTTCGATGCACGATGAAAGCTGGAGCTCGTCGTTCTTTACATAAATTGAAAAGGTTGCTTACAAAGAATAAATATCGTGTAGATCTTTGCAAGGTAAATTTACTTGTTACAGAGATGTCTTCTGTTTTGTATGTGAGAAGAAAGAAAATACTAAAATATTGTGTGGATTACTTTTAGGCTGCATTACGTCGTGCCAGTGCTGTTTTACGTTCCCAAAAGCCTTTACCTGCAAAGAAGACTCGCACAACAAAAAAGGCAGATTAATTTGTATACATTAATAAATATATGTTTTAATGTAAATGTATAAATGTGACATTTGTTACAAAGGAGATTTGTTTAGGTTCAGGTGAAACATAGTTAGCTGATATCAGAAATTATTATAAAGAAGTATATAAGCATTTAAATGTTAAAATAAATACTGTAACATTTCTCCCTTGTAACTATGTCTAGTGTACTTATTTCATCAGTTTCATTACAGAAATATGAATAAACATGTGTCCATGGAAGGTGAGTTATTTTACAAATATGTATGTACATACATGTATAAGTAATAACATTGAAATTATTGTTTTTATGATTTTATTTACAGATTTGTCAGTTCCATATTGAGAAGTTCTCTAAATAGGTAAGTTACTTTGTGTTCTTAAAGCACTGATGTTAATTTTTTATATCTAAGAATTACTTAATTCATATGATGAAATTTTCAACCACCAAGATCTATGAATGCCATGATTAGATTTCGTATTTGCTAATCTGATATACACTACTTTATAAAATTTATTTGTTAGTTTTAACTTTAGTATTAACGAGAAAAATTGTTTTCAGATTTAGTTGCAAGCAGATAATCTATTGGACTATATAACATGTAAGTAATTGTATATATACATTTATTTATTTAATATTTGCATATAGTTTCAATCTTTTTATGATGAAATTTCGAACCACCAAGATCTATGAATGCCATGATTAGATTTCGTATTTGCTAATCTGATATACACTACTTTATAAAATTTATTTGTTAGTTTTAACTTTAGTATTAACGAGAAAAATTGTTTTCAGATTTAGTTGCAAGCAGATAATCTATTGGACTATATAACATGTAAGTAATTGTATATATACATTTATTTATTTAATATTTGCATATAGTTTCAATCTTTTTATGATGAAATTTCGAACCACCAAGATCTATGAATGCCATGATTAGATTTCGTATTTGCTATCTGATATATACAACATCATAAAATTTACTTGTTAGTTTTAACTTTGGTATTAATAAGAACAATTTTTTTCAGAGTTAGTTGCTAGCAGATGATCCATTGGACTGTATAATATGTAAGTACTTATATATATATGCATTTATTTATTTAATACTTTCGTATAGTTTCAATCTTTTTATGATGAAATTTCGAACCACCAAGATCTATGAATGCCATGATTCGGACTTGTATTTGCTATCTGATAAATTCGTGATAAAAGTTTTAGTTTAGAAAGTATAAGAATGACATTAATATAGTTTTATTATTTTATAGGTGGTTCTGATACTAAGTTCGGTGTAAACGTTCAGTGGACATTGATGGGGAAAGGTAATTATATTTATTTAATTATATATTCAATGATTTAAATACGGATTGACAATATAGATTATTCTTTTATGTGATGATTCATTCACCAAGATCTATGAATGCCATGATTTTAAATTTGCTACTTCTGATATTAGTGTAACTTGTTTATTTAATTCAATTATAAAAAAAAAGACCATTATATATGTATATGTCTGTATTTTTTTCAGGTATTAACAACGAGGCACTTCGAGAAGTTACAGTAAAGTAATTAACAATTTTAATATAACAATTCATTACATGTATCTTTACTGTAATATATCGAAATAAAATAAGCACATGCAAAATTGCATTCATTAGTTCTATTTACATTTATATTACATTAGTTTACCATAGTATTCAGGTATAATAATTTCATGTATAGTATCAAACATATGGTAAATGCAATATCGTGTTCATTGTGGTACACTTTCCACTTCTAGTGGATTTGCACATCTGGAGATTTTGGTGTACTCGCCAACTAGAGATACGATACAGCCAGTATTAACGAGATTATAGTACCGCATTAGGTTAACAGCTTTTCCGTAGTTTCAACTAAGTACTCATTTAGCTGCTGTAATTTGGCTATTAGAATACTTGGGAAAGGTATTGCGAATTCAAATGTATATACACGAAAAATGCTTTTTAATATGAAATACATAATTTAATTAACGATTATTCAGTTGAATAATAATGTATGAATAATCGTAACTTCAAAGAAAATATTAAATGAGCTTGCTGAAAGTTTAATATATGTTTCACTCGTTTGAATGGAATATAATTCTCTGTACATGTTTATTTAATCTTTATTAATTAAAGCATTTTGGTGTTTCTGCATGATGATGCTAATGGAACGATCGGTATTAACAAACATGAGTGGTAATATTCAGCGTATCTTTGTTCAAAGCAAAATGCACATTAACAAGATGATTTCATATCGGATCATCATTTTCATTGTCGTATCAACGTATCGTTTTGTTGTACAGGGCTACAGTAATTGTAGTTGTATTGATTGGGTGCTGCCAGAATAAATTTATACTCACAAATTCAAGTGAACGGCTATTCACTTTAATTATGATAATTAAGCTGATTACTTCGAAAATTCTACGTATGTTTATGAAACATCTGACCTATTGACAATGTTAAAATAACTTTTATGTGGAATTTACATTTATCACTTAATCTTTCGCTTGTTATAATTTTATCTGTTACTTTTTATTATCTTTATTGTTATTAACAATGGTATTGTTAATATTTAGTTTTTTGTCCATACTTATCAATGCACGATAAAAAAAGCTCTTACCGACGGATTTGTTTCTGATAAACTTATGTTATTAACTTATTTATCGACTGAACTTGTTAGGTTACCAACATCTACAAATTTGAATTTGGATTTAATTACCTTTTTACAATAAAAATTGTTTATATAATATTTGTTGACTTATTGCAATTCTCGAAACCTTGAAGCCCTTTCTTCTTTCACATTGTACTACGTTTTTTCTCGACGATATAAAAATTCAGAGATTTTAGAGAAACGAATATCAAACGTTTGCTTCTTTCGTCGAATTCTCAGTAAAGATTGGAATATCCTCAAGGAAAATTCCAATTTCCGCCGGTCATTCAATATTTGCATGTTTAATGCTTGTTCAATAACGATTTAATATTACATGACGACATTAGCATTTTATTGACCTTGTTGGAAAGAGGTTGTTGAAAGAAAGAGTCTCGAGATTTATGAAAAATTCTCTGACGCTTTCATCGTCAATCAGATTCTTTCTATCAGAGAAGTTTATTTTCGTCAAGATTTTCCGACTGAACGTGTTGTAACCAAGTAAGAAGATTAATATCCGACATAGGGATTCCAAGGACAACAAGGATCCAGCAGTGACTCGAAAGTTGGAATCAACGTTTCTTATTGCTAATAAAACTGCAAACAAGTTATTCGCGTTACCTCATACTGTGGAAATGAAGCCACAGCATATCAGAATTTAAAGAAAGTTTAAAGTAAGCGCGTGTAGGTTTTCTTCCATCAAGGAATGGTGTAAAAGACATGTTTAACTGTTTCTAGAGATCCTAAAGAAAGCTTAAATGATTCTGAGGGAATTCTCGGAAAAGTCCGCAGAGATTGTAGCGACCTTAGAACAAGTTTAGAAGGACCATAGAGAGACACTAGAAGAAGCCTAAGAGATCTTAAAGAAAGTAGCGAGAGTTCAAACGAACTGTAGGTTCCAGGATCCAGGAGGATCTTATGCGAACCGCAGGAAAAGCCCAGGTGGATTTTAGGGGGACATTAGGAAATGTCTCTAGATAGATTTTAGAAGAGAAAGAGTCTAGAGATTCTCGTGACAAACCGGAGATGAGTTAGGGGCCCTAGGGAGAACGTAAATCTTACCCGCAGCAGTTACGGTACTTATCATCTTCGAATGCCATAATAGCTGTTTTACAAGTAGAGCGTATCAACGCATACTCTTCCGTCCCTTCTCGAGAAGAGCTTAACAAGACAGTGATTTTCATAATTCGGGAAAGAAGGGAACTCCGTGGGTTTTTTACGAAGCGGACGCCTAGCCTCGATCGATTTTCTTAACCGTCTTTTCTGCCGTGTGCCTCGAAGCTGCTCTCGGCCGCAAAGGAAGCAAAATAAGGCTGCAATGACAGAAGGTTTCACGGTGGTGCAGACATTGCTGCTTGCCTGCCACGGACACTTTTCTACACCCGTAGCAGAGAGTAACTGGACCGTGATAAACAGAGATAGAGCGTATGGCCACGCGCGAAATAAAAGGAAAACCAGGAAAGAGTGGTAAGACGACGGAAAGAAGAAGCAGAAGGAGAAGAAAAAGCAAGGAAAGAGAACGATGAAGTCATAGAGGAAAGAAATCACAAAGGAAGGGAATATGTACCAAAAGAGTAAAACGAAATTGATTAAAGAAGATGTAAGATGTAAAAGGAAACAAGAAGGTGATAGAAAGGAAGAACGAAGGACGGAAGAACAAGGGGACGAAAATGAAGGATAGAAGGAGAGAGGTTAAAGATCGTCCTCTCGTAGAGACGAGGAAAAAAGAAAAGATTCATGAATAATGCAGGAGTAGAAAGCCGGCTGAAACAATTGCTGGGCGTCGCCCTACTCTTGAAATTACATCATCAGATTTTCCGCGAAATTAAAACATTATATATTCCACGCTCGGTTCCCTTACCACGGCCCACTCGTCTTCTTCCTTTGGACGTTATGCTTCTGGTGTCCCATCTACCGTAAGAGGGACAAAAATCGCCGATTATACGTTCACGCGATGAGACTGCAGTATTACCTAGCCGTAGAGTTTCAAATATCCTTTGAAGAGGGTCAACGTTCTTGGATGCGATTCTGCTGAATACGAAAATTAGAATGCTATTTTCGGTGCGGTGAAACGGATGTTTTATCTTTTACGTTGTCAGCTTTTTCATCCCTCGATAAACGGTCTTCATCTTGAAAGAACGTTTTTCAATTTTGAGCAAAAGGATCAGTGCGTTGAAATATAGATTAATATTTGTCGCACGAGGCAGGGACAACGACTTTGAACGAAGTGACCTTGCAATCGAAAGGCAAAGATTCTGAATTTTTACCCAATGAATACTAAACGAAACTTTGACCTGAAAGTTTCGAGCCACGGAAGCGTGGCGTCTCGCACAACGTAGTTTAGCAAAGAATTTCAAGTAACTTAAAGATAAGAATACTACTCTAACTAATATTGTCCCAGATCTTTGCACTCCCGCTTTCACAACTGCGAAAACTTTTCACAAATATTAAGTGAATCTTATTTGGAGATGGAACTCGGTGTCCTCTTCGGGCTATTAGAAAGTTTCTCAGTTACTTCGTTGATTTTTGTTTATACCTTCTTTCCATGTATTAAACAAACTTCTTTTTTGTTTTAATTAACTTTAAAATCTTTCAAGATTTTACCTGCGAAGTTTATGGAGCAGTAGGAGAAATTGAGAGACTCATTATACATGTGTAATTCGATATGAATACGACGATGCCTAGATAACAAACGCTGATTGATAGCTGATAATTAATGACGCATTTGGCTAATTCCGGTAATCATACTGTTATTAATTCACTGTACTGAACCGTAACGAGGTTCGCTTTGATAGTCAGCTAGATATTACAATAATAAATTAATTACACGCCTATTTTACTCGAATACGCGCATGCGGCAGATTTGACCTAATGTGAGTAGGGTATCTGTTGATGAATGAAACTGATTAATCCTGCCATCGATCCGATTGTCCCTGATCAGATCGTATTTACAATAATTAGTCGACTCTCATTCATGAAAAGGGTGTAATCAGTATGGTTAATTGACACACCGTAAAACGTTGATACAATAATAATTAGATGTAATAAAATATTGGTTGCAGTAAATCTTTTGCGATATTAAAGTTCCCGGAAATGTTAAAGGCTATGACACGAGTAGGTTCACAGACTGCAACATAATTATTCGGCTCAAACCTCTGCAAATATTGGCACGTTCGATGGAAAGCAAAATGGGATGTATACCAATGGAAGAGACACTGGACCTACACGAAGTGTTCGATATCTCGAAATGGATTTCACGAAAATATTGATCGAGACAGGCAAAATATTGACAATGCATTAGGGAAGGCGAGAGCGGGAAAACTACCATTAGGATGTTCGTTAAACAAGTCTGTAACCGAGACGTAACCTAGGAACATTATATCGCATAACTCTTACATCTTTGGCACAGCAAATTATATTATAGCAAAATATTTAAAAAATTGTTCATTTTATAAAACGTCATCCCAAATAGGGATATCACCTAAACAAAAACATTCACCAAAATAAGAAGGTCACTTAAAACAGCCCTTCAAATAAAAATGGTCTTGAGTAGCAACATGAAAGCAGCATTAAACCGGTGAAGTTGAAAATGATCGGTTACGTTGATCGAGTGGATCGAAACAGGGCGAAAACGAACGATACCGAAGCATTCAGGTTAGTCGTAACGATTAAACGGTCCGTAACAACCGACAGCAGTACCGGAACCGTTTCATTGTCCACGATCAGATCCGGTGGATACGGCATAAGGGAATTGCTCTCTAGTTACATATGCGCGACGCATTCGAAGTTTGGCCGAGCACTGTCATTATCGCTGCGATTATGCATATTCAGATAAGCAATCAACACCATTGAGGTAGCAGGCAAGGGTCATAGAGTGAAACAGAGATTCAGTGGAGCGCATCTGTTCGCTCGTGCACGTAAATACACGGACGCACAACGTGCTTCAAAAGTCTTACGATACTCGTGTTACTGTTGGCATAAAATCTTATAATGACCGCGAAGAATTTTGCAATGACCGTGAAGTTTAAGAGATATTTATTCTTAAGCTTTCGAGACTGCCCGGTTAACTGTTCACTGTCGCTATTACGTGTTAGCCGTGGACGCGTTGAAATTCAAAGATTTTAAGATGGCAAACTTATTTTCAAGTCGTGGGAAGATAAATGGGCCAAGAGAACATTTGATTTTTAACTAAAATTTTCGCTTCACAAATTCGAGGCTCATTGCCTCTGAGAAGTAACGTAGTAAATCAGCAAAGAAGCAAATTATAGATAAGAATTCTACTTAAAGTTGGGTAGGAAGATTTCCAGCTTGTAACCGGTAATGTTCTTTCTTCCAGTCTGACATTACATCTCGTGTTTTATAAGAATTCCTCTCGAAACGAGGCTCTTATAGACCCGTTCGCCGTAAAATTGCAAGTAAGATTGCCGCTTGAAATCCAGAATTTCGACGTCGTAGATTTCCACTTAAAACTTGAATAAGAGTCCTCCTCGGAACTTGGAATCCTTTTCAAGTACAATTTATAAATGTAATTTAGGAGCGGAATATCTCTTTTCCTTCGCAAAATTTGTTAGCCCTAATAATGCTGTTTGTCAACACTTATTATAGTAGCACGTGTTGTATCATCCCACTGTTAATGCAATATTCTGCTCAGAAAACGAACGTTTAGAACTGTCGATATCTTAGTAGAGTACAGTGCTATAGCTATAGAAATAACTGAATATTATAGGAGCACAGAAGTTTATGATAGTATCGCTGTTGTATCTTCCAGCATATCGATGAACAGTTATCATCATGAATAAATACACACGGCAGAATCGTCGGCGTTAGTTGGCCGATTTCATATTCGTTGATAGCGTCCGTTATCCATAAATTCTCATGGCACAATGTGATTAAACAGCAATTACGTAATTGCAGATGTTAATGAATCAACGACGTGCGCAGGATACAACTGGTGTACGATCTACCTGTAAAATCTTATCGCAACGTATGCATGTACCTACGTGCATTCGCGGCACTGTAACGAATTGAATTTCTGTTAGAACAAGCCCGATAGACGTCGTGGACGATCCTTGCGAGCGAAGTTATAATAAATTCAAAGCGAATGAGGACACACCGCCGACTAGCGGCGCGATTTTGCATGGAATATTCCACGTACAAATTCAAAGCGGCGCATTCGAGCCCGCTTTAATAACGTAAACGAGCGTTATAAAGAGAAATGTTAGAAAGGAGAGAAAAACGCAAGAAACAAACCGCGACGGGAAGACAGGTCAATGTTATCCGTCATTCGACGAATACGCGGACGTTTGTAAATGACCCACGGTTACGAGCGACGCGCGTGTCTTCGCGAATCAAAAATGGATCCCATTCGTGCGAAACAGTTTTTGCTGGCTATTGAACAGCCGACATTCATTCGGATATTCTTTCCAAGCTGACGTCCACGAAATTGCGTCAACGTCCTCTAAATTGTCCTCTTTGAGTTACAAATTGTTGAAAGCTCGAAAAATTAATCTTCATTTCATTCTTCCACTGCGCACCGACGGAAAAGGAGAAAAATATGGCAGAAAGTCAACGCCACAAATCACAAAGTGTGATTTTAAATCGAAAAATTTGATGAAAATAAATGTTTCGGGTTTTTGACATTTTTTTCACTGCACGAGGAAAAACTGAATATCTATTTTGTAACAACATTTATAACGATTAATGTGGGAGATTAATTACCCTTGAATGGAACGAGCACTACGTTAATTACTTGCAAATTTCTGTAATTCACAAAAGTTTCCGAGGTCTGGTTTTCGAAGCGTTCATGGGATAAACTTTGATCCCGTGACTGGAGGTGTCGTCAAACCACGCTAAAACGAGCGAATTGCGACGACAAATAGCGTTTCTAATTCCGTGAAATACCGTGACTCTGAATGATCGAGCTAACTCTTGTTGTATACGGTTCGCAAACATAATTCGGTGACACTGTGACATCTTTGATGGGCCTCAGCTATCAAAGAGGTTTTGTTTCGTTGCTAATTTAACGGCATCAGCTTTCACAAAACCGAGTATTCCGAAGAAATTAACGAAGTATTGAAGACGTTCTTTAAACTCGACGCTGACAGATATTATCATGCATATTTCTGTGCGTCATCCTCTTAACAAAATTCTTCGGAAAATTATTTATGCTTGTGTCAATCCCGATATGACGTACCAGCACTTTGTCCATCATGATTAACATGAAATGTTTATGCCTTTCTGTCGATGTAACGAAATGACAAGTTCAAGGAATATATTTGTTTTAAGGAATTTTAAATCACTTTGCATATCAGCATTGGCGTAACTAGGATGTTCTTTTGATGCAGCTTATAGAAGAATTAAACCGTCACGGATGAGTACTCAAGTCTTTAGATAATATTGCTGCCTTCTTGAAAGATGGACGATAATGTTCATAATCTTAGTAAATATGTAAAGAAATCTAAAATATTCTGTGAAAAATACAATTTCAACACCACCGTAAATATAAAATAATCCATAAAAAATTTCTACGAGTACACTCGACAGTGTTTAGCAATCCTTGGTAGTCATTACTAGCATAAGTCCAGTGCTTACTCACGCATTGTCAATAATTGCATAATTCGGAGAATCGTTTGAAAAGAGAACTAATACAACATGCGAGTGGACAAATATGTCCTTGTGTCGCAACATGGCGGTATATTTGAATTAGAAGTACTTTCTATTTAAATAAATAAGCGGTGGAATAAATATTTTAACAAATAAAATTTACTCTTCCGAGGACAGAAACAAAATGTCTTATTTCTATAAGTTTGACTTTTTAAGTTTCATCCACCTGTCTATTATAAAATATTTTCTTTGTTACAATACAATCAACTGTGATTGTTAAAGTGTGCGCAGCAACGTCCTGGGTAATCGTGGCTGGTTCACAAGGGCGTCAGGCGCCGATTGGCGCGAACCAGTCCAATTAGCGTCACTCCAAATTTATGGACCGAGATGCATTTCCGAAAAGTCCCGAAGTTTAAGAATATCAAAGTTCCAAAGTTTAAGAATCGAAGGTTCTACGAAGTTTAAGATGCGAAATTCCAGAATCACGATTATACCGATTGCACTAATCATTAAAATTTGATTCGCTCCGCGAGAGATGGCGAATAGCTATCAGTTAACTGGTACGCATTCACGGTCAGTGTGATTCTTAGAAGACGCGGACTAAGTTTACCTTTTGTGCCGTCTCGTTTCCTTCCACGACAGTTTGGTCGTACCTTGTCCGATTTCAGGTGGAGATCGAGCAGGAGGTTCGAGGGAGAGAGAGAGAGAGAAACAGTACCGATCCAACGAATTCGGAGGCTGGGCAAACGGTCGGGTATAAAACAGTTGATCGGCAGCAAAGCCAGCATCAGTCACGTTTAACTTTGCTTTCCTGCTCGACTCAAGCTGCCCAACATGAAGGTAAGCGTCGCTTGTTTTTCCTTCCCTCCTTTCTCTTTCTATTTACCCACCTCTCTCGAAATTACAGTGTCTTTAACATACGTTTATTGTGGGACTTTTTTCCATTTGTATAATCATTCGCGTGAGTTACAAAAAATTGATATGCAAAATTTAATAGCTTAAAAACTATTGTGCGGAAACGTTAAGGAAATACGTAACGAGGCGCGCAGGATGTAATTCGTGCATCTTCGTAGATAGTCGGAAACGATTAACGTCGGTGGAAGATCATTTAACGCCATAACCATAAGGAGGGAGGTTGAACGTCTTTCGCGCCTCATTAAATTTCCACGCGTGCGTCTGCTCGAGTTATCGCGGCAGAAGAAGATCAGCCGTGGCTCGCATCGAAGATCGTTTCGTTAAAATACTTTACGGTTACATCTAATTTGAGAAAACACGTTTGCTTGAAATTCCAAACACGTCCAGCCGCGAACCTTTTCCTACGTTTTGTTTCCCCGCAAAATTCAGCCAAACGTGTCCTCCGACACGTAGCGAGAATAAAGAGCCGGTGCTTGTTTTCTCTTCTCCTCTTTTCTCTTTCGTCGGCTACCGTTTTAGTATTATCGTGAACGTTGTAGGTAATCTTTTAAAGTATGCGCAAGTATGTCTACTCGAGAAGTAACTTTAAGCAGCGGACCGTACTCGATTACAGCTTTTCTTGCAGGAGAGGAGAACACTGTTTAACTCTTTAGTTCGAGGTAAAAATTTGAGTTCTAGAAAAATTCCAAGGAGGGAGCTTAGGGACTCTTGGGAAATTTAGAGGAATTTAGAACAGGGGCTATGGAGAGCTTAGGGAGAGAATAGAGATTCTGGGGAGAGCCTAAGGGTATTTCGGGGTTGTAACGAGGGGTGCCCAAAACCTAGGGGGAGCTTAAAGAGACCGTAGAGACCCGGGGAATCTAGGAAGAATCTGAGAGACGAGTAGCATAAAATAATCCTCTTCCTATATTTTTCCTTAACCGAGAGAAGCCTAAACTATGCGCGATTACAAAAACAGAACTCGATTCACATTTTCATCGAATAAGATTTTTCTTTATCGAGCGTTCTCGATTGACGCTTATTTTTGCTTTCGACTATGCTCTTTTGTTTGCCTTCTTCCTCTTCGAGTTTGCTCAGACATTGACATGTTAACGTTAGGATGAAATTCACAGAACAGATTTGTACGAAGATAAAAAGATTGTTTGTTGAGATTGGGTGATCTTTTCTTTGGAACTTTTCTGTGGAACAAAATTATTCTGTGACTTGTTAGGGTTTTCATATTTGGTTGAATTACAGATACGCCAAGTTTAAGTCAGCTTTTCAGTTTTGGTGATTCGAACGTCGTACTTATAAACAATGAACAAAGCCAGTTTCACGTTTGCCATTGTTTTCAAAGCTTCGGAGTGGATGCGAAAATTCAGAATGCTGGTCGCGTGTGATGTGTGCAAGAACATGGCGGCGTACAGTGTTATTCGGACAAAAGTTTTGCTGCTTGCACTGTTAGAGTACGATCGAGGCTCGTGATAAGAAACTGGATTTGCAACTGGACCGATGAAATCGCGCGTGATTTTAGTACGAGTGACGTTTGTTCGATCTTCGACAGCCGCGCTTTTAATCCGTGTCTAATTAGAGGCCCTCTGCGGAGATAGTTAATCATTGGGAATTAACGCGGACCGTTGCGCTGAATATACGATTCGACGCGATGCGGTACGCTTTGACGGTATACCACCGCCAACGTTGGCGTTTTAATCAACCATACAGTTAATTATGAGACGATTCAAAAATTACTAACTAACTCATGACTATAATACTGATTTTCCGGGATAGAGTGAGTGGCTCTCTCGTTAGGTTGCATCTCGTTGATTTCGTTACGGTGCATTTCGTTATGTCGTACGTACACATACTGATAATAATTTGGCTTTGAACTTATACTCGGTTATTTTTTAACAAGTTCGTTAGACTAAAAATCGTAGACTAGCTACTCTCTGGGATATTGAGAGAACCTTTAGGTTCTTACTTTTCCTGCCTGACAGCATAAACTAGTACCCTTAAAAATTTTTTCGAAGAAAATGTTCGTAATTTTGTTTGCGCGGTTTCTTCGAAGGGAACATGTTATGTCCATTAAACATACGATTTAGTCTCAATTAGGTAACGTAATTGCACAGTGCATTAGCATGATTCTCGTTGAAACATTTTCCTTAACGGACATTGGTCCGATGGCTGTGAAAAACGAGAAAAAGAGTCGAGGTGAAATTTATTTGCAAGAGTGAAAGGCGTTAGGGAGCATTCCACGATGGCGCGATTGCGTCATGGGATTTATACACATACGTAGTGCCATGTACGACGGCGCGTTGACACCGATTCTGCAATTATCGACGTTACGCTCGTTTAAAGAGTTCTTGCGTCGCAATCGAGCAGGATTTACTGTCTAGAGTCGGGGGACTTGTATCTTGATCTCTCGTTGCTCTTTGTCGTTCGAGAAGGTATCTTCGAATCGGTACAAAGGTAGAATTATCTACGAGGACGAGCTTTAAACAGAGGACGCCAGGAGGTTCCATTTAAAAGGAAAGCTTTGTGTACTTACGTGTGTCTGTATGGTGATCGCTTCTGCTTTGTCAAGGGAATCGGGAAAATTTGCTGATTGCGACAAGTCCAATAGATCATGAATACTTAATTGTCGGATTGCATTCGAAGAAATGAAAATTTCAACCTGATCATCAGAAATTATTTACAAAGTATATACAGATAGTAAAATAGCCTTTGCGATTAATTTTACCAGAATAATTTCGTATATAGTTTGCAACAGTACAGGTTTCAAAACTCGTTAGTTGCAGTGCTTATTTGCGGTCAGGATTGTATAGTCAGCTCGAAGAACGGCTTCCAATTACACGCAATGTTCTGATTTATTAGCGCATTTAGAGCCAGAAAAATGTCGTTCGTTTTATGCACAATCGACTTGCACACTGTTATTCTCTTCCAATCCAGTTACGCGTAGAACAGGATCGGCGTTGCTTAACTAAACGTTAATGCGCGCCGCAATTAATTTAATAAGTAAGAGAGCAGGTGTATAATTTTCATAATTTTTAACGAGTAGCGGTATGCATAGGTAAACCTGATCTATGATTCGAATAAACCGTATCTATGGTGTGAACGAAGCTTAAGACTCGGAAGACCATAGTCTCGATTTTGTCCACTTTAGATATACACGGTAAGACTTCATTATGGGTTGGCCGCAAAGCAAATTTGCATTAAGTACGGATTAAAGTTGGTTATATCTACATCGGATCTCGGTTTTGATCAGTGGAATATTAAATTTCGATATTATCTGAACGGGTTGTAGTGAAGTAGAGGTTCAGTTCGGGTCTATCAGTTCTGAGAGCCACTCGACTGGGATCGCGTTGCTAATTGCGTCCTATTAACTGTCCACAATCAGATTCACGATGTTCTATTCTGTTACACGCTGCTCGACCTTCCACTCCGTTCGACCAACTTATCCGAAGAGCCTAACTTGATGCTGACCCAGCATCGATCCAACCGGAGAAACATACCTAACTATCGAATATTAGCGAAAGTATTAAGTTGTTGCATCTTAAACAGTCGATGTCGTCACGTAGAAAGTTAACACGATCTTACGACAGAAAAGTATAGTAAAATACAACCAATAACATATTAATTTAAAGTTCGTGGTCCGATAGAAAATGATTTTTACACGATATTTCGAGTGCAGAATGTCTGGTTGGCAGTTACAACAAATACATAGAAGTTCTATATCGACATATCGAAAGTTTAATAAATCAAATATTATCAGGATCACGATAATCTTGTAAAACAGCAGACATTCTATTTATCCCGTAAATTTGTTCTGGAATATTTTTGAAAATTTTGCGCGCAGTTTGCAGCGAAATCCTGTTTCAATAGCTCCGAATCCATCGTTCGTGTCTTTCTTCTCCGTTCTGCTGGTTCGAATATAATTTTTACGCGGAATAAAGGACGTTTCCGCTGCAAGTGACAACCTTCGCCGGAACTAAATTATTCTTTTTAGGCTGGTGCAGCCGATTCATCGGTGCAGCGTTCGTATTTCTTACCATCGACTTCGACAGCCATGCCTGTTCTACCATTATAATATGCTTTTGTTCCTCGTTCTCAGTCAAGTACGACAATTGAAAATCCTACCGTCGCGAATTATTTAGTGTAATCACAATTTTATAGGAAGAATAATCCACCGAATCGATTCATTCGAGCAAACTTATATACTACATATTGTTCAGTGAAGAGTAGGGAGGATCTAACCAAATCCTTGAAAGAGATTAGGGAATACCTAACCTAGAATTGCAACCTAAACTTGTTTCTTTCTACGCAAGAAGCGTTTAAACTTTTGAAATTCATGGAGAGATCTAATGGTACACGAGCAGTCATAAATTCACCGTCGACTAACTCTCGTGATATCTAGCTTCTACGAAAGCTAGAAGATGTATAATATAGTCACGAGGTAAGACAAGAATAAGATAATCCTTGATCCCTGGCAAGTCTCACCTTAATTCCAAGGAACGATAACGATTTTTCAAAAGGTTCTTTTAGTTTTTTATTATCCCGACTGGAATCGGGGGTACGAGTTAGAAAGGTTGTTTGGTATCGCGAAATCGCAACGCTTTATCTCGAGGATACACCTTTTAAATAGACTTCCTCTGTTCCGTTGAATCCAGGTCGCGGTTGTTTTCCTCGCGGTGCTGGTCTGCGCCCTGGCAGACGAGAAGTACACGACCAAGTACGACAACATCGACCTGGATCAGATCCTGAAGAGCGACCGTCTACTGAACAACTACGTAAACTGCCTGCTGGATCTTGGAAGTTGCACACCCGACGGCAAGGAGCTTAAAAGTGAGTCGACGTTTAAGTCCTTGGTTAATGCGAGCACGTAGCTGACCCCGTGCCTCCTCTTTTGTCACCAATTACTCGCCAGATCATGAGAAACGTTTTCTTTTTTACACCGGCGTCGCGTCGTTGCTTCCTCGTGAACTTCTTCCCTCCACCCGCTCTCGCCCCACCCTTTTTCTCACTTCCTTGTTTTTTCTCCTTTCGAACCGTTTTACGGAATTAGCACACTCAACGGTGTTACGTCGCGACTTTTGTTCTCATTCCGCGAACGAGTAAAGAGAATTTCTAATGAGAACGAGAGTCTGCTGGAAAAAGGTTCAGGGGAGAGAAAGAAAATCATGCCAACGGTCTTTCAACCGAGAGCGTACGAGATGAAGCTTTGCACTCGTTCGTGCGAGGATTTGGCTGATGAAAGATTCTTCTTTTCCAAGTAATTTTGAGGAAACCTTGGGAGAGAAGAAGCTTTTGAAAACGCTGTTTCGAAGATAGACGTGAAAAATCAAACGAGAAGTTGGCGAAAGTACTAACCGCGAGTAAATGCTTCGCGTTTCTACCATTGTTAGCTGCAGGTAAGTCGATCGAAGATGGAACTCGTACCGAAGGACGGGGTAAAGATGCAGCAATAACGTGGAATTAGGACCTCTGGACCCAATAAGCGGGAACTACAATGGGCTGACGCTAGTCCGCTGAATACCTGTTCTCTATTTTTCCTATATCGTCTATGTGTACATACGTCAGAAATCTTTAATATTATGCCAGTAAGATCTCGTATTCGATAAAGAGGAGAATGGACAGCCAGAGGCTTATAGTATAAGATAAGCGGTCAAATCACGGGGATACGGATTTTTATTTTTCACGAACTTTTACGATACGAAATTCTATTTTTTTTTTAAAGAACCAGGAACCGCTATCGCGTCAGCTCTTACGAATATAATGTTCGTTTATAAGAAAGGTGGATATTACAGATCGGTAGAGACGTAGGATTACTTTGAACGAAGTGACGTCGGGTCGAGAATTGACGTCTTCGGATTTCGAAAAGAGAACAATATTCCTCAAACCAATACGAGAGTTTGGCTACGGAAACACGAAAGATACAAGACATTCCCCAGTTCCCTAGGGGATGAAAGGAGGTTGGACAAGGGGTTCTTGGCTGGTCGAGCTAGGAAAGCCGACCGAAAGCTGTGGTCTTGCAATCCGCCTCCTTTTTCGGCCCACTTCCTCGACTTTGACCGCGACCCTCGTCCAATATTTGACAGGGTTACACCGCGCGCAACCCACAAACTTTCCATCAACGACATCCACCGGTGTTCGTTCGACTGGTTATTCCAAAGGAAGCCTACCGGAGGAAATCAGGCTCTGCTCGTGCGCTGGACCACCTGTGCTCAATTTTTCTTTTTATTTATTGCCTTCCGCCATCCAACTTCCGCTCCTGACTGCCTTTGCTCTCTTTATTTACCGCGTATACTCGCATTCGACGTTTCTTAGTTCGTTCAGAGGACCTCGAGTACCTGCGCACTTGACGCCTCTTTTAGAGACAGTCCAACTACCTCCTAACAATTTCCTTAATTTACTTTGTATTATGACAAGATTAATCGTAAGAAAATTTAAACGTTTAATTTGTGCCAAGGTATATCATTTTTGTCGTATGTCTGATACGAGGTTGCATCTTTAATCATTTTTTTAAGTACTTATTTTGTGAAGCCGGAATTAGACTCAACGAGCGGAACAATTTTTTACCGCGGTCGAATTAAATAGGATCCTGCGTAACAGTTGATATACTGAGAGGTGTATTTTAAAAGGGGCGATGCGGAGGAGTGTTCTTTTTTATTTGTTCGTTGCAAAACAGCTCCCTGAAGGCTCGTTACATTGCTTACATACTGTTGGTGTAAATTTTCAAAGAACGTTAGAAATTCCTCCGCTTTTGTAGCATTTAGTTTCTGAATTATTTTCTTCCTCGCGGAATAAATTAAAAGGTCGTTTCATTTTCACCTCGAGTGAAAATATACGGCTAATCTTCCCTTTCCTTTGGCAATTAAAGATTTATATAAAAAGAAAGAAATGACATGGAACTAATTAAGTACTTCAAATGAAATGAACTCTCTAAAGAGTATCGCGTAATTTAATTTTTCCCTGTTAGAGGTATAAAGTATCTAACACGAAATCGCGGTGAAAAAAATTGACATAGAAGCAAATCAATTTAACGAATCGCCGTATGTAGCTGTAATCCCGTGTCTTAATCCGATCGCGATCGAACCCTGCTGTCGATAACCATACTCGAATTCATTTCGTATTAACTCGGAATCGAATCGCGCATTTCGCTACGACGAAATTCCTCTTCGGATTAAATTTTTTTTGCGATTCGGTGTTTCTTTATTTCTCACAACACGCGAACTGTGCCGTTCCAACAATTTTACGTCGAGCATCGGAATCTTCTTCAAGCTTTAATCTCTTTCGAGTGTGACAGCCGTCCCATATTTTTACATATTTCAAAAGGATTATGTGATACTATAGATGTACGATTTTTAGAAATTTGTAAAATTCGAGATTCGGAAATTTGAGTATTTGGCAATTCGCGAATTTGAAAATTTAGAAATTTCGGGTACGCGCTATCCGTCAGAGAAAACTGTGAAAGTTTAGAGATAATCTTACGAGTTAATCTCTGCGGTTAAATAGTGCAAATATTCGTTTTTTCTGTCGCAATAATGTATCGTAAGAGGAGGACTTTTTATCGTGGACGTCGCGTAAGAGATATGTATCTAAAACGACAAAAAGAAACGAGCAACGTGGTTAGTCCTCTGTCGTGAATGACTAAATTACCGCTTTTTTCCACTGGTTTGATAAATTAAAACGGGCTCGACGAGTGTGGCGTTGGCGGAAAAATGGCACGCAAAGGTCTCGTAAATGTTAGTATCTTCAAAAGATGTTTCGGGTTGAAAAAACGTAACAACCAACAGGTAGTGATGCATTGATAAGAACTCGAATGGTTCTCACCTTCGCATTTGCGTTCTTTTCGTTAGAATGCCGGTGCTTTTATCGAAATACGTTTCTCGTCCACGTTATATTTTATAATAGTTATCATTAAGAAATTAATCGAGTGATTTCTGATCAGACAAATTTTGCAATTTAAAATATATTTTTGTTAACTTCTCAAACAGTTTTGAAGGTGGATGTTTTTACAACTTGCAAAGCTTCTTCTAAATTGGAAATGGAGCGGAGTTATTTCGCTTGTTATAAATGACAGCGTCGATTCATATCACTTCATCAAAAACGGATTTTCTTGTCAGCTTGTTCTCTGTTTTTTTGCTCTACTAACTATATTCGTAGACGACCATACTTTGTCAAGTAGATATAGTCTTCGTCTCGAAGAATTCACGAACGATATGCTCGATCGTGAGCTGGCTAGAGCAGCTGGTGCAAATGATAGCTGGCAAAAAAATGAATGGACTGCAGGTCTTTCGTGCAGCCCCTCGGTTCCTTCTACAGGTTGTTACAAAAGGTGCACGCTAGAACTTGCACATTCATTCATCGATAATTGATTGCGATCCAAAGTAAGAGAAGTGTAAAAGTAGTACAGTTGATATATTCTTGTTTAAAAGTGTTAACAATTATATAAAAAATTGTGTTACCGATATATGAGGGATGATTAAGAAATAAGAGTCAAGAGGTAATTCTAAGCGAAAGCTTTCATTGATAGATTCTTGGTTCCTTTCGAAACGAAACTTGAACAATAATTAGAATTTATCTTTCCGGAAAAAGTAGTAGTGTACGGACTAGAAATGTTGGAATACCCTGTATCCACGGAAATAATATACGTTTATGAAGTTCACCCTCCGGCGATCGACATTCCCATGTAGGGCGCCATATGGAAAAAAGTTGTTTCCTGTCTTTCCTTTACATTTGAAAAACATTGTCGTGGCAGTGTAATATACAACATACAACACGTACAATCGTTGTTTCTAATTCATAATTTAAATAAGAAATTTATAATTTAATCTTAAAATGTACAATATTAGAAATTTCAATTTGTAATGCCATTATTTTTTAAAAAAGGACACTCGTGATAAGTAAGATCGTTTTAGTTTAATCCACGAGTGGATAAAGTTTCAAATGAAACGTTTTCGTAAAAGTTTCTTGAGCAAAAAAGAGACTGCAGAGGTTAATGCTTAATAAGCTATCGATGAATTTCGAAGAACCCAATTCTGCTCGAATTCAAGAAAATTACGAGCTAAACGGTTTCCACGGAAGAATCGTATTACGGTTGGTCCCACTTTGCCAAGTGTTTGGACGCGATTAAAACGCGGATCGCAATTAGCACAGTTTCCCTATAATTCACTCACGGAGTTAGCTACGTCTACAGTCACTTTAGAAAATTCTTGATCTCATTTTCAAGATATTTTTCTTGCTCTTTTTTCCCTTTTCGTAGCTCTTAAGATGCTCTTGATTACGTTAAAAAGAGGATTTTCCGTCGAGCTTCGACCGATATAAATATCAAGCTTGCGACCTGTTCGGGTAACCTATTTAATCGGTGTCTGGCCAACGCAGGGTCAGCTTTCATCCAAGGTTATGAAGATTTAAAAATACAGACTCTTTATTCCGTTGATTTAAGAAGCTGTTCATACATATTTGTGTCGTTACATTATACGATTTTCAATCACGTCTGTAAAATTTTCCAATCTACAGTTCCTCTATCGGACATTTCTGTTCCTAATTGCAACGTTATCGTCGGTTAACGATCGCAGCAGCTTCTTATCGCGAAAGCTTCTCGCAACTTTCTTCCCCTTTCGTCTCGGGAAAGCGGACCGCCGAAAGTTGAAAAAAGGCGTAATTACGAGTTCACCAATTACCCTCTTCTTATCGTTAGCGACCGAATGATCGGTTCTGGCGAGACGGGAGGCAACTCCGCGATGGTTCAGAAATTCCTCGCAGGTTCTGGATTCTAGAGACAGGCAACATCTGGATGCATCTGTTGATATGGAACATTTCTAATCGCGCTTCGACAGGCAATCAATAATAAGTACCAAAGTACAACCATCGGAGCAATAATTGATATTGTTCCTGTCATTTTCACCACTGATAGTTATTATTAACGATTCACGAGAGTACTTTGTGTATATGTAGGTTACTCTGAAAGTTTTGAGAAATGACGCGTATAGTTTGTGGAGACATCTGTGCAAACTTTGGTTACAAGTAGGGCAGGTTAGGTTATGTACAAGTATATATAACATTGTTTTCCGGTAGGACAGTCTTCCCTAGGGAAAAAAGCAAAGTTTCTCCAGTTGGCGAGTTTACCGATGTCTTTCATTTGCGAACAGGGGGAGGTTACACTCCTCCGAGACGAACGAAAGAACATCTATGCTGAACACGATATAAAACGTTTATCGTAGAAGTTACTATATTCGTACACTTTGTTTCGTTTGTTACTGTACGTATTAATATGATCGATGTAATTTCAGAGTCGCTCCCAGATGCCTTGGCAAACGATTGCAGCAAGTGCAGCGAAAAACAGAAAACAGGCAGCGAGAAGGTCATCCGCTACTTGATTAACGAGGTACGTTCACTTTTCTCCAAGCCAATTAAACGAATTGCGTGCAACTGTAGCCAAACAGGGTCACGTCTGTCCTCGTTGAATGCCGTGAAACTGGTTCGACTTTCACGGGACGCGTAGGGCGTCAATTCGACCCTCGGACTTCGCTAACTTTCCTCCGCTAAAGCGAATAATTCCGCGCGGATCACCCTTTGCCGTGTAATTTCCCTGGTTCGACACTCACCCTCCAGGGATTCCAGACTTCTTCGCTTAATAATCGTTAACCCACGCCCTGGGACATCGGTTAATCCGTTCGACATCGAACTTTTGCCAGTGTTATTCTCTCTTCTTTTGCTTTTTTTTCTCTTCGTGTTCTCTCCACCGAGTCGAACTCGGTCTTATTGCTTTCGGAATAACTTTCCGTGTTATTTAACGGAGTGTCTTTAACGGGAGCTTAATTACGCGCTAGATGTAATATTATCTGGCAAGTGGGTAATTTTTGTTAAACGATTATTACCTTCGCGAATAGGATATTTCGCAGCAAACTGCACACTTCGAAAATGATAGATTTTACGCGGTAATATTACTCGCAAGGCGAATATCGGCTGATTCATTGTTTGTTCTCGTTGAAAACCAACCGTTTTATATTTTATCAAAGCTTCCGTGTTCTAAATCGATCGCTTAACAACCAACGATTTAACACAAAAATGGTGATATAGCTTTTTCTGATGGAAACGAGTAAAAACTTTGCGAGCAGAAACTACTTGTTTAATCAACTTATATTTCCTCCGCGGAATTTCGTTTCAGGTGCATTTATTTCTCGGCACAGAATCGTTATTCCGTGGCGAATACCGTAAACAAAGTATTCCGTATTTATTTCAACATTCGTTCGAACGCTTTGTCAGAGAAACTACGCAACACGAGAAATGATTACGTAAATGATAAGTCGGAAATAACGACGATCTCGAGGGCGAGGGAAAATCTTTGAAGAAAATATCCCTGAAGAGTGCTTCGTGTTTATAAATTTTGCCAACGAACGATTTAACTTACTTCTCTTAGTTTCGAACTTTTAATTGAAACAACGAGCACTGGACTCCGTTCTCGTTGACATTCTTCTTCCCCCGTCTCGTTAACGCAGCTGTAATTAATTCTCTTGTAACGATTAACATTTATTTTGTAAACATTCTCTTGTAATTAACCGAGAATCTTTCAATTTCGTTGGCTAAGAGTTGTCCAAGTTCCACTCACGAAGCTGACAGTATTTGCAGAAGATTGAAAAAAATGTTGTTTGTGTTTCAGCGACCTCAATTGTGGGATAGGCTGTCGAAGAAATACGACCCGACCGGAGAGTACAAAGTCAAATTCCAAAATGAAGCAGACAAACGTGGCCTCAAACTTTAAGCTAATAGAGAAGTTCCTCGAAGGAAACGTCCGGTGTCGCGTAGTGACGAGGAGTGATTGATTTATACGTCGTTATCGATCGCATTATAATTTTGTTTCATCTGTATTTAGTCGAAAGGTCAGAAAATAAATGTTGCATCTTGCAAGGATCTAAACCAGGAGAGAAACGATTTCTTTCGCGAGAAAAGACACGGGGCTAATTTGTTTCTTACCAGGAGTGTCTTCGAAGATTCGTTCGTTTCGCAGAGAGAAGATAAGCACTCGTGAAACAAAGAAGAATCCTCTCGGTACGTCACCTAGCCTTTGCCGTCGTCTTTTTCCGTTCCTCTTCTTTCTTTTTCTTCCTCCAATGCTTTTATTACGAACGATTGTTTCGCCTCGGAAACAGTCAAGCCACTTTCACGGTCGAAACGTAAGAGTAGTAGATATAATATGAAATTGGAAAAGTCCCTCGGGTCAATTCGGGGATTCGTATGCACTCTAAGCACTAGATTTGCTCTCTTCCTCTCCCTCTTTCGTTGTTTCAATGAAAATTTCACCGTCAAACTACCGTACATTTTACGTATCTTCTTGTTACTCGGCCAACCTTTGCCAATCAACACGGAATTACAATCTATCGTCGAAGAAGATGAAATTACATTCGTTTTCTTCGAAATTGATTTCTCCGCAACTCTAAAAGAGCATAGGAATAATCTTGAGAGAGTAAAGCTCTTGTCCCTACAATTGAAATCCATCGAACACGTTATAATAAACCCTGCTTTAGGGTCTGATTCGTGGATTAATTTGTGTTTCATCAGGAAGAAGAAGGTTACACGGCACTTGTAACCGTTTCGTGACACAGTTTCTTCGATCATTCGAATGTGGTTGATATGCTGCGGCATTGATACGTTTCCACTTCAACATTTCTTTACGAATTACCACATAATAATGACTAAAGTTTATTGAAGCTGAAGGAACTTGCCACCGAGATTTCTCTTCGACAAAACGGGATGATCAAATATATGTATATACGAATTACCGTTTGCTGCGGTATCAAAAGGATCATGGAAATAAATAATTTATTTATTCGCATCGTGTTTCGCTTTGGTGCTCAACTCTTTTTTTACTTTGAACTCTTCCCATTGGACCTGGCTTGCCGGTATTTTGTTACCTCAACCGCTTTAAGAGATGCTCTTCCGCTTCGCGAGTACCTCGATTTTTATTTTAATTAGATACTTGTCGAAGTTTCCCGCGCTCGTTACTCTTCTGAACAATAATAATGTTGCTTGATGGAAAAGGAAGTGTAGCGCGGAAAATCGCGTTCATCCTTCTTGTAATTACTTTGATATTTTGATGAACTTTCCAAATAAATATTCAGCATCATTACTGTACGGGGTGCTTCTAATTGCACGACGATATTTACAAAATGCAGTCATTCAGATGCCGTGAAAAATTTTTCAGACGCAACATACATTATCCAACGCATCTTTTTAGAAGAACAACAAATAAAAACTTACATAAGTTATTTATAATTTAAGTAGAAATTTCCAGGATTTTTCAGACACTCGAAGCGATATCGCAAGTTAGCGTTGGATAATGGCCGGGAAATAAAATGTTTGACAGTCCGGGAATGGGATTCCCGTGTAGGAGCAGCCTCGAACTATTCCGGTCAGAATAAATCCCGTAAATAGACTTACCTCTCCGTCTTGTCCAACAGCAGGACACGACTTTTATTTTGGCCACGGAACCACTTGAATTTCCTTATACTTCTCTAAGAATGAAACATCGATTCCAGAGAAACTTTGCTCGCGGCCATCTTTGTCGGGTCGAGAAAAAAGAATCTTCAAGGTTCTCGTGATAAATTAATCCATCCTATTCATACATATTTTCTCTCTTTCTGACGCTTCGCCATTTTTCTGCATTCACCACCGCGCAACTATCCGTCCGCGGATATTTCTTTTCTCCTCAAACTTTCTTCAATGATATTTCGAATCACGTGCGACGGAAGTTCCGAATCGCTTTGTACCCACGAAATATGGAATGGATGGCTTGCAAATTTTTGAAATTCTGAAATAAGAAAGTCGAAGTAAAAAGTGGAAACAAAGGCAACCGCGGTGCAGCGTTAAAAATAAAATTTTAGAAGAAACTTCGGTTCGATCCCTCTGAAATATCAATTTCCCTTTAAAAGGAAATCGGAAGCGAAAGTTAGAAGGATACCGTTTATAAGATGACTCGACAGATTTGAAATTGAAAATTTCAGTGCTATTCAGGTTTCTGCTTGTTTACGAAGTAAACGATTTCGAGCTTTTTCCGTACATTAACACGTTCGACAAATTGCATAACTTACAGAAATATAAGAGAGCCATCTTAGCAAGACGGCCATTTTAGAGAATCGCAGACATCTTAGGGAGATTCATGCGAGTAGAGGTGCCCATCCCAAGTTTAAGCGCTTTAAGTTATAAAGCACATAAAAAGTTACATTTGGAGAGATAAATGTCTTTGAAAGGGATATTTCTCCTCGTACAAAAGGTACTTCGTGCGTAACAACAAATCAGTTTTAAACAGGGTAAGTACCGATTAGTGTTCCTAAGGCGAGAACGCGTTACGTGTTCTCGAACCGGAAGTTACGAGCGAGAATACGCTTCGAGATGTCTTATCGTTGATGAACTAAGAGCGAGTCATTAAATATCGCGTCAAAGTTTCCTCGTTTCGAACTTTATAGTCGTAGTTTTGCATCGTCGCTGACGAACTTCTATCCGCTTTGTTCCACGATTTATCGTTGTTACCTTGCCTAACCATATTGTTGTATCCAGAATCGAAGAACTTTACCGGTGTCCTCGAGAAATAAGATCAGCTAATTTTACTTTTCTTCGGATTTCGCGATGCGAAACGTTTCGGGTATGTATTTTTGAGATGCACTCGGAATTTACAGATTCTGAAACCAATCCCGGGAGGTTTGAAAAGATTTTTCGGATGTTCTTCCGAGCTTGATAACGCGATATCTGGTCCGTTAGAGTAGCGATGCTTCGTTAACTGCTCGAGGGTACCACCTCTAGCTTCTTCTCTGCAATATTCAGAATCGAAGAAACGGCTAAAATTTCTTCGACTTGCTGTATTTCGTAACAAGAATATATCCTCGCAATCCCTCCGTTTTTTAAGACTCCTGTCCGTTAAATTGTAGAGTCGGGTGAATCCGTGAATCACACGGTACGAGACCCTCGCGATACGTCGTCCATAAACATCGTTGTATCTAGTGCTGGGTCCCGATCCACAGGAATTGTTTCCATAAGCTTACTCAGGAGATCGTTTAATTTATTTATAGTCAGCTCGCAACGGATATAGCTAGGTCGAGGTCGGCTTTCCAGGCTGTGCCGTGCTTTTCCTGTCTACTGCCAACGGGTTTCACCCCTTTTACAGGGAGACCCTCGTTCTTTCTCCTTCCGCGGAGTTCCGTTTGCTTCTACCTCGACGACGATCTACGTTAAGCATGGAAATGAATCACGAAATTAGTGTAGAGCCGACTTAAACAGTCGATTTAAATGCGTCACTCGGGGACAAAGAAGAAGGCTGTCGGTAACGCCCGCTCCGAGTTCTTCTCCTTTCGACTCGGATCACATGATTCCTGTCCTTTCGAACTGTAGTCTATACTTCGAAGGGCTAAACGCCGGTCTTGGAAACTAAAATCGAGTGGGAGAAACGGAATTCAATTTAGCTTCCTTTCTTCGTTTCCTTTTCTTTCTAGGCTGCACGACATCGAAAACACGAACGACGCTACGTAGCTCGGGGATGGACAATCTTTTCGAATAATACGTTCTAATCGAAAGTAGTCGGTGTAATACAAAATAGTGCCTTAAATCAATTGCGAACACATGTCTGCCGATGTGCGTGACAGTGGCGTAAAGAGGTACATATGTCTTGCACTCAAATTATTTTATTCGCGTTATCCAATGCCTATTGCTGGCTCGAGGTTCCAACGGACATCAGACACCTTTCAGCAAGGTTCAACCATTGGTTGGTTTACCGTTTCGTTCATGGCAAACGAATTACTCTCACGACCCTGCTCTAGCAGACATCTTTAGCGTGCTGCGTTTATTTAGTCTGCTCGTTTTCAACAGGTAGGGAATTCATCGTGCCGGTCTCTTTCGACTACGCCAGACGTCCCTTTGATTACGCGCGACGCAGTCGGAACGAATGCGCGCTGAAATTACACACGAGGGATTGTAGAATCCGTGAGAAAGCGGTAGAGTCGTCGCGACGCCTTGCGAGTTCTCTGCGGCGCGGTAGAAGCACGCGAGAGAAATTGTCCGTAGTTTCACCGAGTGATCCTTCGTTGTAACGAGGAGCTACGGCCAGCTGCCGACTTTAAGAGCCCCCTAACGAAATTACAGACTGGATCCACGACTACAAGCGGACCGAATTCTCCCATCTAATTCGGATTTAAACGACCTCCTTTAACGACGAGCTTTAAAATGTTTAAGAGCGACCAGTCGCGAGTATCGAGCACCCTAATGGGCAACGTTTCGGATAACAGGTGCATCTTTCGACGAGCTGCAATCGGAAGGGATATTCTCGGTGATCTTTCAGACGTGTCGTGTCATTATTCGATTGTTGTCGATCTCGACAAGTAGTCGCGTATTTTAATATCGATTGATTTCTCCGTGTGCCGTTACGGGGGCAACGCATAACGAGGTTATTGTCGCTTTATATTAAAGGCGGTCGCAGAGAAAGGGCTCGAAGGAGAACATCCGAGACCGAAAACCGGCAAAAGTTACACGAATTAAAATCGGACAAGAGCCTCGCGTTTGAAAGCGCGCGAAACAGGGACATCTCCGACCGAAAAGCGGCTCACAAAGAGCTGTCTTCTGTTCGTCTCGCGTTCCTTCGGCGTGATACGCGGAAATCGAAAGAATTTTCTGCGAATAAGTTCCCTTCGACGTACACGCTTTTCGTCTGATCCATTTCTCTCGTTGTACGATCGGTCCAAAGTTCGTGTTCTCCCTCTGACCTCGCCTCGATTCGCGTTCACCCTTTCCATCCACCCTAAGCTTCCGGCTTCGACAACGTTTCCATTTCTCTCGAGCTATGTAGCTATGCAATTCAACCGTTATAACACACAGCAGCATCCGGCATGTGTACGAGTTGCGTACTCTAGACGACTCATATGAATCGTGCCAGA